TAACGTTACGTCTTCTATTAATGATAACCCCTTTAAGCCACACCCATTTTCTAAGTTATGTGAAGTCTAATTTACACGCCTATTTTTCTAAGCTATATTCTATTAAAGGTGTGGCCTAATTTAAGCCACGCCTACGTTTCAAGGTTATGTCCATAAAAGAGGGCATGGGTCTACTTTAAAATATTTAAATTTATGTCTAATTGGACAAATTCTTATTGACTTTTAATTAAAAGTAAATAAATAAATGTGTCTTACGAAAAATATGCTTACAATTTTTTTTAGTACAAACTTACAAATATTATCAATTATCTTCCTTTTCGGGGTTTTTATTTCCTCTTTACGGATGCAACTTGCGGACCGAGAATTCTTGTAATTAGTTAGGGACGGTGAATAATATCGACGATAAATAATTCCCCGTTGGCGGAAACCTTCTGGAGGGACTAAGTTACTACTTACGCTATCGCATTTTCGTTAACCTAGGATAAATTGCATGGCTTTAAACGCAAACCATGCGCTCCAATGAAAGAGATCTGAAAAATATTTCAAATTCTTTTATGATTAAGTAGTTAAATTTTTGTTTTCTTTAAATTTGACTTGTTGCATTGATGTTTATATCGTTTTTATTAGTCGATTTCAAATATTTTTATGGTATTTTTTTTATTTGTCATCTTGTTATTCCACTATACGCAACCTTTTGAACTTTGTCGAGAGAAATAACTTTATGTCATAATAAAAACATGTATAGCTAGCAGTGATTTCGTACACTTTATCACGAGTAAAAATTGTGTCAGTAAAGCTGTCGATTTTACGAGAACATGTTAATCTTTAAATTATTTGCAATGTACCGCCATTGGAAAAACATCAAATGAAAAATGAAATGTGTTCTTTTTATTACAAAACTGAAAAATTGTCTTCGAAAAAGCTGCGGTATTTTCTTTTTTTTATAAATATAAACGAAAAAAATATTTTTTCCATTTTTGAATTAAGGTGATTCATGTGAACAAACATATTTTTTCCTTTATATTTCGAGTAAAAATTTTTTGAACTATAAAATTTAGAAATGAATTTCAAATAAAATCTTGTGAAATATATTTCAAAAAAATTCGATTGGTTAAAATTACACAGTTACCTTTTTTCGAACACAAGTGTGTAATAACAAAAATGAAAAACTTATCTCAAAATGTGAATCGGAAGTAAAAAAAAAAAAATTGCCAATATAAAAAAAAGTCATCATTTTAACCAAAAAGAATTGTTTTATTTTCGAGTTGTGCTGATTCTGTGAAACGTTTTTCATCTGACGTTTTTAAAAAGAAAAGAAAAAGAAAACGTGGAAAAAAAATTGTTTCCAGCGATGCGATAGTAAAGTTCTCAAAGTTTTTATTCGATGAATTGAAGCTCTTTCTTTATTCTTTTCAAACGTAAACGACAAATAGAAGCCGAACATACAGGTAAAAAAAAGAACTTAAAGAATCAATTTTATTTTTATTTCGAAAAATAAATTCTCCGCATTATTACTTCGCCATTTAAGTGAAGATACAAAAAAAAGTTAAAACTAAAAATTTTTCCAAGCTATATAAAATTGCAATTGTCAATAAAAGCAACAAAAACAAGTTATACATAATAAAAGTCACGTTCAATTTGTTAATGCTATTCCATTTGAAGATTTTGCCTGATAGAAGTCACACCTTCTTCAAAATTACTCCTACAGATTATTTTTAAATTAAGTTGAATTTAAGGCTTCGTATACTCTAAACCACGCCTATCATTGTAGGTTACACCTAGGCGTAGTCTACTAACAACCACGCCTAGTATTTAAGTTTACGCCTACCTATAGGCGTGGTCTTCTAAGTCACAACCTCTATTTAAAGTTACGCCTATTTAAAGGCATCGTCTAGTCTAAACCACGCCTACTATTGGAGGTTACACCTACTTATAGGCATGGTCTACTAAAACCACGCCTATTATTTAAGGTTACACCTACTTATAGGCGTGGTCTATTAAAAACCACGCCTACTTATAGGAGTGGCTTACTAAAAACCACACGTATTATTTAAAGTTACGCCTACTTATAGGAGTGGCTTTCTAAAAACCACGCCTATTATTTAAAGTTACGCCTACTTTAAGGCGAGGTCTACTAAAAACCTTGCCTATTATTTAAGGACATAGTGTGCGACACCAATTAAATCAAAATCTACATTAATTTTCTATTATTCAAATTACGTCTAATTATAATAAATTTTACATTTTTGCGTCAAGGTTGATATGGATATATATTTTTTTTCTCTAAGGGCAAATTTTTTACATGAATATATTTTTCTTGAGAATTGATAAATGATAAAGCTATGAGTCATGAGATAACGGAAAAATGGAAATTTCAATATTTTCCTTTTGTGTGTCGTCGAATACGATGGTGGTGGAGAGAGAATATGTCGATTCTCTCCCTTCTATATCGTCCGAAAAAAAGAGGGTAACAAAACGTGTAAGGATATGAATCTAATGGCATGGTTTCAATGGAATAAAGTTGACCTAGTTGCAAGGGAATTATACTGAAACCTCGAAGCATTATAGGTAACGTCGGGTGGAGAGAGAGAAGAATTGCAAATGGCAAAGACGAATGAAGCTACTGCTGCTGCTTCTGCGGTTTTGCTGCGTCGCGCGAAATCCAGAAACTTCGATGTAATTCAAGTCAGAAAAGTGAAGCCACATTTTATAACGCGCGAGCGCGGATTCTATGTAACGATCACTTATAATTTTATGGGACTTAAAGTTTTATACGTGTTGAAATATGCCATTTTTCGTGAGGTTCTTGAGATTTTACAATACTTTTTTTAGCATTCTATTTGTGTTGGGAGTATACTTTAAATGAAATTGTTATTGTTGTAAATAATTTTCAAATGCAAAAAACAATTTTTTATTTTGTAAAAAAACATTAGTATAAAAATATATTTTAAAATAATAAAAATTAAATGTAATAAAAGTTAAATGATTTAAAAAAAATTTTCTATTGTTTTTGATGCAATTTATGATTTTGAAAGAAATTGCAAATGCAATTGCAGATCGTAATTGGTGTAAATGAATCTTCTGTTTGAACGCTGTGTTATGAGAACAGTAGTGAAACAAATCTTTTGTTTTGTTTGAAATGCATCACAGCTTGCGGGCAGCTATTTTTTTATCTGAATGCATTTTATATAACAAGCTTATCAGTGAAAGCGCGAGTGTAGAATGTGTACGTGTATCGAAAAAAATTATATATATATATATATGATTTTTTCAAGAGAATGAGTTCGCGCTCTAGATTAAGGTACTTTTATTTTTATATCCCAAAGCTGATCACGTCCTTCTTCTCGCACAACTGCGAATGGCACTTAACCGTTATTAGATATTGCACTTTTCAGTTTTTTTTATTTTTTTTTAAGGTCCTTGATTTTTAGTGCAATTTTTTCTAATGTAAATTTTATGCTTTATACTAATTATTAATAACTTTTTTTTGAACAATAGGCACAAGTTATTTAAAGGTGCATGAACATTTATTTTAGTAAAATGAGATCACGAATTAATTTGGTTTCCTATAAGGTCACAAGTGTTACTAAGAATAGATTGAATAATTTTGTACCTATAGTCCATCGAAGGGCAAATTATTTCTTTCTCTGATGACGTAAAACAATACAATTGTATCAGATTTCTTTTACTTAGAGATAGAGATTAAAATAAATTTGACATCGTTGCTACAGGTTTTGTTGTTATGAAGAGATTTTAATTCTGTTAGTTTTTTTTTAAAAAAAAAACCGGAAGATAAATTATTCAACAGTTCTTTTTTTGTATACAATTTCAACGTTACTTTTAAGAAAGATTTGCAACAATTTAACGCTTTTTATATTAAATTATTAGATAACTTTAAAACTTGTGGCGAAACAATTACAAAAATAAAAATTTATTTTAAAAAAATTACTATAATGAAAAAAAATTTTAAAATAACGATTATTAAATCTTTTTCTAAAGTGAAAATAATACTGAATTTTTTGGGGTAAGAGAAGTGATATTTTACATGTCTAAAGTTTGCATCAAAAATGTCCATTCTGATGAAAAATAAGGGTCATTCAGATGAAATATCATATATGTACGCTCTTGTTTTCCAAAAGTTCTCTTTCAATTTGACTTTTAGAGAAAAATCAAAATAAAAAGATGAAGAGGAAAAAGTGTACGCTGAGAAAACTTTCTTTGCAACAACTAAAATAGATTAAACTGCCAAGAGCAATAGAGTTTCAGATACAATAATAATAAAGTTAAAAAAAAAATATTTCAGGACAAATTAATCTACCACAATTTTCGCTATAATAAAATTTTTAACTTCTTTAATGCTGTAATAAAATTATTTTAAACTGTAGAAAAAAATAGTTATTAAAATTTTGTCAACTCTAAGATAATAATAGAAAAAAGATTAAAAATATTTAAAACCAAAAATGTAGGTGTGGCTTAATGGGGCGTAACTTTAAAAAGTAGGCGTGTTTAAAATAAGTACACACCTTTAGCAGGCCGAAACCTTGAAAAGTAGTTGTGGCTTAAGATAGGTGACACCTTTAATAAGGCGTTACTTTGAAAAGTAGGTGTGTTTTAAATTAGACCACGCCTTCAATGGAGCGTAATATTCTAAAATAGGCGTGGCTTAACTAATATTACCGCCTTCATAGGACTATAACTTTCTAAATAGGTGTGGCATAAATTAAATAACACCCTCAATAAAGGCGTGACTTTAAGTAGGCGTGATTTAAATTTTGTTCTAAGGTGTATAATGTTTCGAGTAGGCGTGGCTTAAGTTATATTACGCCTTAAATGGGGCGTGGATTAAAAAGTAGGCGTGGTTTAATTTAGACCACGCCTTTAACTGGGCGTAATTTAGAAAATGAGGCGTGGTTTACAAAGAAAATGGTGCATAACCTTGAAAATTGAAAAAAAAATTCACAAATTTTGAAAATAAAAAATAGTAATTTTTGTTTATACAGGTGGATCGGGCGGAAAACGAGGAGGCCCAGGGGGGAGGTCTGGCGCCATCTTCCGCTTACTGCAGCGGTCCATCGAGTTCGAGAATGGGCCCAGGGCCCGATTCTGGAAGCAGTGGTCCGTCTTCGGCCCCGCATTCGTTGGCCACGTCGCGCGACGAGGAAGACGACGAGGACGAGGAAAGTAGTGCAAAACATACAAATAGTCACAGTGACAGATCTCGGTAAGTCCCAAAAAGAACTCCATTAATAATGAAAAATTGTTTTTTAATTTAACAATAGAATTTTTTTAAATTATTTTGAATGTAAATATTTTACTTTTAATTTTATAAAGTATGTATATATTTATATGATATATAATATAACAATATTAAAATACAGAATATTTTATATTAACATAAAATGATAGTATAAAATATTTTTTAAAAATGAAAAGTATTATATATTTAAATAATAATTACTACGGAGGAATCGTTTCCAAAAAAAAAATTGCACAATTTTGCGAATAATGCTTTAAATTTTTTTTTTCTTTACAATTTTAAATTAATTTCTTTAAAAAGTACAAAAAAAGGGGGAATGTTTGATTACATCGAAAATATGAAGTATAACATCAATCTATATTCCAAGGGTGGAAATGACGTTGAGATGAGAATTTTCACACTTTTTTTCTGTTTCTTTTTTTTTTTTTTTTTTGCTTGGTAACAAACATAATCCGTAATTTCCTGAATACGGGAACGCGCATTCCCCTATATTCGCGGACAAGGCAAATGGGGGAGAAAAAAGGGGAAAAATAACAAAACGAAAAAGAAAAATGCACGAGCTACATTTAAAGCAAACTATATAGGCGACAATTCCCTTCCATTCACTATTTTTATTGTCATATTTTTTTTTTGCTTGCTTACAGTTGAGTTATGAGAAAGTGGAAAATCTGCGAAATTGTAACGTATATGAAATCGTTTTCTTTCATATTCTAATTTTTTATACTCGCTAACATTTTTTTTTATTATTTAATAAAAATATAAATTTTCATTATTTTCAATAATTTTATGGTTATTTTTTTATTGATTTTAAAATTTAATTATTAATTATGTTATTTCTGCCTTGATTTGTTATTAGTTTTTTTTATTGTTATTATAAAAATCAATAATGGGATTTTTTTTGAATGAAGAAAAAGTTACAAACACATTTTATTCATATCATTTTATTAATTTTATTATTTTAGAAAAGGAGAAAAATAATTATTTTTCATTATTATTATATTTTTTAATAATTAATATTTATGTAGTTCAGGGAATGTAATAAATTTATTATTCTAATTAGTAAAATAAAACTGAAAATAATGAAACACTTTTTTAGTAGCAGTAATAATGTTTTTTTTTTTATTTTATCACTTTGATAAAATGTATATATAATTCTATGAGTGATATAAAATGAAGAGAAGAGCTTTTATTTCGCGGTATCGAGAGAAAGCGATTTCATTGGCCATTAAAGTTTTCTACTTTTTCCGTGAAAGCCTCTCGCGATGAGAAGCATAAATTTATTAGGATTATATCACGTTATAGAGAGCACAGCATAATAGCCACAGTGGTGACCAATCGTTGTACCACGGGTGATAATCACTTTTACACATACCTTCACACATTTAATATCTTTATCCATTATCCGAGAAAATTGTTTTATCCATCTTTTTTTTCATTCCCGCGTGCGGCATTAATATACTAACAAAAAAATTTTATTTTTTATTATTTTCCATGGAAATTTGAAATAGAATTTTTTAAAAATTGTTTTTGTCGAAAAGAGAAAATTTAATTTTTGCTCCATATAATTTTCATGGAGATTGGAAAATTTGTTTTTCAAAAAAATTCTTGTTTTTTATTGGTATTTGAACAAAAAGAATTACTATTTGTTAGGAATTAGAATAAAACAATGACGAAAGCAACGTTTTTTAACTAAGTGATTGAATTTAAAAAAAAAAACTGCTCAGATTCGAACCTTTGACGATAGCCGTAAGAAATGTCATTTTTGCCTGCGGCTACTTTGTAAATTTCAAATTTACGTTTCATAGAAACTATTTCAAGTAATTTCTCGCTGAAAAAATGTTTTTTTTTTAAATATAATTTTCTTAGGTTTAATTTTTGAGGGTTTCCTTGGGTCTTTTTAATAAAAAAAAAAATGTTTTTTTTTTAATTTAAGAATTTTTTTTATTTTTGACACGAATCGAGACCGGCAATAATAATAAATGAAAGTCAATAAAGTGGAACAAAAGTGGACAATATGATATGTGAATGATTAGGAGAGTCAGATTCTCTTGAAATCAAGAGAGGTCCAGAGAGAGTAGTTACTACCTGACGAGCCTATTGACCTATTTGCCCCACTTAAACGTGATTGCCCGATCAACTTTATCGATCGCGGGAACCATTGCCATTGGTGGCAAATAAACCAGTAGTAGTAGTAGTAGTTGATTTTACCAAAGTACTATTTCCCTTGGTCTCCTGAGGGAGCCCGAGAAATCATCTGCTTTTAATAAACAACCGCGTAAACGTTCCTTTCACACGTTATATTTCATTAGTTTCAAAATTTTCCATATTAATTTAACTATATATTGAAAAATTAATTTTTGTGTTTAAAATTTTTAAAAAATTTATTTGCAGTATTTTATCTGTTCAGGAAATAGTAAATATTTATTGGACTGATTGATGGGGAAAAAAAATTGACTCTCTAAAATTTTATTTCAAGGCCCTTTTATTTTTTTAGATTTTTTTTCACAGGACGGGGCCGAATGGAATCGCCCCAAAATTCGAAAAATCAAAGAGGAAGATACTTGGAATTTCCTCTTGGCGCCTCCAAGTGAAATATAGGTACGGCCACTGTGAATAAAATTCAATGACAAATAACCAAAAAAAAGTGAACGATAAGAAAAACATTTTTTTCATGACAAAAATGTAATTCTTGATCATTTTTGTTTTTGAGAATTTTTTCGCATCTCAACTGAAAAAAACCGCAAAAATTGACTTTGCTTTCAGTTTCTTTGTTCGTGTTTCGCTGTAGAGCACATCGATTTTCCATTACCAAAAAAAAAACAGTTTAAAAAAATTTTTTTTCTCTATTGTCATTATTTTTTTGGGAAATGGAAAATAATGTTTGGCGCTATACAAAAAAATTTAGGTGTCAACATAAAATAGCTTGTACTAGCGTACATTCAAGAACATAGAGCGGCACTGAGGTTGAGAACCTAGCGAAAAGTGGGGGTGAACGCACTTTGATTGGCGCTCGAGCGTTCCCCACCACTTTTCACAAGCGGCGCTCGCAGTGTTCTCAACCTAATTGTCCAATTCTACAGTTCAGTGACGCTAGTCCGAGCTTCACACAAATGAATTTTGTTCGTAAAGCACAATATAATTGGCCGCAAGATTTTAATTTATTTTTGAGAGTGTGCATGAAAAAAAATTGTCTAGATTGTTCGATTATTAAACAATGAAAAAACATTCACTAATTCATCGCTATTTTTTCGAAATGAACTTCTTTTGCTAAATTAAAAATGGTTGAAAAACAAATTTTACCGCTGAATAAAAATTCGCTTGCAATTCTATTTCGCTGCTAACTATACAATTAGTGCATGAGCAAAGCTAAGTGATTAATAAACGATTTTAATATTTAACTAGAATTATAATAAAAAATTAATTAAAATAAATTATAAATATTTTACTATAATTATAAAATAGAAAAAATAGAATTTAATTGAAAAAAGTGCAAAATTATTCTATTAAATATTGTATTATATTTTTATGAAAGAAAAATATTTCAATACAAAAAAAAACAGTTTAAAAGTGTCAAAAATTAAAAAAATTTGTTGCTCATTATTATTATTATTATCGAAGGAAAATTTATTGTCTCGGACGCAACTCGATAATTGACTTTAAGCGGAAGTTCACTCGCGGTTCAAATTCATCCTATGAAATTCAGATTCAATTACATTCGACGTTCGTTCAGGAAACCTCCGAAGGCCTCTTGTGACCTAATATATATATTGAGTAATCGAAGGTACGTGGTCTCGCTCAGAAGACTTCGAGAGCGGATCAATTTTATCACACAGCAATGTATATATGACAAAAAATTTTTTTTTATTTATACAAAAGAAATTAAAAAATTTTTTTTCTTTCTTCCATCATACAATTTTTGAATAATTTTACTAATATATAAAAGTTTAAATAATTAAATCATTTCAAAAAACTTTGGAATTAAAAATATATTTTAAAAATCAAATGAGTTGATATAATAAAAAAAATAAAATCAAGTTTTGAAAAAAAATAGGGACAAAAATTCTCAGCGGGAATCGAACCCCCGACGATGATCTCCGAGAGATTTGCACTTTTACGCTCGGCCATTTCGCAACTATTAAATTGACATCGCGTTAAATTTTTTTCGGTCAATAAAATACCTTTTCTTGAGAGAACAGAAAAATTTGTTAGGAATTAGTCAATCATTGATGAAAAAGAACAATATGTGAATGAAAATAGAAAACAATTTTGCATTACAGAATAAAAGAAGAAGAGATGAGGCGCAATAGGAGAAAAGACAAAAGAGGAAAGAGCTCGTGAGAAACAAATAAGAATCAGGTTAAACGAGACTGCACTCAAGACTCGTGAGTGGAGAGCTTTAGGAAGCTTTAGCCTTTTATCTCTTGCATCCTGCCACGAGCCTTTTATACAATTTTTTTTTTGCCCTTTTCTTTCAGTCCTCGTAGAGTTCTTTGATACTTTTTCTCTTGGGAAAAGAAGCAAGAGAGAGAGAAAGAGAGAGAAATGTACCTTTCGCGTAACAATGCAACGCCACTTAAGGAGAAAAGGGGTGGGGGGAGGGCGCGCTTGAATTAAGGAGTCTCGGTGTTGAAAATGGTACAAGAAAATAGAAAATAAGCGAATTCGCTTTCTTATATATGCGACAAAGCTAGCACTATATATATTTTGCTTCTTGCAGAAAGCGAACTTAGTATTTGCATCGGGATCCTTTTTTTTTCTTATTTCCGAACAAGCCGCAGCGTTTCCGGTACTCTTCCTTCTTTTTATTCGTTTCCCATCTCATTGTGGTTAAGAAAACATTGTTGGGATTCTACTGTATAAACAGATGAAGCTCACAAAAGCTCTCTTGGATGTCACGTCGAATGGAATTTATTTCGCATTTATTATTAATAATTCAAATACTCGACTTTTTGGCGAAGAAGTAACAAAAAGATGATTATTTTTTTATTTTTCCTTTTATTTCTAAAACTCAAGTGAAAAAAATTTTTACGTTAGGAATTACACAGCGCCATTAACGCACAGTTGCAGGTGTACCAACTGTTTTTCAATAAATTCACAAATTGGCGCGAAAATTTAGAAAAAAAGATATTTTTTTTTTCTACGAATTTTAAAAAATCTACCATTTGTAAAAATTTTTAAATAATTTTAATTTATAAAAAAATTAAAATATGTTATTCCAAAACGAAGTAAATTTTTTTTATTCTTTAAAACTTCGTTTCTAATTTTACTAAAAAGGAAATAAAAAAAATATATTGAATTTTTTTTTTAACATTCTGAGAATTTCTCACGGCTTATTTAAAATAACTTTTTTTTAGCTGTTTTTTCAAAAGAAAATTTGCAAATAATGTTTTGTAATTAAGTTAACGTCTTTTCTGCGTGGAATTAAAAGTGGAGGGAAATTTCATTCTTCCTCTGCGGAGAAACGGAAACGACAATATTTACATAGAAAGAAATTGGACGTCAGTCGGTTATTTGAGTTGTGCTATGAGTAGCTTTAGAGAGAAAAAAAAAAAAGATTTTCATTTATAAATCGAGGGCGACATTCATAAAGACAAATTGTATAATGAAGCAATTAACGAAAAAAAAATTTCCATCGAGAGACACACCGACTTTAAAGATTAAATTTCCATTCAATTCGTTTAATAATAATAATAAATCGTAATTAATCGTCTCTAAAGATATGACAAAATTTTAACTGAATTTTAGAAATTTATTATTCATAAACATTCTTTAAAAGTAATAATTAAAAAAAGTAAATAGAAAATTAAAAAAAAATTAAAATTAATTTAAAAAACCTTTTTTAAAAGTAGTTAAATTTTTTCGACTGACAAAAGGGAGGAAAAAAATAATTAAAAAAAGTCAGATAAATAGAAGGTGTTTTAATTGAAAAAAGTGACATTAATTAAAATTTTAAATGAAAATTGAAATATTTTCCAATTCTCCCTCTCTTGACGCAAAATGTGTGAGTTAAGAACTCATTGATGAATATAATGAAGAGTATTTGACTCTTATTAACGTATAACCAGCCACTCGAGTTTCATAAAATTATCGCAATTCACTCGTATAAGCCAGCCAGTGAAATAGGTCCTTTCATGTGAGTGCCTTCTACTATACTGATTATTCCCATGGGGGCAACTCGAAAAGCAGTATGAATTGCACGTACTGAGAATATTATCACGGGGGAGAAATTGCAATTGAGAACAAAGTTCTACTTCGCGTCATATATATATATATATAGTATGTATTCAAAGTAATTACTGCGGCTTGCGTGAAATCCGATTTTCTCGAAAATTCATCATGATACGTTTTGTATGGGGCAATAGATTGTCCAGAAAAGAGAAAAGGAGACCAAGAAAGAAAGAGAAAGAAAAAAAAAGGGGGAAAATTTTTTTTCTCTCTCCGCGAAAAAAACCTTCTCCCAAGACACGAACGTTTCTTATATAGGCGTAGTTCATTATTCTCTTCAACACAGTACTTACATATATATATATATATCGATAAAATGCCGCCATTAAGGTGAAAAATTTTCCATTGAAAATAAATTACTCAGAAAGACTTTTCAATTTTACTTCTTGGAGAATATATTTAATTTGCAAATTTTTTGAGCAATTTTTTTTAACATTACACAATAGAAAAAAAATTTTTTACTCTGAAATTCAATTTACATTCATTATTTATTTATAATTTCGTTTTGAAAATTTAAAAACAGTTTTAAAAATAGTTTTTTAAATTTCCCGCGATAATTTTACGATTTCTATTTCATTTTAATTTTACTATTTCTAGGTTATGTTATATGTCGATAAAGTAAATAACTACTTTATCGACATATAACATAACCTAGAAATAGTCTTTCTGTTGAAATGATTGTAATCATTAAAAAAAGTTCCGGAAACATAAAAATTCAAAAAAAAATTTCCTTTTAATAAACAAAAATTTGTTAATATTTGTAAAATCATCTCGAAGATAAATATAACCAATATTGTTGATGAAAACGGAAAATACGTTTATAGGACTTGGGATAATATTCCAGGTGAGATGAGTGGTTTTCTCGATGTGAGAAGAGGGAGGGGGGGGGTGGATTATATATATAAGCTTCGATTCCATCAGTATCTTAAGTTCCAAAACCTCTCTTTGGGTAAATAGTCGATAAACGTGTTGAATTCAATATTACCGAAATACTGTGTGGGTATTAAACTTCGGATTGGGTTTTGGGTTTGCCTTGAGGTAAACGAAACGCGATTCGAACGCGTCGAGAGCAAATGTTGAAAATCGAGGATCTTAACCCATACATTTAGTTCAAAAAAAAAAACTTTACTTTTATTATTCCAACACTCAAAATGAATAATTTTGCCCGCTAAAAAAAATTACACTTTAACAATTTATTCGCAAGTATCTCATTCCCCCCGAAATACGAGCAAAGTCATTCAATTATCTGTTCCATTAACGAAAACGCCCACATTAGAGAGTCTATCCGAAATCTCCATTTATCTCAAACATATTCTATTTTCCATAATTTACTTTCCAATCATAAGGGGAAATTTGATTTTTTTTGTCTCGTAAAATAGTGCAATTTTTTTTTGTTGAAATTGATGAAAAATATGTTAGTAATTAATAAACAAAACAAGTTTCGTGGAGGAAAAATTAAACAAAAATACTTTGCCTGACGGGAATCGAACGCTTGACTCAAGTTTATAAGTCGGGCGCTTTTACTACGAAGCCAGAATATTCTTACTAGACACAATTCACGTTTTTATCAATTCTGGTTAATTTACGTTTAATTCATTGAATATAAGTAAATTTTTTTTGCAATTTTATATTTTTACATAATCTTTGGAAGTTTTGCTCTACGATTTATTTATCTTAATTTTTTTTTTAAATTAATACTAAAAATAAATTATCTAACGAAATGTTTAAATTTATTCATTTTATTTGATTCCTGTCAGGAAAGGATTTTTAATTTGAACAATAATGTATATATTTAAAAAAAAAACTAAGAAAAATAAGAAAAGCGAATGAAAGGGATATTAAATTTGAAAAAAAAATGAAGAAATTTTATGAAATTGGAGTGAAAGGAAAAAAAGAATGAAAGAACAATGGACAGACGGACAGAGTAGGAAGAAGAAAAGAGAGATCTCTGGGCTTCCATAGGTCTTCTTAACAGGTTTGCAGGAATGCATCGAAGATCATCACTGCAGAAGTCCTTCAGCAATGGACTAGGAGCTACCTCAACGACATCCAATTCGTTGGACAGCATTTGCGGTGACTCCAACATTCCGGAAGCGGCTCGAAGACCCCGGAGTACCCGGGGTTCTCAAAAATGGAGTAATGTTCGCGCAGTCATGGCGCTCTATTCCTCCCTTCGCAAGATTAAGAGGTACTCGTTACCTTGGACAGAATCCTCCTCGTCAATATTGCCACTTAATTGCACTTAAATAATTGCGGGGTTTTGTTTTTTAAATAAATAATTTATTTTACAAACAGGAATTTTTTGAAAAATTAATATTAATTATATATATTAATAATTAATATATTATTTTATGTTTTTTTTTGAAAATATGTATAACTGAAACTGGATTAAAGAAAATATAATCAAATTTGTCAGTGAAGAGTATTGGCTGAGTTGGTATGGTTAGTAACTGTGCACCTCAGAGTCTCAGGTTCGAATCTTTCTGAAAGGTAATTATTTTTCTATTTTTTATGTTAATTGAAAGTAATTAGAATTTGTAATCAATTTTTACCATTGGAAAAACTAATTTAGAATTGAAATTAAATTTTCTTATGAAAAAAAAAATTCAGAACAGGAAGATTCGAACCTACGACGTTAAGTTGTACAGTCACTAACTTTACCAACTGCTCCACTACAAATTACTCTCAGGACACAGTTTATTTGATCATTTATCGTATTTTTAATATTCTTCCATACTAATAGAATTTTTTCATATAAAAAAAAAAATAATTGTACAATTTATAATTTCAATTAGAGTAAGTGGCAACATTGTTCATTAAAATTTGAAATGAAAGACCTTAATCGTAAAATTCATCGAAACACACAAAAACGTAAGAAAAGTTTAATCATAAAATCCACATATTTTTTTTTTTAAAAAAGGTTTTTAAAAAAATTTGATTACATATCTATGCTGTCATTATTTCTCAAGGATTTATAAGAAAAAAATAGTTATCGACAATTATTTTTTTAAACTTTTTTTTACAAGTACTGCAACATTTATTTTTCCTTTCGTTCGTTTTATTTGAATTTTACTTTTCAATTTTTTCATTTCAATTTTAATTCTCTAAACGTTGATTAATTTTTTTTTATAATCTCAGTAATATTGTATTTATATTTTATTAGATTTTTATTATCAGTAGTTATTTTCAGTAGTTATTAGACAATTATCACAAGTTATAATTGATATAATTTATTATTTTTATTATTATTATTATTAGTGTTAATATTATTTTTATTATTATTACTATTACATTTTTCGTAAGATGCAAAAAGAAATTGCTGCAACCCGCAGAGGGAATTACCAATTAATTTCAGAACTCAGGAACATTGTCCTGGAGTTTATTATTAATTTGATAATAAATTAATTATTTCTTAATGAGCCAGGTTATAAGGGGATGAATTCTCTTGTTCTTGACGGTTTAGAAAAATGATTCCCTTAACAATGCTATTCTTCTTCAGGAACTACCATAGATGATTTTAGACGATTTTAGCTTTGCCTTTATTTTTAGCCTATTTGTTCTTGATCCTTGCAGATATCTTTTTGGTTACTTTAAAAGCTGACCTAAAAATACCGTGGAAATTCCATTTCCTGTAGAGGTTTGGATGTTCACCTTCCGGTTGAATTTCTCCCAGAAACTGTTTGAGCTCTTCTTACAATCTGAGAATTTATGATCGGCTTCTCTGCACTTGAAGCAATCGTTACGGATTTTCTTCCTAGACTGTAACCGTAAGATGAGTTACTAGAACCATAATCCTTGTTTTAATTGGGTTAGATATAAATCCAACCTTTATACATTCTTGGTACTCTAGAATATTAGCCACTTCTTGGTTAGTGATAAATTTTATATTGTTAAGTTTAAGGACCATCAGTTTCTTACTTCTTGCTGATATTCTCAGGATATTGAGGACTTCAGTACTTATGTCCGTTGGACCTTTTCCTTCTGGGTAAGGCAATCCAGGTCGCGGATCTTCAGTATAACCATTTGGTCTGCCGTCGCTACCTCTCCAATAATTCTAATAATCTCCGTTTCCTTGGATGAGAAGTCTCCAATTCTTAGAAATAGGTCTCCTTTCTTGAAGAGCTTCATTCCTTCTAGCATAGTGTAGGCTTCTGGATTAACTATTTCTTTCTTAGCTGCTTCGTCACATTTTAATTTAATCTCTGGTAGAATTTCTCCTATTCCTTCTTGGCTACTTCGCGGTCCGTCTTAGCATCCTTTATGATGGACATCAGGGTTTTCAGTCCACTCATTATAATCATCCAGAAGTTCTTCTAAACCGTCATTATCCAATTCTTTGCTGTATCTTATCTTTGGAATCTTCCTCAATCTCCTTGTGGTAAAATTCTCATTCATCCAAAACGATCTCTAGCATCTTTAAAGCGTTGTTGCTCTCCTGCATCTGCGTAATGCAGAAGAAGTATCCCTCGATGCCAATCGAAACCAATGAGGGATTTAGCAGAAGCATTACTAAATGTTTTTACATTGCTGCCTTTTTAAGCATCAAAGATGATAAGCATACTAATCCCTAAACGAAAATTTAGATAAATTGAAGTTTTACCGAAACTCTCCCTTGAACAAGTTATTATTAAATGTCTCATTATTGTCATCTTTTATCTGATTCTATTTGCCATGAAAATTGATGATTGTTTATTGAAAATCAGTTCAGATTCTCTTCCTTCAATGAAATTGAGTTTCCTCATTAAAATACAATTTATCTTCCAATCATGCTGAAAATTTCTAAACCCACGCATAACCATCCAGTGAATCTCAAGAGTAAAATTTCTATTTATTATTCATCATCCTAAGACTATTTTGATTTCATCAAATTAGTATAATCTTCATATGAACTATTTTAATGTTCATTGACCTAAAAATCAAGAAAGTCGAGTTTTTCAATTTTAAATTTACTTAAACTTTCACATACTCGAGGAGAGTGAGAATAATTTCAAAGTTGTGCCTCGTAAAGTTTATATGTGAACGGTGGAAACAGGATAAATTAGTTTATAAACTCTTGACTGTCTTGCTCTTGAGCGATGGTTTGGGCTTGTGTTATGGGTAGTGAAAGGGTTAATGATAAACTTTTCGTATTTTGGTTAACCCTATATATAAGAAGGAAATTGATTTTAAGGAATGTAATTTACACGGTTTGGTTAACGTGCAAACGTTAAACAAAACATGGAGATTAAATTAAGGACACAACTTTTCTCTGATAAAAAAATAAATCCCTTCTTCATTTCCCCCTTTTTAAATGAACAAACGCAATTGTTACGATCTTATTAATGGCCCCCTTATATACCTCACGTTTCCCGGCTATTAATCTTATTTTTCCTTTCTTTCATTCCGCTTGAATTGATCAAGCCTCAGCGGAAATTTCTTTTCTTTATTTTTTTTTTATAGAGAAAATCCTATTATAAAAACAAAATTTATTGATCGCACAAAAAGTTTTAATATCATTTCAATCTTTCGTATTCAATTGAATGGAATTTAATTTAATTCGTGCTAAATTTTAATTTAACCTTCGAATTAAATTAGACATTTTTTTTAAATTCTTCAGAAATAATGACTTATATGTATTAAAAAAAATTAATTGAATTAAATTTTTATCAATTATTTTTAATGTTAGAACACTTATCATGTTGTTGATGCATTATCTTGATTCAACACCTGTAAATTGTTACTAAACTAAAATCGTCTATTTTTCCTTAACCTCTTAAATTGTAATTGTCTACCTCTGTTTCTGTCTCTATCTGTCTGTCTGTCTGTTTGTTTGCCTGTCTCTCATTCATCTGTCTTTCATTCTCTATTCTTGAAGAAAGACTATTGATTTCTATACTGACAATGTTTTTTTTGTATCTATCATTTATTTATTTTTTTTTAAATCTGTCAATTTATAGAGTAGTTAAAATAATAAAATGACAGCTATAAATTTTCATCTCGTTATTAATAGACTGCTTTTACAATTCCCATTGTAGCCATTATGAAAGGTAATAATTTTCACAATGGTTTACGACTCTACAATAATTGACATAAACTGCGTATTGATCGACGAAATGATTTATATATATATATTCTAAGCGTGTTAAAGTTTTGCATTTTTAGCCACTGAAGCCGTGAAATGAAAAATCATTAAAAATGTTTTTTTTGTCAATCAGCACGAGCGAGGATCTCTTCAGCATCTCTTTTCGTTGATATGTTCTATATAACCCTACACTTCTCTTCTTTCAACCTTGACTTCTATTCGCAATAATCGCTCTCATCAAAAAATCGTCTTTTATTGTCCGTTATTATTATCAATATCATTGTTATTATTTTGATGACAATCTAACAGTTTTTCTAATTTCAGAACAAAGAGCAATCAACGTTGGATGAAATTAAGGACAACTGTTCAACTCTCCTCGGCTATTCAAACCATCCAAAAGAAGCCACCATTAAAACGTGAAGATTCATTTTTAAAACGATTTTCCACAAGACAAATTCCCGAGAGTCAGGAGACGTTGGACACAGCGGAAGGTGAGGGCGATCCATCGGACGAAAAAAATCCAAATACAAGACGCCGACGACCACGAAGACCACAAAAACCACCAAAAACAGTTGTTAATCCTGATGAGAATTTCTACTACTACTGGCTAATGCTCCTCTCAGTTTGTGTTCTCTACAATCTTTGGACACTGATTGTGAGACAAAGTCTCCCAGAATTACAAGGCCTAGCACCAGCCGTTTGGTTAGCATGCGATGGATTTACAGATCTTGTCTTCTTTCTAGACGTCGGTGTTCAATTTCGCACTGGATATCTCGAACAAGGTCTAATGGTTTATAATAATAAAAAACTTGCCGGACATTATGTGAAATCAAAATCATTTGTGCTCGATCTACTTGCACTATTGCCATTGGATTTACTGCAGGTCAATCTTGGCAGTAATCCTCTACTCAGGTTTCCCCGTTTTCTCAAGATCTATCGAGTCTACAATTACTATTACATGGTGGAATCGCGAACCGTCTATCCAAATCTCTGGCGTGTTCTCAATCTCATTCATATTCTTCTAATTCTCGCTCACTGGTTTGGCTGCTTCTATTATCTTCTCAGCGAAGCCGAGGGATTTCAAGGCGATTGGGTCTATCCCTACCGACCTGGAGAATATGCAACACTCACCAGAAAATATCTTGGATCATTGTATTGGTCAACACTCACCCTTACCACCATCGGAGATCTACCAACACCGGAAACCAACGCCGAGTGAGTTTTTATAGTTTGTTTAAAAAAATATATTTTTCATTTAACAGTAGATTCGCTCTTGTGACAACTGGAGGAGATTTGAGAGGCAATGGAACTCGGAATTAAAATTTAGAGTTTAGAAAAAATTTCGTTTGAGCGTTACGGAAAACTGATCGCTCCGCGTTTGGTGGTTCTCTCTTTTATACTACAGGACTTATAGGAGTGGGGAGCGCTTGGGGGCGTTCCCGTCGCGTAGCAACGTCGAATCAGCGCGCAACCCCCTCCCTTGCTTTGGAGTATAAAACAGAAGGACTGAAAAAACCACCGTCAGTCTTTTACGAAATAAGACACTTTCAAAATTTTGAGGCTAGGTGACAGTTTTTCATTTCATTTACTCAAGTAAATAAAATCTCAGTAAATTTGTTTAAATATTCTTGAAACTTACTCTCTAAATATATAATTTTATAACCCTCCCAAAAAAGATAATTCGCATTTTTCACCGTGAAAATGGAAAGTTTCCGGTCTCTTAGCAATTTTTCTCCGTCTCCACCGGAAACAAAACGATATTCTTCCTGCCGTCGTCGTCGTCGAGAAAACTAAAAGGCGATGAATTTTTTTTGTCTTCCTCCCTTTTCGTTTCTTTTTTTTTCCCTTTCCCATGAATGAGGGAAAAGTGACTCTCTTAAGAATAAGTTTTACTCGCCAAAATGGATCTTTCGTGAGTTTATCTCTTTTAAAGACTCTCTCACATGCACGACTTAATCGCGATTTTCCGATCCATTTTGTTGATGCCCCATAGTTAAAAAGAGTCGTAATCAGGGAGGTTGCTAATTCAGCAGTTTCAAATGGTTTAATTTGCAGTGCTTGAAAAGAATTTTCTCTCTCTTGAAATAATTTAAGAAGAGAGAGAGAGAATCTGAGGTTCCATTGCCTCTTAAGTATCCTGCAAGCGTAATAAATTAGTACCTAGGAATTAGACTCGTGAGCGGAGTGTTGTTGTTGTGTTGGCAGAGTCATAGTGGGCGGCAATCCCCGGAGCCTCGCTCGTCGTGGCCGACTGTCCCGGCTTCTGCAGTTCAAGAATAACGGAGGGTATCTGTATCGTTCCCAAAAATCCAAAAGAAAAAAAATAAAATAACTAAAAAAAAAAAATAAAGCCAAAAAAAAGAATCTCTTCTTGCGACCGCTGCCTCCTTCCGAAAAAGGCCTCCGGGGAAAAAAAATATAATTTTCCTTAAAGAAAAAGTAAACGTCATTCATGGTCCATTCGAAAAAAAAGTAATAATTTTTTCAATAGAAACTGCTTCAATTTAAATAGACTGTTTTAATTAAATTTCTTCTAAAAGTTTTCTTCTTTTAAAGAATTGAATTTTTATTTCTAAATAAAGAAACTATTTACAAATTTAATGTTAAGTAATTTTTTTTTCTTTTAAAAGGTCATATTTGCACGCGGAAGTTTTGTCAAAATATAAATATAATATTCGATATTGGAAGAAACGTGACGCGGTCTCGTGTTAACCTTTTCATTTCTAAAATGGTAGAATATCAGAGGTTATCAAACCGAAAAAGCAAAGGCCGGAAACGAAGTATCCGTTCTCGCGCGAGTCAAGTCTTATCGAACGTCTAGATACGTTTCTATGGAACGTAAAAGAACTCTTTTTTTTCCATCGAAATGAGGTCAAGATATGTCACTATTTCATAAGGAACTATAAAAAGAGGGAATAAAAATAAAAAAAATAATGTGCTTTTAAATGAGACAATTTTTGCAAATATTTGCTAGAGTTTAAATTCGAAATTATTTTTTATAACCTAAATGATAACTTGGCATCGTTAATATTTATCATCTGATGCGAAAGTTGTAGCGATCAGCCTATTTATACTGAAGAAAAAAAAGGGTGGGGGTATGCTAAACGCCAATTGGCTAGATCACTTTTCAGGAGCGTAAAGAGTATTAAATTCGCCCTCGGGAAATAAAATTAATTTTCAATTCTACAAAGTGCAATTAATTATTCAGTGTTTTATCACCTATTACCAGTAATAACTAGATAATTTACGACCACAATAGATATGTGTGTTTAATTGCTGTCCAAAAGCATATATAAAGAGGGAATATTATTTGATAACGTTGTTCGCATATATAGGTATACACTTCTACTAGATTTGCGGTTATTCTATTTTGATTTATGGGACAATGAACTTAGTTTATAACATAAAATCGATGACAGAAATTGCTTCGAGCATTTTCGACCCAATTTTTTTTCATAAAGGATAAGGTATTTCATTTTTTATTTCTGTTTTTCGTTGATTTGTTCACCTGTACAGTAAATGAAATCAGTTGGACTTTTCAATTCAAAACATCTGACAGATGAATCTCTTTCTCTTTATATATATATATATATATAAAATGCGATAAAATCGTTTTCAGAATAAATGTCAATTTCTCTCAGAATTAAACAGGACGAAATGCAAATGTTGGTGTGTTTTTTTTTTGTTCACTGACATTTTACCAAGGAAATAATAAATAATAATTCTCTTTTATGCTAAACGGAAAAAAAAAATTTTTTTACTGATTTTTGTGCGAGCAATTCACGGGGGAAATTTACTCTCCTTTTGCTCGTGTGTGATGTCTCAGCAAGAGACTCTCAACGTTGGTCAGCAGTAATAAAAGTAAAAAAAAACGATTCTCTTTCAAACCAATAGTTCGTGAACGATAAAACCGTTGCAATTGAGAATCGTTCGGAGATTTTTTTTTTCATCAAGATGAATGTTTGGAGGAATAAAGTGAAAGATATTTCTATGACAATGTCGCATAAATTTCCACGCGGAATTCATTCGAAATAATAATAATAATAATAATAATAATAATAATAATAATAATGATAATTGACGTTTGAAAATGTGGCACCACACAGAAGTTGTATAAATAATTCCAAGGAAGTAATCTAGATGATGAAGCAAATCCGTCATACCGTAGGGAGTAATTAAAATGCACTCCGTTCTGAACTTGCTTGTTTGAATTCTAACGATCTTAAATAATATAAGTACAAAAAAAAATGATTCTCAAAGAGCCGTATCAATTACTTTCTATTTATTTTACAAAATTATTTTCGATTCTTGAGCCATTTTTGAAATTTTCTCAAGGAATTCATCAATTGACTAAAATATTTAACAAGTATATTTTCTAATTGTAGACTCACTTTTCTAATTGAAGACTCTCTTCATCACTAATTATTATCGATTCTCTCATCCTCTAATTTTGTGGATAATTTAATCCTTTGACCACGTGGATTCATTATAATTATACTGTTGTTTTGAATTTGGTTGTGTTCGATTGGTACAAATTTTCGAGAAATTCAAAGTGTAATTCAATATCTTAGTTTTCGAAATTGCAATTAATTGAAATTTGGAACCAAAACTTTCTATCTCTATCTCTCTCTCCCTCTGTATGGTGTGCACTAACACACTTAATTTCTATTACCTCAGCCGTAAATTTTCCACGAGAGATGAACCACTTAGAAGCTACCTAGAATTCGCAAGTTGGAACAATGTTAATTATCGTGCTTTTAGCTTCGTCAGAAGCTTCTGAAAATATATATTTAAAATCGAGATTTTATTTCATTTTTATTTATCGAGATGTAAATTTCAATTATTTTGAGTTTTGAAGTAGAAAACTCTAAAATAAAAATTCTTCTCATTGAAAACTAATAATTTTCAAAATTGCAAAATATTATTGTATCACTCAAATAATAGTGGAAATTTTCAAGAAATATAATTTTTCCAATTGAAAAAGCTATTTTCAAGGACATAATTATTATTAAGTGGATGATATGTCCGATCAGCTGTTCGAAGGGAAGCCATGTTAGATTTGCTATACAATCTTCCGGCGGAAAATAGAATTAATTCAAAAATTTTAATATTCAAAACTCAATTTATTACTATATTATTTATTTTAATTTTCCAAATTTCGAACGTACGATTGAAGAGACTAATTAATTGTTTGCAAAAAAGAAAGCAATGAGGTAATTAATAATTCCTTTATTATAAAGAATGATGATGATGTAGTGTTAAAAAAAAGTTGCTTATTAGGGGCAAACGTGTCGGTGGCAAGTTGAAAGGTATTATTGCATGTATATAGATGGAGATTAATTAGAGCACTGAATCTGGGCACAAAGGTGACCGTAATATGTGCGTAGGAGTGCATCTCTAATTTGACGGAATAGGAAATAGTATTATAGTGTATAGAAGCCCTTGCTCTCGCGATTATTAATTAAATTCAAGCACTCCTGCCTCGTTAATTTCAACTCACTACATATAATATGGATTACTTGTAGTTTCGATAACTTGAAGATCATCCCTTTCTTCTTCTGCTCTGCCTCGTCATCGCCTACTCTGCTTTTATACTCCCAAAGGGGGCAAAGGGTGACTAAAGTCAAGGCGTTTGGCGTCAATTTAATGATTAATTCATGAGCGTGGTTCACCTCTCGGAATACTTGGGTACAATCCTTCGAGCTGCCCCCACCCCCCAATTTCCTGATAGTGACGTTATTTAGAATAAACAAATTAAAAAATTATTAAAATTTTTTTATATTAATTTTAACTAACGTTATTTTTGTATTTGGAATTGATTTTTCTCTTTCGTTCATGTATTCAATTGAAAATCAGCTGTTAAACGGCAGCCATATTTAGGTCACGTGTGTGTCAGCAGGTTTGCCAACATTAACTCTCATCGGCTTGAATTATGTTCTTTGAATCGACTATGTATATATATATAGTGACCATCGCAATGAATTATGTCAGCTTTATCGGACAGATTTTAATTGTTTCGTTTGATGTGGTCATAGATGGAGAGAGAGAGACAGACGAATCATTTTAATTGGAATTGCAATTAGAGCAAATCGAATCGATTTTCATTGCAAAATTGCGTTTTCTAGTTTACACGCATGTTGTGCAATTTTGTTTTTGGTTATGTGTGGGATTTTGGAGGGAGGGGAAAAAAGGAAGAATATAAGAGGGAGGCAAAGAAGAAAAGCTTATAAGCTTAGGTTGCATATATATATTTGTCGCGGAACGTAATCATCGTGTGAATTCAACATCGATCGTTGCGTCAATTACAGTAGGTTGATTCACATATATATAGGAGGATAGGATGGAGAGAAATTTTCGAACGTGAGAAGCATCATCGAGCATCCTTCATTTGACGCTCTAACCTTATATATATGATGAGATGGAAAAGGGAGAGGAGGGTCGATTTGATTGATCTTGATGTGTTCTCTTTTCGCGTGTAAAAATATTGGGAAATTGGAAAGAGGATTAAATTACAATTACACTTTTAATTACGTGGTTTTCCTTTTTTTCAATCTTTTTATATTCGTTAATTTTCAAATATAATAGTTTTATCGAGAATCGCGAGAAATTTTTCCGAAAAGGCGTAGGATTTTTGATATTGAGGGAAAAAATTATCTTCAGTAAAATCAGCTGTTAGGAATTACGGTCGCCATTTTGAATCACGTGATCATTGTTACCGACTGAGGGTGGAAAATTATTTTTATCACCACATTTTTATAAAAATTAGTAAAAAAAAAGAAATGTTAGGGAAATTTTTTAAAAATTTTTTAAAAATTAAATAAAAAAAAGGGTGAAAAAAATAAATTGACTATTCTCGAGAGAGAAAGAGAGGCGAGACTTTGGGTATAAAAGTTGCACGTTTAGGGTTGAGATGTTGAGGGTTTTCAAGGGAAAAATACGGTGTCGTAAAAAAAAGAGAGCCCATGTATCAAGCAATTGACGATTAAGGTCCAAAGTTGTTTGTCCAGCTTCCAAGGGACACTCAACAGTAGTAGCAGTAAGCAGCCTTTCTGACCTTTTTGACTTTAATTGAACTCTCTTAAACTCTCGGGGTTGACTCGCAAACCTTGAAAAATAAATCCGGACTTTTATTACCATTTTTATTTGCTCAATGTATTTTTATTTATATACAGTTATATATTTTTTTCAATTTACTCTCTTCAATTATTCTCTTTTATCGGGGGCTTTATTTTATTTTATTTTTTTTCATATTTTCTCTTCTCTCACAATGAAATTGTAAAATTCAAAAAAAGAAATATAAATAAATAGATGAATAATCATAACGGTGAATCGTAATCCTTCGGATATTGGGAGATTTTTTTTATTAGATTCATCAGATTATTGACAGGTAGACGAGAATTAAAAGTCTCCATTTTTTCGTGGTAAATTATATGAAAAGGTTTAAAAAGTATTAAAAATTGATTTTTTGTGAAATAAATTAAAAAAATATTTTAATTAACGAAATAATGTTTGGAAAGGTTAAGCTGTGTACAGGAATTGGTGATTTTCTGGGTGTCCCTTGAGGCGTTATACAATTTTTTCTTCACTGCAATTGCAATTTCAAATTATTTTATTAATTAGAAAAGAAAATATGGATTTTTGTCACGGAATTCTGAAACTATTTCAAAAAAAAACCCCCAAAAAGCTTTTTATCCATTAAACAAAGTTTTTTCATTTTCTCCAAGCTTTCCCGGATTTCCCTTTCCATCGTTCAACCGCATTCACTTCGAATTCTTTTTCTTCGTATCTTCTTTTTTCAATGAGAAAAAAAATAATTCCCTCTTCCCACGTTTTATTCAAAAAAAATATATATTTTTTCAAATTGTAAAGCGAAAAAAGAAATTATGACTAAATAAAAAATAAATATAACAAAAATAAAGAAGTCATTTTATATTTTATGATATTTTTGAACAAGTTCTCGTTGCGAATAATTTTGCCATAATTTCATATACATATATAATCTCGAGTGGACCATGAATTGCGCGACTAAAGTTTTTTCGTGAAGTGACAAATGAGAGTCAATCTGCGTATAAATTAATCCGGAAGTGGCGTAATTATCAAAAAGAGGTTTTTGTTCGAGAGAAAATCTCGGGACAGAAGAAAGTGGTCTTTTTCAAAAAAAAAAGAAAAAAATATATATATAAGTCTGACGCGGTACAATACGAGATTACGGAATATACATAAGGGCCGGAAAGAGCGAAGGAAATGGCGGAAGCGAGTTCGCAGAGGAGATAAAATAGGGAAAGAAAAAAAATGACACAGTCATTATCAAAATTTAATAAAGTTGCAAAAATTAAAAAAGTAATTAAAAATTAAAAAATGTAAATTTTAAAAAAACAGTAGAAGTAAATACTAATTGTCTAAAAAAAATTAGGGTTTCGTGGTTTTCTTTATAAAAATATATTTAATTTTTTTTTATTGAGAAATTAAGAAAGTTCTGACAATATAATCTAGATAATATTATGTTAATATAATTTAATTAGATATTATTATCTGAGTGAGATAATTTAACAAATTTTATCTAGAAAAAATTTACTGTTTAGATAATTCAGATAACTATCCAGATTATATTATCCAGATAACTTCATCTAAATAATATTTTCAAGATAAATTTATCTATTTAAAATGTTTTATCTACAATCAAGATAATATTATCTAGTTTTTTTAATGTCAAAAAATGCTTTTAGGTACTCCTCGATCTATATAAGATAATAAAAATTCAGTTATCTAAATTATCTAAAGTAGATTATTTTATCTAGATAAAAGAAGGGATTAACGCCACGAAACCCTAATGAAAACGAATTTTTCTCGTGGAAACTAAAGATATAAAGATAGAGATAAAAATGAAGTTAAAGATCGGATGAAATTTAGAGACAATGATTGAGATAAGAATAAAAATAAAGTTAGAGATTGAAGTATAATTATTAAGAATTTCGATAAAGATAAAAGTAAATTTAAAGATTGAGATAATAATAATAAAATTTACACTTGTAAAAGGTAAATAAAAAAAAAAATGGCTATAAAAATATAAAAATAATAAAAAAAAAAAAGAAAATTGAGATGGAAGGAGAAAGGCTCCGGCGGGGGCCGCTCGTCCAAATTCATGTCAACATGAGCCTGATCACAACTGATCGATCATTTTCTATCTGTTGATTCGCAGATATGTCTTCACCATCATCAGTTACCTGATTGGCGTTTTTATATTTGCCACAATTGTCGGTCAAGTGGGAAATGTAATTACAAATCGAAATGCAAATCGTCTTGAATTTGAAAGACTATTGGATGGCGCGAAAACATATATGCGACATCATAAAGTCCCAGGTGGAATGAAGAGACGTGTACTAAGATGGTATGACTACAGTTGGTCGAGGGGACGTATACAGGGTGGGGGCGACATCAACACTGCACTTGGTCTACTGCCAGATAAACTTAAAACGGAATTGGCTCTACATGTCAACCTCTCGGTACTCAAGAAGGTCACCATTTTTCAGGTGAGCGCTCACACCCCCTTTCTCTCACACCGCAGTTATATGGGGGGATCAAAGACAGAGAGTGAGAGAGACACCTAACCTAACCCAACTATTCTCTTGGATCCATTCGCTCGGACGAAACATGTTCTCACTTGAACGAACATTTGCAATGTATTCTCTTGTCTACTCCCCAAGCGTATTTGGTACAGAGAGAGGGAGAGAGAGAGAGTGAGAGAAGCGAATTCCATCAAAATACGGATGTGATAATCAGGCATCAGTCGATTTCAGCTTCCGTGATTCGTCCGAGCGAAAAATTATCCCTTGCATCATCCTATTTGCCAATCAGTGTTGCAAAATCACTGTTATAATAGGGAGTTTGCATAAAATTTTGTTTCATATTCAAATTTACTAGTTTTGAATTAACATAGCCTTTCAGCTTTATTGAAATTGTTACACCTTCCCTTCGAACGATTTAAGTAAAAAAAAAGTATTTATTAAATTATTGGCCATTTAAATTTTCGCGCGCCTCTTTGTAAATATAGTATAGAGGGAGCTACGTAAGGGGAAGTACATATATTAACGAGAGACAGGCAACTTCTCAAATGTGACACTAGACAAATGCCACATCAAAATTTAAGGCTGTTCTACAATACTATCTTTACATCGGTAATTTTGAAAATTCCCCAATAATTTCTGTATTTCAAACACCCGCAATATTGAATCCGACACTTTGAATTCTGAAAATTCTACTTGATTTATTAAAAATAGAAAAAAAATTTATGCAAACTCCTTATTTACTCAATGTTACATAATTTTTCATAAAGTCATTAAAATTAACTTCAATGTTTTATAAAAATCAAATTTAAAAATTCTACATTCAGAAATTATTTAAGTAAAGCTTCTTCGAAGATGGAAAAAAATGCAAGTTGAACATTATTTACAGAACCAATTAGTCTTTTAGAAAATTTATCAACGTTTACAGTATTAAATTCTATTTTCTTCTTTTCGTTTCAAAATTATATAATTAATTTTTTAAATACATAATTTGAAAAAACTATATTTAATGAAAATAAAAAAAAAATAATTATTTTTCGTAAAATATTCAAAAAATAAGCATTTCTGATTTAAAAATTAGAAATGTAAATACATTTTTTTTGTTGAAATAATAATTTTTCTAGAGCAATTTCGAGAAGTAGAATTAGAAAAAAAAGAGAGAGAGAGAGAGTACTTCAATTTAAATGATTTCACGAATTGTCCGCGATGATAAAAGAATGACCCACATTTCTTTCTCTCGACAACTATTACCATTTTTCTTTCTTTTTTTTTTGCAAATTAAAAACCAAAATAATCATGTCGAGATGATTTTTGCCCAAGGAAATAATAATTTGATACGTGACACATATCCCGCGGGAAGGATATTGTTTGTATATATATATGTGTGCATAAATATAATATCTTAAGCATGCGGAAATTTGAAGAGCTCTTTGTATATGAGTCGACCTTGAATTTAATTAACCGCCTTCTCTTTGATTTTTTTTTCTATACAGTGTCCCTACTCATCCCTCTTTTCTCATTTTCCCTTTTTTTTCACCCTAAAGCACTGCAAAAAAAGCTTTTTATAGAAATTCTTTAGAAATATTTTTTTTTCTATTTAAACAATTTGAAATGTATATAAAAAATATTGTTTATTAATATTTTTTGATTAAATATTTTTGGAGAATTTCTATTTATTTGATGGGACACTGAATTTTTAATTTTGACAATATTACAATATATATATGCCTATTATATAAATGTTATATGTTTAATATAGGTATATATTATGTAGATTATAGAGATATTATTTTGATTTATCACCCAGGTCCCTTGCGTATCACTCTCCGTATTTCCTAATATAAACCTGCATATGCTGCATTCTGATATGAAGGAAGTCAGCGAGGCAGAAGCTGAGATAAAGCCTCTGGAATATAATCCAGCAGTCATGTTCTAACATGATGATGACACTACTATATTCAAAGAAGGAACTATCCCCCCGATATGTTAATAACAAGGAGTCATTAACATATATTTCCTAATTTTGCTGTCAAAATATATTTCATATATAATTATTATTATTATTAAGATAATAGAATTTAATTTTCCTTTTTGGAGAAAAAAATCATAAAATAAATTGACATTTTGTCAAAACTTGAAATCCTATTCCAATTATTATTTAATCTTTTACGTTCGAGAAATACATTTTAATAGTTACAATATTCCATTACAAAAATATTTCCTTTTGTATGATAACTTTAAATTTTCTACTTTTTATTCTTTTTTTTATTTATTTAAAAAATTAAAAAAAAATTTTTAACAAAAGGATTTTTATTATAAAAAAAGACTAAAAAAGAAAATAATGAAAAGAATATAATAAAAAATTAACCTCCAATTAATAAGGGAGAAAAAACGGGAAAACAAGGTTGTAAATTTGGTAACGGGGTGTAAAATGCACATAAAGATAAATTTATATAGGATCCCTTAAAAAAGAAAAGAGAGCGGAAATATCGGAAACTGATCTTTGCATTCAAATGATAAAAAAAAAGTGAAGGCACAAGTGTTAGGGATGAAATGAAAAAAGAAATAAAAACTTGATCTAATCACGATATCTTTGCTCTCCACCCGTCTTATAGTTAGGGAAAAAAAGATAAATGAATACGATAAAAATAAGGCCAATAAGAATGGTGGAGAGGGAGTAAGAAAATGAAAATGATAAATGAAGGTATAGTAAATTATAGAGAAATAAATATGATAAAGAGATGCAGCTTTTGATTTCTTTTCTTTTCCCCATACATGTATCTTGTACACATTTTTTGTTTCAATAAATAAAAAACAAATAGCTTATTCATTTTCATCAAAGAATCATTATTTATCGTTAATAATGATCTTCCTACGCAAGACAATTCTTTTTTCTTAAAAACAAACATTAAATTTTTTTGCACCTGAGGTTCCTTTCATATTTTAATAATTAAAATTTAATTTCTTACAAAAATTAAATATACCAATTTTAAAGACCAAAAAAGAATCCTCTTTGTAGGAAATTTAATATAATTTTTGTCTTAAAAAAAGAAAATTTTAATTTGGATAATTTTTTTTTAAATATAAAAGAACAAATTTTTTCCAAAATATATGTTTATCTGTGAACCATATATGTAACAGATGATATAGAGATTATATACTTGAATGACATCGTTTTATGAAGAGTCTCTAATCCCTTTTACCGCCACCCCACCACCCCTTGGGACATTGTTACCACGTTCATCTCAAGTTATCTCGTTACTGCTAACCCGGGATTCTTATTTCTAGTTATTTTATTCTTGTTTTACTTCTTGAAAAGTGTGAGAAAAACTTTTTTTTGAAAAGAAAAATTATTATTATTATTATTATTTTATGAAATTATTTCAAAAAGTCATGTTATTTTAATTTAAATTAACTTTGAAAGTTGAAATAGAGAGAAAACTTTTTCGATAATAAAAAAATGTACTCTATCAAAAGATGGGAATTTCTAATTTAAAAATCATTTTTTGTTAAATTATGTAAGTATTTTTACACTTCTATAATAAATTAGAAAGTATTTTAATTAAAAAATTTTATTTTTATAATAAAAATCAAAATTAATTAATTTGTGGGACAAAATTTTTCATTTATTGAATTTTTATTGTTTAAAAAAAGAAAGCATAAAGAAATTTTTTGTGGAGTTAAAAAATTTTTTAAGAAAATTCACATCCCAATTTAACGAGAGACCTCTTTCTTTTCATATATGACCCAGGATCTAAAAATATTCATCGTGAGGCTTTTATAAATTTGAGAACATTCTTGAAAGATTGATTTTTTTTTCTTAAATATATTAATAAAATTTTACAGAAATATACCAAATTTAGAAAAATGTCCGTTTATCTATTTACATTTTTTTAAAATTTTAACCTAAATAATTTATTTATGTTTGAGAAATTAAATTTTTCGTATAGAAAAAAAGAAAAATTCTTGATAAAAGGAGATGAAAAAAAATGTCAATCGAGTGGAAAAAAAATCTTTAGGCTAAAATGCTGATTAAGAGCTTTTTCTGCAGAAAAAAAAGAAAGAAGAAGAAGCAATTAAAAGCAAAGTCTGTCAGGCTAATTGGTGATCGACGTTAAAATCTTAAATTTTTTATCTCCCACAAGTTCGATATTGAATTTGATATATCCGCCAAGGAGCCACTGACCTACATTTATGTAAAGTATATTATATCTTTTGAAAGAAAATAAGGTCCATTGAACTGATTCTACAATGCAACATGCTCTGACCTGTATTATTATATATATTTCTCTAGATGCAACATATTGCATTACTTTATTTTCAAATGCATCCATCATGCAAATATTAATAATAAATTTTTTGAAATAAAAAAAATTTTAAATTACATTTTAGAATTTTTATTTCAACACAGCAAAAAAAAAATTTTTTAATCTATTTCTCAGTTAAATATAACCTATAAATAATTATTATCCATCTTTGAATTGAGCTCAAAAAATATATATATTCTGTTGATGAAAAATTTAAACTTGATATTTATTCGGATAGAAATTTTTAATGACTTAACCGCACATATATGCATATTTATATTATATAGAATACATAAGATTTAAGAGATATAATTCTAAGATATTGAGAAATGTGCAATTTTCTATTATAGGAATGTCAACCAGAATTTTTGCATGACCTAGTTTTAAAGATGAAAGCCTATATTTTCACCCCGGGCGACTCGATATGTCGTAAAGGAGAAGTTGCACGTGAAATGTTTATAATAGCCGATGGAATATTGGAGGTCATCAGTGAAACTGGCCGTGTACTCACGACAATGAAAGCTGGCGATTTCTTTGGCGAAATTGGTATACTCAATCTCGATGGACTGAACAAGTGAGCATTCTTTTTTTTATTAACCCAAAAAAAGCGTAGTAACTATTTTTTAAATCATAAAATATTACTAAATTGTTTTGGTAAACATTACTAAAGTGTTTAGTAAATTTTACCGAATAGTTTGGCAATTACTTTCCAACTGTTTGGTAAATGTTACTAAAATGACTAGTAAATACTGCCAAAATGTTTGGTGAATATTATTAAAATGTTTAGTAAATATTACCAAACTGTTTGGGAATTACTACCCATCTGTTTGGAAAATGTTACTAAAATGTTTAGTAAAGACTACCAAAATGTTTGGTAAATTTTACTAAACAGTTTGAATATAAAAGTTAATGCCCTTTGAGGTAAATGAATTTTTATCTCAACAGACGAACAGCTGACGTGCGATCAGTCGGCTACTCCGAATTATTCAGCCTATCCCGAGAGGATGTCCTGGCAGCAATGAAAGATTATCCCGAAGCTCAAGAAATTCTACAAAATTTAGGTCGAAAACGTCTATTGGAAGCTCAAAGAGTTGCCCGAGCATTTCGACAACCAGCATCACCGGGACACGATTCATCTGACAATAGTACCGGCAAAAGAATAGTCGATAAGCTCAAAGTTGACGTGAAAGGTTTAAAAAATGTTTTACGAAAAAGTCGACGTAACACAAGACCCGATGAGAGCCTTGAACTTCAACCATTAACCAGTAGAATGGCACCACTAAGACGACAACATAGAATCGATGACAGTCAGGAGATAACAATTATTTCTGAACCACCAATATCACCACTTGGTGCTGGTCTCCCACTTCTCTCGCGGCTCAGACTCCTCAAGGAAAAACAGGATCGGGAAGAGAAAAGGGTCCTCATGGAGATGCCAAATCAAATTGTCGAACAATCATCACATCAAAGTTCATTAGATCCACAAAATCAAAATTTACCGCTTCTCCAGAGAATCCTCATGCTCAAATCGAAAAGTGACAACGAAACTCTTGGCGTTGAACGAGAGATTGTTGTTAAGGAGCCGCTCCTGACAAAACCAATCCTCGAGGAAACCGAGCTTGAGCAGAAACAATCGTCGGGTTCAGATTTGTCCGAGGTTGCCAATGATGCTGCCACCTCAGCTGATTATGGCGACAGCGGAGGCAGTGGCGTCTCAAAAAAGCCATGGCATCTGCTGAAGGACGCCTCCTTGACAACCAAGGACATGTCACCACCCCATAAAAGTCCACCCACGAGGCGAATACAACTAAAACAAAGTCTCACTCACATACGACAACAAACAAAAATGTACGCCTCGGTTGATGATCTCTCACCTGAATATTGTGGTTTACCATTTGTCAAAAAGCTCAAGATTCTCAACGAGAGACAAAAATTAGCCGAACTTGAAAAAGCCGTAAGAAGTTCAAGTTTAGATTGTGGAGAATTGGCAGAAATTGGTTTCGATGGAAACCTAACGAGAAGTCATTCTGAGGCGTGTGCAATAGAATATGCAAGAAAATTGGCAAAATTAAATAAATATCGTCGATCTATATCGTCACCAGATCAATTATCACCAGAGAATGAGACATTAGAGCGAAGAAATTTAAAAAGTATTCTTAAAAAATTATCAGCTGAAAGTAGAACCGGTAGTTCGGAGGCGTCGGCAACAAGTACACCTGACAGAGAAAAGGCTACGGCAGAATTTCGAAGACTAATGCGTGCCCCAACGATAGAGGGTTACGCTGCAAGACACTCGAAACTCTCAAAAAGCGTGACCTTTAATAAATATACACTTCAAAGTCCACCGTCCGAGGAATCGGCCAGCAACTCACCGTTAACGAGTCAAGGTCATTCTCATTCCCAGGACCAAATCTCACTGCCACCGCCCAATAAAATTCGCTTCCGTCCTCTTGGCAGTGGGGGACTACAAATGGTTTCTAGGCAAAAGGAAGATGACTTCTTGGGAGAACTCATCACCGGAATCAAAGATGTCGTTCAATCAAGAGTGGTGTGTACTATTCTTTTTTATTTATCGACCTAAGACAAAAATAGTAGTAGTACAACTAGCATTGTTTGATGTGCCAATGTTTCTCTAACAGTAATTATTCACACCCAAAATTTATGCTACTACCGAGGCTATTACTCTTTATATTTTTTTTGCATGTTGATGTATTTGGAAAATTTCATTTTTTGCTTTTAATTCCTTCAATCCTATTATCTTTTTTTATAAGAAGCCGACGTTATTAGTATTTAAACCGAAATTAATATTTTCCTGTATTTTAATTAAATGCCAAATTCGCGCCAGGTTATTTTATAAATAATTTTTGAATTTTTAATAAATAATAATAATTGCAAATGGAATTCTAAGAAAAATTCTAAAGATAATTAAATCAACAAGTGAAATTGTCTTTATACCTGCATACCGAGCTGTATGTTTTCAAACAAGTACAAAGGTTACCTTTAGCCGAGGGTAATAAAAGTGGTTGTAAAATCCCTAAGATAATTCAATCAGTTGCAATTCGTGTATTGACCTGTTCGGACGTGCTTAATGTGAGTCTAAATTTTTAAATTTTAAAATCACAATTGGCTTTGTTAAATATTTATTTTCTATATCGTTTCTTTCTTTACATTTTTTAAAGTAAATAGCTCGAATCTTTTAATTCGCGAATGAAAAAATGTTAGGGAGTGTTAATTTTTTTGTATAAGAAAATTTCTTGTTTCGGGAGTGTTCGAAATTCTTAAAATCGCGATCGTTTAAATCTTAATAAAAGTGAATTTATTTTTTAATTTAAAAACACGGTATCGGGAGTGATCGAAAATTTTTAAATCGCGTGTGTCGTCGACGAATCTTACCGCCTGAAATATACAACGATACATCGACTGCAGAAAAAGGTTAGAATTATTTTTTTTTATAAATCATAAATTGTTTTACTACTGAAAAATTTAAAAATTATTAATTTCTTTTTAACGAAAAAGTTAATACCATTGTAAAGCTCGTGATATTATCTCTTAAAATACACTAAGAAAATGTATTTGATTCAAATAAACGCTTACCTGACTATTATTAAATAAATATTTATTTTTGTCAAATAACTGTTGAGTCAATTAAATGGTATTTGTTGAAAATACAGAAATTATTGGTTCCAAAACAGTTTATTTAATTTAAATAAAAATTATTTGGTCCAAGTAAATATTTATTTGATAATAGACAAGAAACAATTGTTTTAATGAAATAATTTTTTTACTGTAGTTGAAGATAATAGCATTTGTAATGAATTATTTTTCTAAAATGTTCTAAAAAAAATATTGTTTTGTTAGTTTCACATTTTACGAACGTCCAAAGTGAAAATTTTTTATAAATATTACCTCGGCAATACCACAATAATCTTAAACCGGGCGTTCGTAAAAACAATCATTTTTGTAATTTTTTTTTAGAACTTTCATTCTGCAATAATTTCTCTATTTCTACTAAATGCCTGTTTTGCGCCAGGTATTTTATAAAATTTCTTTTACATTTTCAATAAGTAAATACAATCAGTGAATGAATTAATTTTATTTAAGTTGATAAAAATTTTACATTGATATACTACGGAATTTTATTCCTGTCGGTTGTGACATTATTTCTGTTGCCTGTGCTAAATACACTGTTCTTATAAACCACGAAGTTCCACCCAGATTTTTCGTATTGGTTCCCCTAGCTGGATATGAAACATATCCAGCTACTTTTTTTTCGAACGTCTCAAAATTTTGATACTTTTTTAAAAATTTTAACGTAGCTTTTTTATAGTTCCTTGCACTTTTTCGTTGTTTTATGCTTTTTGTTAATTCTTGTTGCCTCCCACTCTTTTTAGTATTCGTTTCATGCTTTTATTTGTTTTGAGAATTATATATTAGTTGGTTGTGTTTTCCTTAGTCTCAAAATTTTTGGTTCCAGGATATTTCTTCACTTTTTTTATTTGTCTGCTTGTACCTCTTCGTGAGTATGCTTCTTACTGCTTTCCTTTGTTTTGTGTCGGTTCTTCCTGTCTTAAAAAATTAGAGTTATCAAGAAAATTGTAATGCAAGATATTTTCACCTTTCCAACAGGATGAAATTCAACTCAGGTACGAGAAAGAATACACATCATTGGAGTTGGAGATTAGAAAGCGTGATGAAATAATCTCCCAACTTCAAATGCGAATCCTTCAACTCGAGCAGCGAAAGTCTCGTAGTTGTGATGATTCGGACGACAGTACGGAGGCTGAAGTCTCAATGGAGGAGGATATGGTCGACGATCGTGAGGATCATCCATTTATGCGTGATGGTTCAGTGGATACTGTTCTCACAGCGCAACCACGTCTAAGACATTCCTCACCATCAACGGATTCGTCGATTAATCGACGTTCATGGGAAGAGCACTCCGAGGAAGAGACACTTGAATTACAGGATCTTCCACGATCAATTACACCCCAAAGTATTTGGAAGGAGGACGTAGCGATAGATGTAGATAGTGATTTAAGCAGATCCGATGACGATGATCGCGGTGGTGTTAGTGGTGTGGCAAGGGGTGAAAGCGACACTGACGATGATGAGAGTGCACATAATAATTGGGAAGTGACAATGTTGGCTCAACAACTTGAGGCAAGACGAAAAAGTAGCGGTAGCTCAAGATCGGGTTCCTAGCGTATTAATGAGTTTCTTGAAATTCTGTACTATTGTAAAAACACCGAGAACTCGAGGGTATGGCTAAATCCATTGGAGAGAGACAGTAATGCACCTTTTTGTGAAGACGATTGTCCTTATTTGGGATTTAATGATCACAAAATTTGTAATGAGACAATGATGTAGTTTTTTACTTCTTGCTCCATTTAGAGAATTTTTTCCTCATTCGTATTTTTTTCTAGGTTATGTTCAATTTTTCTAGTCCAGAAGAAATAATCTCATTGGTAGGATTGAGTTTATCAACAGAACCTCAAATTTTTCAAATCTTAACTATTTGACAGACGGACAGGACACACAAAGATTTGAAAACTGTCACTCTCTTTCTTGTTGGGGGGAAAAAAATCAGTGCACAAAGTTTCGTATAGGAAAAAGGATTTAAAAAATACTGAGTCAGTTCGTCGCGTCATGTATACATATTCGGAAGCTGCTATATATAATAAATTTTTACGAACTCTCTCTTTCTCTCTATCTCTCTTTCCTATAATATTATAATCATTGTAGATAGGAAAAATTGCTTCTGAAATTATTATTTCTTTTTTTCGACAAAAAAATATAGAAAACAAAAAACAAGATGTGTAAAAAAATCGAAATCCCCCTTTACCGTCTATATAAATAGTGTATGTGTGTTATAATCAAAGCTATTTTCTATGACACGTTTTTCTGTTATAGATTCCATATTTTTCTACATCTCTCGGATTTACTTTTGTACATTCCAGCGTAGAATCGTAATAGGTTATTAAAACAATAATATATGACGGACTCGACCGACGAATCACTCTCACAACTTGATTTTTGAATTGTAAATATTCACAGGTGCCTGAGAGAATGTAATACTTGGGATATTTAGAATTTAAATGGTGAACCAAAAAGAGTCGAAAGGAAAAAACGAAGGCTTTTATTCTTTTTTCGATAATAATTTCCAAGACAGAATTTAATAAAAAGAAGCCTTCGGTTTTTTTAACTAAAAAAAAAAAAAATAGTGTCAGTGCAAATCTGGGCAAGAAAAAACTTTCATAAAACTCTACGATTCTAATATATACATATAAATTTATTAGAGTTGTGAGAATTTTTGAGCGATTGAGAAAAAAAAACATCCAAGCTTTTCTATTTTGAATCCTCTCTTCCTCTGATTAGTCCCAAATTTTATCATCGAAATTCGATTTTCAAAATATTTTTTTCCTTCTTTTTTTCGAAAATTGCTAGCAGCATTGAAAAAGGTGAAAATCAATTTTTGAAAGTGAAACGGAAGCTGCACTGCAAAGGACTATTATATAAATATGACTAATTAGCAAAAAAAAAAGTCATTTTAATGGAATAATTTTCAAGTAAAAAAGAAAGAAAATATATTACTTATACTGACCAGACCAAGCTCAATATTTCTAGAGTCTTTACAAATTACATCTACTTAAGCGAACGAATGACTTATTAATATGTAAATAAGATTAAATTACTGAGAAAAAAAAAGAAACGGTGTAAATATTAGACTACGATTTATTTATTTATGAATGAAGATGAAATGGAATTTATTTAATGGAAAAAATGATGTGCGCGAGCGATTGTATAGTGACGAGAGTGGGTGGTTTGAAAGATTTATTAAAAAAAAGAAAAAAAACTTGTTGGACTTCTTTAGAAAAGGGGTGCTTGTAATAAAGAGTGAATTATAAATAAAGCGAACGTTGTTTTCAAAAAAAAAAAAAATTTTAAGGTATTTTTTCAATTTTATATTTTTTTATTATAGTGTACCTTTTCAGATTTTTTTGCAAGATAATATTTAAAATTCTACATTCAGAGAAAAAGTTTTTATTAAAAAAAGTATAAAATTTAAATTAAATAAAAACAAAATTAATAAATAATAAATTGGTTAAAAACACAATAAAAAAAATAGATAGAATTTTTTTTTATGTTTATCTACTATTAATAATTTCAAAATTCCGGAAAATCAACTTTTACCTTCACAAAGAGTGTAAAATTCTTCTTTACCTTCATCAGATAAAAAAATATTTTTCTGTTCGTCCTGCTATTGGTAAAAAAATGCTCATCACTTTACCGACGAAGGTTAAGAAAAATTTGAGAAAAATAATTCCATAATTTCACGAGGGAGTCAGATACTTTTATGTATAGAAAATTTTTTCGAAATCAATAAACGCGCAAATAATAAGAAAAATAATAAATTTATTTTTATATATTTTTGAGAGAAATATTGAAATTTTTAAATTGAAAAAGGAATTTTATTTTTTCTTAATAATGATAATATGGGATATAAAAATAATCAATTTTTTGATTTTTATAACAAAAGATTTAATTCACAAGTCTTACAATAAGTACTTTCGTTGGCAATAATAATAATAATTATTACAAATATTCCTTAGAAAGATTAAAAAAGTGTGTTTTAATAATGCTATTTATTATTTTATTATAATTATCTTGTCTATTAATGTTAATAATGTTTCTACTTAAAATAACGCTGATTAATAAAGAAGTTAATTAATTTTTTCAAATCTACCACAAAGAATATTCTTATTGTCTTTAATAATTAACTATTAATTAAATTAAAATTTAATTATATAAATTTTAATTTAATTTTTAAATTTAATTAAATAATTTTAATTCATTAATGAAATTGTTTAATTCAATAAAAAAAATTAATTAGAATTAGATTTTTTATTAATTAAGTTAATAATTCTCATAAACCAATTTTGGTTATATAAAATTATGAATTATCCTATAAAAAATTGTTTATATAAGTATTATTTTGCCTAGAGTATATTCTAATTATTTTTAATATTTTCAACTTCTAAATATTAAAATTAAATAATTGAAAAAATCTACATACAGATTTTCAATTGGGAAAAAAAGTTCATTATTATGGAAAAAGAGATTGAACAAAATAATTGTTCATTTAAAAAAATAATTTTCAGTCTAGGAAAAATTTTTTTTTTTTAATTGTCTACAATTCATTATAATCCGAAAATTTATTCGGCAGGTACTTAAAGTCTGTTTGATATAATGAAACACACCTTAAATCTAACGAACAGAAACTTTATAGCATTCTGTGCATATATAATTCGAATAAAAACCATTTCTAAAAAAAAAATGGAAATTATTTGAAGATTTAAAAAAATAATTTTTTAAAAATGCAATTATACAAATAATTGACTTCTTCTTTAGTCACATTTTTCCAATAAAAAAAAATATTCAAGCCTAGTAATTAAAAAAATATATATATAAGTTATGTCACATTTTACAATGTATTAGTAATACTTAAAAAAATAAATATATTTAATAATTTTAAATATATTTTGTTTTCGAAGTATTTCAAGTTTGACGTTATTGAAAATATACATCATAAAATGAAAAAAAAAAAAATAAAACAAAGAAAAATTTTAAAAATGTTCATAAAAATAAAATTTATTCTTAAAATTATTGATATTGGTCACTATTTTTATTAGTTTGAATTTCAATTTTTTGAAATTCGCGGCATTGACATTTGAGTCATTTTTACGCGCGCAATCTACCTTATCGATCGTTCCTAAAGCATCCAAAGACGCCATTCTGTCTTCACTTCACGTTTTTATTCTACTCTATCTATTTTAAACATTTATTAAAGTCAAATTTCTTCCTAAAAATAAATTCTTACCTAAGGAAATTAGATACACATATATAATTCCCCATTAAATTCTCGACGTTACTAATCTCGTAGTAATATAAAAAAATATCTACAATTTCTAGGTTATATTTCGTCATTCTCTCAAAAAACCATTCTAAAAAATATATTTTATAAAATAAATTAATTCTCCTCGACATCCTTGTTTTTCCTTCTTTTGAAAATTGGTACAATTGCCCACAATGTTGTGCCCAATATAAGAATAATTCCAAGTGCAAGAAAAATTGGCTTATATGTTCCTGTTCGTTCATAAATAATTCCAAGTATTGGTGGTCCCAACAATTGAAGAACACCATTAACAAAAAGTGCAATTCCATATGAGGAACTTAATCTATCAGCACCCAACATATCAGCAAGAACAACAGTTGTTATACCAATATATGTACCCGATGAAATACCAAAAAGACCACAAAAAAATGAAAGCATACGATAACTCGAAAACATTGGCAATAAAGCAAGTGCTATTCCACTAATACCAAGACCACCAACAAAATAATAATACTTGGGTATAAAATTAATATCCGACAATGATGCACCACCAATTCTTCCAATGAGATCAAGGGCTGAAACAATTGATAGTAAAAGTGCTGCTGAATTTTTATCATAACCCTCAGCAATTGCGTACGATGGCAAAAGAATCATAAAATTTGTATTACTAATGGCAGAGGTAGAATTTGAGATCAATATCACCAAATAAATAGGATCCCTGAGTATACTGAGATCAAAGAATTTCTTCTTTTTTGGCACATCGACAATATCTTGTTTTTCAGGATCAAATATCGCCTCACAGGATTTATCCAATTGATCAGTTTTTGTGCAAGCAAAACGATTTGAACAAAGTCTTTTAAATAATCTTGGTACCCGAGATCTTGGCGTTTCATCTATAACTGGTAGGGAAAATTTCTCCTGTGCCGATGCTGTGAAAAAGGAATTCTCACGATTCATTTGACTAGTTGATTTTTCAATGATTGACGACACCTTTGGTTTTAGATTTTTTGATTTAGCATTATCATTATCATCATCATCATGGAATTTGTTCTCGAGAATTAAATCCTCAGCTGCTGAAATTTTACGATAGCGCTCCAGTGGTTTTTTCTGTATGTCTTGTTGTAGATTCCATTTATTGTTTAGTTTACATGGTTGTAAAATTAATTGCTCAGTTTTGTCAACTTGTAGTGTTGTTGAATTATTATCGGTAGCATCCAATTGGAAATTTGGAGTATCATTACTTAATTGGAGATTAGCTTTATCTGACATGGGGTTTGTTTTTTCAGATGATGGAAGATTTGTATTGATAATGATGGATTGATTCAAATTAAGGGGTGAGGGATCTTGATAAGTTGATTGAGTGGTGTCAGATGATGGTTCGTCGAGAGACAGAGCTTTATTGTCGACTCCACATTTTTCAGAGGTAATGGGAATTCTTTTCATGTGTTGCTCCACTGGATGATAGAGAAGTCCACAGAGAACACTGTTTAGCGTTATTGCTCCCATTATCAGCACTGCTCCCCTATTTACAATTTTTTTTTTATTTGTAGTTGCAAAAAGAGTATTATTTGTTTGTTAGGTTTCTTTATAGAAAAAGGATCCTCAAAAAAACATAGTGTGTGGTTAGGTTATGAAGGATTGAATTTTATTTAAAGGATTAGGTGCAGACAAATCTCACCTGTAGCCAACAGTGTTGAGAAGATACTGCAAAAGAGGCGGCAAGATCATAGCTCCAAAACAACTTCCGGAGATGCACATTCCATTTGCAAATCCTCGATATTTTTGAAAATATTCCGTCACTATGTAGACACTAACAGGACATGTTAATCCTGCCCCAATGCCAACCATAATTCCATAACTATTGATAAAAAAAATCAATTAACTTTGGTTAATTCAGCTGTAATTGCTAAATACGGAAAAATTATAGGTTAGGTGTTAATGCGCATGTGCAAAACAGGAACGTATTTATAAAATTGGGGGCCCTTGATACAAATTTTTAATTTTTCCAACCAAAAGGAAAATTAAAATAAAAATATGATAAGAAATAAATACAAAAAGCAAATTGTAACCCACCTAACATACAAATATGGTACAGAGGTGGCGAAATAGCTAAACATCATTCCGGATGCTGCAAACGCTCCGCCGACCATTGTTACAGTTTTGTAGGAATACTTCATTGACAGGACACTCGACAACGGTCCTGAAATAACCCGAAATAATCCGCATAATACTCCTGCCTGAGAAACAGGGATCGATTGTCAATAATTATTTTTCTTCATTAAAAAAAAAAATTGAAACTAATAAGAAAATTTGCTAAACAATTGAACAATCCTTCCTTCCCTCATTCTGAAAAATTTTCGATTAAAATCCAACATAATTATTTTTTCATTGTATTAATTAAAAAAAAAAAAATAATTATTTAACGAAGAAATTAACAAATTTTCTTATTCAGTGAAGACCTCTAGCAAAATTATATAAATAAATAAAATGATAAACAATATAGTTTGAAAAATAAAAAAATAATTATTTACCAAGAGAACTATAAAGAAAATAACATAATGCAGGCATCCAGGATGCTGTGGTTGGTGATGCTTGAAAAACTTCGAGGAACTCGACAAAAAGTACCCCGAATGATTTTACTGTCCCTGGTATAAGGACATTTACCAAAACGGCAGATGTTAAGATTACCCACCCCCATCCGCCATCTGGTGGTACCAAAATTGTGTCTTTTGTTTTGTCCTTCATTTTGTCCTCTTTTTGTAATAAATCCTGAAACATTTATTTCAAATTCATATTCCTTATTAATAATAATTATTATTATTAATTATTATTATTTTTTATTCTAGGAACAAAAAATATTTTCAAAAACCCATATGAAATTAATTTGACTCTAAATATTAAATACGGTAGAAAATTTTTAGGTTAAGTAGTAATGCGCATGTGTAAAACAGGAACGCAACTTTAACCCCTTCGCAGTCCAGTTAAAAATCGCTGGTGGGCCTAAAACGGTCCGAAAAAAAAGTTTCCAAAAAAATATGACTTCATCATATTTAAGGTTTTTGTGGTCGCTGAATTCGAATTTGAGGTCAGTTTTTCAAAATTCAAAATGGCGGACAAATTTTTAAAAAATCAATCCAATTTGCCTGAAATTTGTTACTCGGGGGTTTTTGGGGTCACTAAATTCAAATTTGAGGTCAGTTTTTCAAAATTCAAAATGGCGGATCCAATATGGCGGACAAATTTTTAAAAAATCAAACCGATTTGCCTGAAATTTGTTACTCAGGGGTTTTTGTGGTCGCTGAATTCGAATTTGAGGTCAGTTTTTCAAAATTCAAAATGGCGGATCCAATATGGCGGACAAATTTAAAATTTTTTTTTTAAAATTTGTCCGCCATATTGGATCCGCTCTTTTGAATTTCAAAAAACCGACCTCAAATTCGAATTCAGCGATCCCAAAAACCCCCGAGTAACAATTTGTGGTCAAAACGCATTAATTTTTAAATTATCCGCCATATTGGGTTGCCATATTGGATCCGCCATTATGAATTTTGAAAAACCGACCTCAGATTCGTAATCAGAGACCCCGAAAACCCCTGAGCAACGAGTTTCATGTAAATCTGATAAATTTTAAGTTTTCATGGTCGCCATTTTGGGTCCGCCATTTTGTTTTTTTGAAATCTGACTTCAAATTTGGATTCAGCGACCCCAAAAACCCCCGAGTAACAAATTTCAGGCGAATCAAATTAAATTTAGTATTATTTTTTTGCGATGGCCATATATGGCCACTTGCACAAAGGTGGCACGACTTTTTCTGGCCACATATGGGCCCTGGACTGTCAAGGGGTTAAATGTGCGGGCCCTCAATGGAAAATTTTTCTAAAGATAAATTTTTACAAATTTCTTTTTCTTGTTTTATTTTATGTAATACTATATTTTTAATAAAAAAAAAAAGCAAAAGCAATCATTTTTGTTTTTCTAGAAATTTTGTTTTAATTAAAAAAGAAAAGAATTTACATAGTTTCGTGCTTATCGTATTATTTAATATATCGTTAATGTAAAAAATATATATTTATAAGAAAATAGAAGGAAACAAGATCCGCCTGCGCTTTAGGTCACGTATGAATGAATGCCTATTACTTCCCTCGATTACGACGCAAACACGTTCGGGAAAAGGTCCGCAATTTTTTTTTCTTTTTTTTCTTTTTTATAAACATCAAGGCGACGACACACTATTGGAATTTCGAAATGTATACTTGTGATGAAATACTTGGTGTTTTAATTATGAGCATGATTAATAAATATGTATCTTTCTCTTTTATAATTGAAAAAATTAAAAGAAAAAAAAATTACATACAATTTATAAAAATTCAAATAGTAGTTAACGCACATGTTTGGAAAAATGTTTTTGTCGACCGAAAGGTATATTATTAATTGATTAAACTATTTAAATTTTTTATGATAAAATTATATTATTTTCATTGTTTTAATTTTTCTAAAAAATTAAATTTATTTTCAGCACGAAGGCAATAAATTTATTTATCGAATAAATAATTTATTATAATACATTAAATTATTAATGAAAAATAAATTAAATTATTATTATAAAAAAACATAAAATAATTTAAAATATAATAAAAATAAATAATAATAAACCTCAATTATACTATTCTATAAAATACTTATTAGGATTAAGTTTTTTTTAATTTTTTGAAATAAAATAATTTATAATTAATTTTTTTTTAGAAAAAAGGGGAAAGGTAGTTTTTTTATCACTTTAGAGTAATTATATATATATAAAAAAAATTACCTTCTTCATCTCGAGAGTTTGAATAGAAAATAACACCAACTGCAGTTAATCACACAATCTACATGCGAGTGTCTTGTTCAACTCCTCTTTTTATAAACATTTACCCCCACAAATATTAGTGCTGCTATCTATCGTGAGTAAAAGATCCCCACACATTTATGTTTGAAATTCTGGATTCTTATTGCAGCATCAAAAATTAAGTTTAATTTACTTAGTTAAAATTTATGATACAAAAAGTTGTTAATTAAACATATTTTTGTTTTAGTGCGTATATGTATAATGCGTACTATTTAAAAAATTTAGCGCGGAAAACTTTTAAAATTCATAATATAAAATCTGGATAAATATACGAATACTATATCCTTCAAAAGGAAAAATTTAACAATAAATTAAATATACTTTAATATGTGTTTTAAAAAATTTATTGTAATATCGTTGAAAGATATTTTATTAATAGTTTTTGAATATAAGTAGTAAAATTTAATAATTTAATAAATAAAATATCAAGACATACTCTCGAGATGATTTTGGATATTAATAATATTTGAAGGATATTAGTAATATTCAGGGGATATTATTTTTTGATAATATTACAAAAATATTAATGATATTCAATAGACATTAATATTATTCTAGAAACATTAGTAGAAATTCAAGGGATATTAATAATATTTGATAGATATTAGTAGTATTTTAGATATATTAGTAATATATTAGTAATATTTATAGTTTATTACAAATATTTATGGGATAGTAGTAGTATTTTAGGGATATTAGTAATATCTAAAGGGTATAGTAATATTTATGGAATATTAGTAGTATCTGTCAGATACTAGTAATTTTTGAAAGATATTAGCAATATTTTAAATTTACAATTAATATTTTAATATTGTTAATAATATTTATGGGACATTAGTAGTATTTTAGATTTTTCTTGAGAATATTACATAATTAAAACAGCAAGATATTAAAATTTCAAAAATTCTTGAAAAAATTCAAAAATTACATCATTCAACTAATTTGACAGCATATAAAAATACGATTTTTTTTATTTTAAATTTTGATTTTTTTATCCACGTTTTTATTATTTTAATCAATTTATTATATTTAACAATAATTAATTACATTTAAAAAAGAAAAATGATTGCTAATCAATTTTTCCATTATTATGCATATATTATATACATATATAAGATTTCGTCTACACGTGGCTGTAAATTAATAACGCAAACAAAATTTCAAATAGATTCTGATATAACTGTAAACAAACACTGATATAACTGTATTTTTTAGGTAAAATCTGAGACATTTCCTAGATTTACGTAATGAAGGTTGTATTCAGAGCCTGATTTATCAATGGAAAACGATTATGTTTGTTTTTCTTAAATTAGAATTAATAACGTAATTTGCAAACTATATCATATATGTGTATATATATCAGTATAATAAACTTAAAGCAAATGACAATAATATTTTTGACGCCACCGTGAGATCAAAATTTTTATTACGTCACTTAAAGTATATATACATACATATATAGTCAATTAAAAAGAAATGACAACATAAAAAAATGCGTATATAATTAATGTCAATTTTATCAACTGACTACAATATGTGACGAAAAATTCTCATGACTTCTATAATAATATACTAATAATAATAATATTAAAAAAAGGCTAAAAAACATTTTGATTAAAAATTCATTTCTCATATCTGACATAAAACAATGTCAATTAAAATGTCATTGAACTTTACATATTTTTATTTCTTACATATTCTTTATTATTTTCTATAATTGCGATAATTCTTACTATAAATTTCTGATATATCAAATTTGAAAAGAATATTATAATAATTATAATATAAATATTATTTATCATAATTTTTATATAATTATTAATATTATAATATTTATTATACCTAAATATATGATTATTTATAAAAAAAGTAATGCAAAATATTTCAAATTTTTTAATAAAAAAATTTATAAATAAATAATTCAGAAATTATCACTGTCATTATAAACAATTAAATATTTAATTTTGAAAAAAAAGAATTGAAAAAATACAGGAAATCTCCGAAATAAAATTCAGTTACTGTGATTATTTTCAAATATTACCGCGCATTGCGCAAAGGATATATGCGCCTCATGTGTGAAAGTTCAAGAATTTGATTATAGGTGGCGCACACTTTTTCTCTCGCAATAAAAAAAGTAACATACTTATATATAAAGAATAAATTAAAAATTTTTTAAATATAAATTATAGAAAATAATAAATATAGAAATAAAATTATGAATTAAAGATATTTAAATTGTAAATTAAATATAATCGTATGTAAAAACAATAATAAAATACAATGTTCATATTGAAAGCGGACATACAAAGTTAGGTTTTATTTTTAAATTTTAACATTCAAGTTGTTATTATTATTATTATTATTATTATTATTATTATTATTTTATTAAAATACCTTTTTAATAGAAGTGCAAATTTTGAGAAAAAAATTGTTAACACTCATTTTTCAATACACAAACTATAATTCACTTTTTTTCTCCTTGAACCGATTATTATCTTCGATTTTAAACGAAAGACTTTTTTTAATGTGGTTCAGAAATCAATTTACTCAATCAATTGGCAGAGCAAAGAAATATCAATTGGCATATAGTCGGGGATGCTAATCACACCTAATACACGTCAGACGCGAAGCTTTAAATAGAATCTTCATCTAGTTGAAAAAGAAACTCAAATCTTTCATCATTCTCTCATTACAAAGTATTAATATTTATTAATATAATTTGTCATATTTTTTTTGATTTGAGGTTATGTTTACTAATGACCTTTGGCCTATATGGAATTTTGAGGTTATGTTCGCCCCTTTATACCATTTGACTTGAACATTTTTATATTTATCGAATTTAAAAAATTTAAATAAACAAATAATTTATTTGACTTTTTGATAATTAGTTAAATAGTAAAAAAAAAGATTTTTATCTCACTACATAATAATTTAATTAATTTTTAGTAAAAATCGTTTTGGATAAGTTAACTTTTTAATTAACATTTTTTTTTAATAAGTTAAATAAATTTCAAATAGTTATTAAAATAAAAATTAGAAGATTGTAAATTAATTTTTTTTTTTTGAAGCAGTGACCAAAAAAAAATATTGAGAATTTAAAATTAAAAAATGATCGTAAAATATAATTGTCGAGCTTAATTTATTTGTAAAAATAGATTAACAAGTTTGCTATTTATATATTTTTAACGTGGCTTAATTTGCATTAGATGCAGTTGAGAAAAAAAATTAATTTTTTTAAATCCTTCGCTTTGTATACTATATGGACAATTAATGATCGGTCACGAAAAGGTCATTGCACGGTGAAAAAAAATGCACGTGACCAAAGGTTATTAAACCCGTTGAACTTGAAGAAATTGATACCTTTATTTCTGCTAATTAGAAAATATTACCTTTGACTTTTTGTGTTTTAATAATAATAATAATAATAATAATAATAATAATAATAATAATAATAATAATAATTTTTAAAAAATATCTTAAATTTTTTTAATGAAAAAAAATCAGATTTTTTCTTCAAAGAATACTTAAAACTAAAAAAAAGAAAAAACTAAAAGAAAAATTTATAAAATATAGACAAAAATTTTTCAATAAATGAAATAAAAAATTAAAAAATAAATAATTGCGAATCCATTATCTTTTATACAATTTATTATAGTTTGTATGAAATATTTTACTAATAACAAAAAAAAAATGACGCAAAGTACAACTATATGAATATAGATAAAAAATATTGCCTTAATAAAAAAAACTGATAGTTCGAACAATTTTACGTGCAATTTTTTTTTTTAATGTTTGAAAGATTGTAAATATATTTTTCAACCACATTTTTACTGACCAAGGAAATAATTTTTTTTTCCACAAAAAGTTATTTTTAATTAAAATAGATAAAAAAAAAACAAGAAAATAAAAATGAAAGATTGAAAAAAAAGATTGGCTTTTTTTTGAAGTATAAATTTAATTTTTTTCGTGGAGCCACAAAAAATCTATTAAATGCAAAATTAAAATTTTTTTTCAATAACAATAAAAGAAATGACCTTAATATCCCTAACGGTTAGCACCGTTACAGTTATTAGTGTATTACTTTTGAATAAAGATAATAAAAAAAGGACTCTCATCCAAACGGAGTAAAAAGAACTTGAAATTAAAAAAAAAATATTAAAAAAGCCAAAAAATCACATTTCTTATAAAAAAATATTTTTCTAAAATTAAAAAAATTGAAATAAAAAAAAAATTTAATATCCTATTTTAAAATACGAAAAAAAAATTATACGCAAAAATCAAGGTGGAACGCTGAGAGTCCTAATACCGTACCACAAAAGGTTAACATAAGAAATAAATTATAACAAATAGTAATAATAAAAATAATAATAAATAATAATTATTATTAATAAAAAATAAATAATAATAAAATAGTAATGAAGGAGAAAATAATAATAATAATAATTATTATTAATAATAAATAGTAATTTTGATAAAAAAAGACTGAAATAATTTCGAGTTAAAAATGAGGATAATAATTTTTTAACGAAATAATAATAATAATAATAATAATAATAATAATAAAAGAAAAGACTTTTACTTACCTTTTGATTAGTTGGAGAGATAGAAGAAGAAAATGATGATGATGATGAAAATGATGATGAGGATGAGGATGATGAGGATCCAACTAGTGGGATGCAACAGAGACCAAAGGCAAAACTCAAAAGGCCTCTGCTGTGTTTGAAATAACGACGTTTTCTTTCCTACAACACTGTATATTTGCTCTTCGCTGCCGCTTTTGCAGCAGGGAGGCTGTGCGATGAAGGCGGGGGTTTATTCTCGTCGATGTGTAGAGGTAACACTGATCAAGTTCACTAAGACTTTAACCACCTTCGACCCAACTGTTGAACCCTGGAACTGGTTCCTCCACTTTGTCTTCTTCTTGTTGTTGCTCTTCTTCTCTTCTTCTTCTTTTTTTTATTTCTTCTTTTGCTTCCTTCTCTTTCCTCCCTCTTTCTCTCTTTCTCTCTCTTTTTCTCTCTATATATATATTTTGCAATCTTTTTAATCCTCCACTCCTCTTTCTTTTTCCCGTATATTTATCACTTCTTTTTTTCTTCTTCTTCTTTTTTTACGCCTTCTCATAAAACCTAAATTTAAATTTCATTCAACTTGTTAAAATTATGCTAATCCCGTAATAATGGATTGACCCTTTATTTTTCACCAGAAGGGAGGGGGGGGGGGAAAGAAAGATAAACACATAATAACAATAATAATAATTTGAAGAAAAAAATTAATTTTTTATTCATCCGGTAAATTATCATTTTAATGAATAAAATTATTTAAAATTTAATAAAAAAACAAAACCAAAGCATTTTATTTTTGCAAGTCCATATATTACTGGAAATAAATAAAAGAAAAAGAATAGAAAATTAAAAATATTAACAACAAAAAAAGAGAAGAAATTTAATATTAAGAACAATAAAGTAAAAAATGAAAAAAAATATAAATAAAAAAGATAAATTAAAATTTTTATGTAATATAAATGAATAAGAAAAGTAAGATACAAAATTATAATTCCAATATTAATGTAAAATATTTAATTATAAATTATAAGTATTTAGTTCGCGCATAGAGTATGAAATAATAATAATTTTAAGAAGGAAGTACAATTATAATTCTAAAAATATATTCTGCATAAATATATAGCAAATATATATATATATAAAAAGATAACAAGAAGTCGTTTATTAATAATTATTAGCTTTCGGACAATCTAATGGTGCGCCCCCAATAGTATTTTTATATACAGTATTCTTTAAAAAAAAAACCTTCTATATTTTATAGAATAACATAAAAATATTTTTAAAAATATTTTATTGCAAATTTTCATTTTTAAAATGTAATAAATTTTAAAATTCCAATAAAAAATTGTAAATCAAAGACTATATACGTTGAAAAAATAGATATATAAAATTTAGTAAAAATCTATCAAAAAAATGAAAAATTTCAAAATTTTTGATTTTTAGCAAAAATTTGCAGTTTTATTACAATTACATTTAGTGAGATATAATATAATTATTACACCACTTTTACGTAAATTTATAATGCAATTAAATAAAATGTTTCCCTTTCACCGCTGAGTTTTTTTTATTTTAAATATATTTGCAAACGTGAAATGATTAAAGAAAAACCTTGTCTTTATAACATGCGCGTGCCTGAGCGGGAATGTATTTTGATATTAAAATATAATCGTACTGCAAAGATAAAAAAAAACTAATATTTTTTTAAAAATATTTTTAAATGGTAATTTTTATATAATATTTTTTATTTATTTATTTATTTTTGTATATATATAAATATACCTGACTCATTTTGAATTCCTGAAATTTATCATAATTTCCAAACGTTGGTGAACAACTTGATTTTTGTATTGAATCGTTTTGACACCACTTTAAACCGAAAATCATGAAACCGGTTCGATTTGTCGCGATTTTCATTTCTTCCTTCTTCGTATGTGTCCACTGGAAAACTAGTTGCAAATGAAGATCTTGCTTCGTTCGAATGGCTTAGAATATACTAATGTTCAAGTGGGAGTGATTCATTTTACATTCTTTTCTATCTATATATGTATATTATACATATTTATTTATTTATTTATTTATCTATATATGTAAAATAAAATACGAGATATTTGTAATTCATTCATTATTTTTTTTTGTAAAATTACAAATTATTTATTTTTTTTTATCTGATAGCTTTGTAATTGTATATTTAATTTGTTTAATTGTATTTCTTGATTTATATTTAATATTGTTTATTAATTAGTTAATTTTTAATAGTAATTGATTTTATCATTAACTAGTTTTAGCGAACATAACCTCAATAAAGATCAGTAAGAAAGGGATGAACGTAACCTCAAAATTTTAAGCTTATTTCTGCGCTTTAATTAAATCTATATTGAACCCTCCTTCTTTGACCTTCTTTGACCTAGAATTGACATTCAATTAAACCTATTTTTATTTTACTTTAACCCTAAATTAACCCTACCTTATACCTTCTTGAATCTAAAATTGAACCCAAATTGACTCTGTTAACCCTAAATCGAACGTACAATGATACTACATTAAACCTAATTTGACCCTAAATCAGACCTACATTAACCCTACCTTAAACCATCATGAACCTAAACTTAACCCCAAATTGAACCTCAATTAACCCTTTCGTAACCTTAAATCTATCCTACAATGACCCTACCTTAAACCTAATTTTACCCTACTTTAACCTAAATTAGACCTAAATTAACCCTACCCTAAACCTTTTTTAACCTACAATTGACCCTAAATTGAACCTACTTAGACTCTACTTTAACCCTAAATCAAACATAGAATTGACCCTACCTTAAACCTTATATTAATGTAAAAAATTATTAGGTAATTTAAAAATTTGTAATTTTTTCTAACGCAAATATCTAAAAAAAAAATCAAATCTAAAAATGCAACTTTGTTATATTTTAATAACAAAATAACATGCTAATTTTGTTTGTTATTGCAAAAATAGAAATTTGATAATACATGATGATAATGCTGATGATAATAATTAATTGAATTATGGTGTGTTTGACAAAAATAAAAAAAGAAAATTAAAAAAAAAAATTAATTTTATCAAGGAAAACGGAAGTGTTGTCGTGATGTGAAAAAAAACCGGTTTTTCGGGGTCTCACGCCTTTCAATAAGATTTACATTAATAAAGTGTTGAAACGTTATTTTTGCGGAATTAATCTTCAATATTGATGACACGTGCAGAAAATGATGCCGTTAACCTTTATCGTCGATATTACTTTAGGAAAGAAATAAAAGATACAAAAAAGGAATTTATATCTAATTTTTGTCGTCAAATTTAGTATAAGGCTCCTATTTAAGTTAGTAAACTTTAATAAATGAATTAGTAATTATAAATTAATAATTTTTGACTAAAAATTAGTCTAATTACTAATTCATTTAATAATCGAAATGGTACAGTTGATTTAGTAAAAAAGTGACTAATTCTGATTTAGAGGAGTAGGTATGCAAAATTCAAAATGGCGTTTCCAATATGGCGGACGATTTTCTAAAATTCAATCGAATTTACTTGAAACTTGTCACTTAGGGGGTCACTGATCATAAATATATTAAATTTCTAAAATTTAAAATAAATCCAATATGGATGGAAAAATTAAATTACGGAAAGTAAATTGGAATTTTTCGTAGTCGCTAATGTAATTAATTTTTTTTAAATGTAAGTTAAAACTTACTTAAATGTAACTAACTGTATTAAATTAAATTTTTCATAAAATTTTTTGTAAAAATAAAATTAAAGAGTATTACAATAATAATAAAGAAATTTCGTTCGGTCATCGACAAAAAATTTGTTGGTCCCTTGTTTTTTTTTTTTTTTTGTTTGTATGTTTATTTGTATATGATTTGTGTATTTTTTTTGTTTGTTTTTTTTTTTTTGGTTGTGCTCATCCCTGCGCTGCGGTTCATTCCCCGCAATTAATCTCCCTACCTTTAAGCACGGCCTTGCGGCTCTTTCACTCCGTTCCGTTCATCCCGCTTTGATTTTTTTTCTTTTCTTTCATTCTTTTTTATTTTATGTTTTTTTTTTAAACACGCGCGCTAAATATAGAACTGCCGCGAAGCACTAGAGGAATTCTTAATCGGGTAATCGTCGTTTCTTTTCTCCATCAACTATTCCACTTTCTGCATTTTTACATTGCCTGATCTTCTCTTTTCTTAGGATCACCAGGTTTTCTTTCTATGCCTCCTACTCTATATTTAGAACTATACACACTACACACAGAGGCTCCTTCGTGCAATGAACGTAAAAAGAATAGTAAAGTTTTATAACTAGTACCTGTTTTCTGTTTACAGTTTATTATTAATTCCTGAAAGTCGCTTTTCTCGTTTCTTCCCATCGGATTCTCTCTGTGTGTGTGTAGTTTTGTTGTCTTTTTGCTTCCTTATATAGAGTCCAAACCCTTTATTGTAATGTTATATATATACAAAAATTTTTAACTTTTCTTCTATTTATAATTTCATACCCCCCCCCCTCCTCTCATTATTCTTCCCTTCCCTTTCAAAAAAAAGTGGGGGGAAAATTGAATTAATTTTTAAAACGTTTTAATTGATCATAATAAATATTTTCGATATTATTTTTTTATGAAAGAGGAAAATAATTCCATTATTTTAAGATATTACAAGTAAATAAAAAACACTAGTAATATCTTAGCGATATTACTAATGTAATTAAGATATTGTGAATATTTTGAGGATATTCTAGTATATTAAAAATATTAATATTTAAAGTATTTAAAGATTAATATTTGAAGATATTACCAATATTCTGAGGATATTAATAGTATTTAAAAAATATTATTAATATTTAAAGAAATTACAAATATCCTCAAAATATTGTTAATATCTTTAAGATATTACTACTATTTTTTATTTATTTGTAATATCATTAAATGATATTTAATGCCTTCGAGATATTTTGAAAATGTTAAAAATACCAAAATATCTTTAATATAATAATTAAAGATACTAGAAATTTATTAAAGACAAATATGTATTATCAAATATTTCAAAATAATTGGAAATTTGTTACTATTTTAAGATATTACTAATATCTTGCAGATATTATTATTTTTAGATATTAAAAATATTTCATTACTACAGACATTAATATTATTCTCAGGACATTGGAAATATTCTAAAGATATTGTAAATATTTCAAGATATTACCAATATTTTTTGAGACATTGCCAGTATTTTTAAGATATTACAAATATTCTAAAGGTATTGCAAATGTTTTAATATTACCATTATTTGAAGATATTAAAACAATTGTAAAAAAATAATTAATGACAAAAAAGAATATATTACCAATTTTTTAAAAGATATTACCCTGTTTTCATAATAATCGAAACATATAATAATTGAAAAATTATTATTTTTTAACTGTTTTTTTTTCAATTAAATAAATACAAACAAAAAAAGGTGAATCATATATATATATATATATATATATATATATATATATATAGTATAATATTATGGAAATCCCATGAGTTTAGTGTAAACAATTTATTCATGTGGGTCAAGAAAATCATGATTTGTTGCATAATAGTTGCAATGAGGTGTGGTCTCTTTTTTCAAACGATTAAACTATCAGCATCATTAACAAGCTTTTAATTTGTCATATTTTTTTTTATATATATGAAAACAATATTATTTTAAACAATTTTGAAATTATTTTTTCTCTTTTATTATATTTCCAGCGTGTATATTTTTATAAATAAATAAATATTATATTTATTAATATTTTTCTTCATTATGTTTTTTTAAATCTAAAACTTTTCAAGAATTAATAATTTATTTTTATAATTTTTTTATTGAATTATCGAATATTATATAAATATTGAACAAAATAATTTTACTTGCCAAATTGATCGTTTTCAATCAGAAATTAAATTAAAATTTTTTTAATTTATATTTTCAAAGTAGAGAGAAATATTTTTGAAAAAGTAAATGAAAAAAAAGTTAATTATGTTTATTTGTGGAGGGAAATAAGGGTCGAAATTTCGAGCTCCTGTATGTTGACAACCCGTCTTTATTAAGTTGAACCTGGTGGGTTTTATAGATCCACTACAGGACCACAATTTGAAAAAAAAACCAAATCAATCTAATAATTTTATTTGTCAAAATATTTCGTTTTTTATTATTTTATTATTATTATTATTATATTATTATTATTATTATATTATTAATTTTTTTAAATTTCGATAATAATTCCAAAGTATTAAAATCGGCTAATCCTCGTATATTAGAATTTAATATTTAATAGTGTGTTAATAATAATATTTGAATCCAAAGGGGATCGAACCCCAAACACATAGTCTTATAACCCGAGCGCCTAACGCTTACGGCTATCGCGAACTTAAGAATTCTTATTCAATATAATCTATAAATATTAATAAATTCATTTATAATATAAATCATTAATAATTATATAAATAAATACATGCAAATTAATCTAATTAATAGCCTTTATTTAAAAAAAAATTCATTCAATGTTTTTTTTTTTTAAATTAACGAACATTTTTAACAGTGATTTTTTTTCAATTTTCTCATTTAAATTGAAAACGATTGGCATCAGGTGAATTTGTATGGTTTTTTTTTTTATTTTTATTTATTTAATTCGCATTCGGAATAGCTTTCCATTTCTCCGCGCTTGTTATATTCCGAGAAGAGCAAGTCTCCGGATCGAGTTTTACTTCTATATAGCCAAGATTTTGTCCTCGGAATTGTTCGCGGGTATAACTTTCTATCTAAAAAAAGGAAAACGATATATATGTATAATCTGCATAGTTTTCTCGTTGGCGCCAACAGAGAAATTGAGACGATGCTTCATTTCATTTAATTGCCTCATTTTCCGTTGGAAATTAGACTCGAGGATGCAAAATAGCATCTGTCTCTCTCTCACTTTATGTATCGAAAACAACAAACATTTATAAACAAGGTCTTTTCGATTTTCCTGTTTCTATTTTTTTTTAAATACACTATTTTTAATGCGCACCATATGACTCCTATAATAACGCATTTTATAAAATTATAAATATACATATTACTCAATGCGCGTATTATTTTACCTTTCAAGGTCATCATTGCCTTCTTGTAATTTTTTCCCCCAATGTTACGCGTTTTTTTCTTTTCTTATTACTTTGTACACAATTTTTTATCGTATTAATAATTTAAAATTTACAATATGAATGGTCCATTGTATATGTAGAAAAAATTTTAAAAATACTAATTTTTTCTGAGCAGAACAAATTTCTGTGCTGTCAATATTGAAATTTTTAATTTCAATATTAAATTGAAAATATTTTTTTCTAAAATATTCATCTATTCGAAACCATATTGAATAAAAGAAATATTGGTGTTCGAATATATTTAATAAAATTGCGAAGAAAATTTTTTCATTTCGATCAATATATAATAAGAGAATTTTGAAACCTTAAAAAAATTCAGAAATTTTGAAAAATTTTGACATTCCTTATAAATTTTATGGGACTATCATTTATTATATATTTTCATTTAGGAAAAAAAATCGATTTTCATTTGGGGAAAAAAATAAAATTTTCAAATAAATTTCAAAAGTTAAAAAAAAAAATTCTTCATAGAAATATTTTTGATTCAGTGAAAATTCTTATTGGAATTAGCACATGAAGGAAACACGTTGCTCCATTGTACTATTATGTAAATATATACCCCCTATCAAAAACACTCCCCTCTTAATAAATTCCAACCTTGATCTAAATATTTGATTATTGGAAACGTAGCATCTGGAGCATTAGCCAGAGGGAAAACCCCTAATCAGAATCAGTCTTTGAAGGGTATAATTTTGATGCTTTGGAAATTCTGCGACTAAATTGAATTTTAGAAAATATTGCCGTGTCCTGGAAATTTATATTTTTGAAATTGATTTTTTAATTTTTTCTTCGCAAATTTGAATATTTAAATCTGATTTATTGAACACAAAAGCTTATAGGTACAAAGAATTTCAGTAGTAAAATTAATAAAAAAAAATTTTATTTTTTCAAAAATTGTTATATCTTACAATTTAATAAATATTTTTTGGTTCTGTAAATTTGGAAATTTAAGTTGAACCAATACTTAATTCGTTGCCAAGTTTTACTGCAATCGACGAAGCTGATTTTATATTATGCCCGGTTAAAATTTCCGGGACACTGAAATTTTATTTTATTCCTCGCGACTTTAAATTGACCAGCTTTTTTTCTTTTTAAGTACTATAAAATCTACTTCTTAAAAATAGTTACTGAAAATTTTACAGTAATTTACAAAATAGAAAAATTTTTAAGTTTTTGAATTTTGGGAAAAAATTATCTCATCTCCCATTTTCAAAAATATTTTCTAGTTTCGTAAATTAAGGTTTTTAAGTTAGAACGAATACCTACTGTACTGTTAAGTTTTACTTTAATCGGCCGAGCCATTTTTGAGTTATACCCGGACAAAATTTCCGGGACATTGAAATTTAATTTTCTTTCTTTACACGGAAAGCTATTTTATAAAAAAATATTATAATTGTATTTCTCAGCCAACCCAAATACTGATAATACCGCAATAATCTACAAAATGCCGGGACAAAATTTCCGGGACACTTAAAATTGGATTTTGTTCTTTGCGATTTTAAATCGACAAATTATTATTTAAATCGAAATATTAGTATCCGTTTTAATCAGTTTACAAACTTGAAAAAAATAGTAGTAGAAAAGATCAGAATATGAATAATGAAAAAATGTACTTTTTTGATTTTTCAAAAAACTGTTATAACTCCAATTCTAATGAATATTTTTTACACCAGTAAATTTACAATCTTAATTTGTACCAGCACCTAATGTACCATTAAAATTTAACTTCAATCGGCTGTCCCATTTTTACGTGCTGCCCGGCCAAAATTTCCGGGCAAAAAAATTTTTTTCACATTTTTGCTACTAAAAAAGAAAAAATATATAGAATTTTTTTTTACTCAATGTACGATAGAAAGTCTGATTTTCTCTCTATATATATATATAAAATATGAAGAGGGGTTGAATTGCTCCTTTAGGAGGGTTAATGTGCGCAAGCACAGCTTCATTTTGACAGTAGAACGCATGTACAGAACTCGATGTTCCATGTGATTTTTCCCCGTATATATCGAACGCAGGGAAAACTCTCGCAGTTGATATACAAGCGTAAAATAAGTAGAAGAAGAAGAAGAGGAAAAAACAGTGGTAGTAGTAGTGAAAGAAGGTGTCAAGTGATAAGTGTCATTGTATGTTATTTGTACTTAGTAGTCATCGACAGTAGATGAACGTATTGCCATCAACTACAACGTATGGACTTGAATGATTGACTTTCAAAACGATTTTGCAATTATAATACAAGCAGGAAACGGCGACCTTGTACACAAACCCGGTATAATTATATTTTTATTGTCAATTTTTGGTCAGTCGCCTTTTCGCTCACAGATGGACACACACTCGACATTTTCCTTTTTTTCTTTCATTAATTTTTGACGCGTTCGGCTAATTTTTTTTAGTCCATTTTCTTTTAAATTATTATTTTTCAGTTTATGTTATTTTTTTTGGTTTTATTTTTTCAAGTGTACAAATTTGATTTTTTCATGGATTATTCTTGGGATAATTGTTCTGTTATAGAGGATAATATTATCGTAAAGGTGATATTTATATTAATATAATAATAATAATAATTACTATTATTATTTATTTATTTTGCAATATCAAACTTTTATTTATTTTGAATCGAATAATTTTAGATTTCTATTTATACATAGAAAAAAATTATTTATTTAAAAAGTCCATTAGTTTTTTTTTCAATTACACTGTTCAATTTATATTAATACGTTATCGACGAGCTTGCAGTATTGAATAAAAAAATAATAGTAACATTCATATTATTTATGTGGTATTTTTCTTATTTATTTTTAGTTGGAAAATTATATTTGGCATAAAATTCATTGGCTATAAATTTTATTTGACATAAATTTTACTGGACATAAAATTAATTTAACAGAAAAATCTTATTTCACATGAATTTTACTTGACATAAAACTCATTCTAAAAAATAAAAAAAATTTACATAAATCTTTTATGACATAAAAATCATATATGTCTTAAATTTCATTTAACATAAAATTCATTTTAAATAAATCTCGTTTGAGATAATTTTTATTTGGCATAAATTTCAATTGACATAAGTTTCTTTTGACATTAATTACGCTTGGCACAAAAAATAACTCATTTGGCATAATTCTTTGTTGGCATAATAAATTTTATTTGACATAATAAATTTTATTTGACATAATTTACATTTGACATAAATCATAAATATAAGTGAAATTTATGTCAAATGTAAATTATGGCAAGTAATTTTTATGTCAAATAAAATTTTTTATGCCAACAAAAAATTATACCAAATGAGTTATTTTTTGTGCCAAGCGTAATTAATGTCAAAAGAAACTTATGTAATGTGATATTTATGGCAAATTACCATTTAGAGAAAAATTAAATTTATGCCAAATAAAATTAATGTCAAATAAGATTTGTGAAAATGAGAAATTTTTCACTTCAAGTGAATTTTTTATGTCAATTTTAATGTATTGAAAAATAAATTTTAAGTAATTTTATGCTAAATGAGATTTATGCAAAATAATTTTATGCCAAGTGGAATTTGATGAACATTTATCTTATATAAAGTATACATTAAATATATCTCTATATTTTTATTTTTAAGTTAAAAAAAATTTTTTTTTTTTATTTTTCTAACGAAAAAAAAGAAATAAAACTTTTCAATCTATTTTTATCGTTTATTGGCTATAAAGGGGACGGAAATTGATATCTATTTACACGCTATATGTATACAGCCAGATAAATTTGAAGAAAATAGCAGAAAGTGAAAAATCCCTTTATATATCGTTTAAGAATTTTTTTTTTTGTTGCTCCTTTCCTTACACTCCATATGATATCTGACATTCTAATCAAATTGAACGCTTATCGAGGGATAAGAAATACTTTTCTTTATAGATCATCGTGTTTTGGATTCCTTCGCTCAAAAAAGTTTTTAATTCAATTTTTTTGAAAATATAAATAATTTTTTTTTAAATCTCTGGAACATAATAATCTTAAAATAAATATATAGATATATGTACTCTGAAATTTATAAAAAATTATTATTCACGTGCTTCATTTAATGCACGTGCACTTCGCCCCAGATTAATCTCGAGTGTGCGCAAGGATGCTGCATTTACTTCTTTTATTTTTTTATATACATTTTCCAACATAATCAAGGGTCTATATATTTTAGCCTACATATATATTGCATACTATCTCCAATATATAATATAAATTGCTATTTTATTTTTCATCAAATTTAAGGTATTTGGGATTTTTCCTTTCTTTTTTTCTTTCAATTCTTTTAACACGAAAATTTTTATTTTATGCAAATTTTTTCACTTTCTTTGTAAATGTATAAAATGTGAGTGTGTGCAAATGAATTGAGAGCAATATTGGAAATCAGAGAAATGAACTGATTTTTTTTCTTTTGTTTTTTCTTCAAGGTAAACAAAAATTTTCTACAAACAGAAATGGAGGACATGGGAATTGCGAGTGATGAAATAAATATCAATGGAAGAGGATTATTAATAAATTTTTCTTCCATTTCGAATGAAAACTTTGGGGATGATTGACGAGTTCCACATGATGCTTAGAAAAAGGTAATTTTTTGTTCTACTTTTTCTTTCACTTTTTTTGTTAATGATTTTTTAATTATTATTTATTTTAACAAAAAAATATATATCAATTATATCTTTAAATTAATTAATCATGTTTAAAAATTTTTAATATGAAATAATAATGAACATATAATAAAAAAATAAAATAATAATAATAATAATAACAACAATTTAATGTATTTATAATTTAATGTAATAAAAAAATATATATAACATTTTTTATTTAGAAAAAAGTTTTTTTCTTCTAATTATTAATAATTAAATTTTTCATCAAAATTTTCTGCAATTTTTTTTATTTGCAAATTACACAATGTCGACAAAACAGGAAACTACACTTGTTGCTTTTGGTAGTTTTCTTGATTACCAGGTGAAAATAAATGATCTATAAATTTATTCTTAATTAATTCAATTAACAATAAATGAATAAATAATATTATTTATTCGTTTGTTAAAAAATTATTAATAATTCAAATTAACTTAAATGTATAGAAATATAATATAAAATATTATTATTATTATTATTCATATTTTTATTATTTATTATTATTTAATAGTATTATAGTTAATTTACTATTATACTTAAAAAATTATAACATAAAACTAATATTTTAAAAAAGTAATAATAATATTAATAAAAATAAATATTAGATTATTTTTTTAATTAAAAGAAACAATAATATTTAAATGATGAAATTACAAATTTAACTAGTAATTTAAAATGAAACGTAAATGTTTGTATCGAAAATTCTGAGCGTGAAGTTTGAGGCAAGTTTAGTCAACATTTAATTACAGTAGAAGGGTCAATTGTGAATTGAGGATAATAAAGGCAAATGGACGCTTGTCATGTATGGCTAAATAATAATGAAGAAGAACAATAAATATCAAAGGAAAATTAACCTCACAATTAAATTAATGAAATCGATTAACAATCATATAGACATATATTACAAATATAAAAACGTATTTTCAAATGTTTCCATTAATCTTGAGCCACAATAATAAATTATTATCAATCTTAACAAAAATTGTCAAAAAATAGTATTTAAAAATAGATTTACTCTGTATTTTAATTTTTTTTTTAATAAAATAAAATATATTTTTCAGACAGATAAGAGAGAAAATTTTCAAATTTCATTTAACTTTGTGAATATGGGAGATATTTGTATTTTCCTCTCAGGCATCGCACAAAAGTTTCATTTAGTTTCCTTTTTTTTTGTTTTCGACATATGAAACTTTTTTATTAATACAATGAAAAATAGTAAAAATAAAAAATAAAAAAGAATAGAAATGGAAAAAAATAACGATTTTTTTTTTAAATAGAGTAAAATAAAAATAAAAAATAAAATTCCATACCAAAAGTACGATGCAAATGATGTTTGCAGCTATATAGATTTAACTTTTTAAAAAAATTACTTCTGACATTTGTTAATATATAGAAGGTACTGTTCAATTATTCTTCCTTATACCAAAGCCAATTGTTAATCGTTTTCATTAATTTTCAATGGTGATATGGAAGTTAATTTTTTTCAATTGTTTGATAAGAATCGACAATGTTCTAATCGATTTCACAGTTATTTTTTTTCCACCAAAATCATAATTGAATTTACTTTTTCGTAAAAACGGAATTTTACTTTTAAAAAAATTGAAAAATAACATAATTTTGTTAGGGAAAATTTTAAAAAATTTTTTTACAATTTTCAAGATGAAAAATGGTAAAAAAAAATATTTTTTGTAAGTAAAAAATTTGTTTGGACCATTTTTAATTGAAAAAAATATTCTTGAATTTTGCAATACAATTTTGGAGGGAAAAAAAATTATCACAAGCTGTAACAAAAATGGTACATTATGTGACATTATTTCCGTGTTGCGGGGTCAAAGTGCCTTTGATAACTTTTAATAAAAAAAAATCTCTAGAGAGTAAAATTAGGAAAAGTGAGAGAAAATGAGAAAAAAAAGGCGGAAGGAGAAGATGGTAATTGAATGAAAAAAGACAGGAAAAAGTTTTCTCTTTCTCTCTTAAAAGCAACAATTTGCCAATATTCTACTATAGCTTTCTCTCTTTTTCTCTCTCTCTCTGTCTCTCCTTCCTCTTCTCTCTAGTCACTGAAACTCACACGAAAAGGTACCACCACCCTTCTCTACCTTTGAAAGCCTTCAGAAAACTGGTCCAGTTTCGCGGTTACTTTTGACGAAAACTTTCCTCGACGTTTTCTGTTTCGTTCTAAACAATTTTTGATAACAATTAAAAAAGAATTATTTTTTACCCACGAAAATTTTAATTGAAAAAAATATATTAAAAAAATTGTTTTAATTATTTAAAACTAATAATTTAATATCTTTTATCAACAAATAAGCAAAGGACTTTATTATAAATAATTTTATTATAAACAAATAAGAAACTTCTTTTATGAATAAAGAATTTTGTTAGCAACAAAAAAATTAATAATGCCCAAAAACTAGAAATTATAGCAATAAATTATTATATTTAAATTATTATTTACAAAAAAAATTGTTTTTAAAAATGTTTAACGCCGAAATCTTGCAACAAAAAATTGTGATTAATTGAAAGCAATCTGAAATAGTCTGTGAAGGTAAGATGATAAATTGTAAAATTTCATTTTTTACAAATAATAAATATAGAATTTTTTTTTTTAAGTAAACGTTAAATAATATATTCGTTGTATTTTATTAATTTGTTACTTCATTTAATTTAGTCAATTTTTTTTAATTACATTAAAAAAAATATTTTGTGATTTTTTTATAAATTTTTTCTGATTTTTAAATAATTTTAATTATTGTTGACCCTAAATGAATGAATTAATTAAAGATAAATTAATTAGTCAATGTAATTATTATAATTAATCGAATTTATCACATTAATTAATTAGATAAATTAAATAACAATTAGGTTAAATTAATTCATTTTTTTTTTATTTTTCATTTATCTTATGTAGGCTATTTTAATTTTATTTAAATTAACTTTTTATATATTTCAATTTCCACATTAAAAGTTAAATTATGTTTTTGGGGATGAAAAATTATTTTAGGAAACAAAATTGAAATATTTTTTATTTGTTTATGTATTTAAATATAAAAATGGTAAATAGTTATTTATTAATACGAGACAATAAAGGGACTTGCCGTTCAGATTTAATTCGAGAGTGAAAAAAATAAATATTGACACATTAAATGTGTCTCTCTTAAAAGGGTGTTTGTTTAAGGATATTTTTCTTAGTGACTCCGTACTTTGCTCCTCAATCTTGATTGCAATTGTATTAATAGACATGAGCAGATGTGAGTGCGAAATTTAATTTATAAATTGACTCCTTCCTTATAAAAATAGAAGAAGAATCTCATTTTTAGCAATTATTCCCCCTATATATTTTTTTATTTGTTATCAAAAACAAAACCTAATGTTATTTTTATAAATTTTGTCATTTTCCATATTTTATTTTTTATGTCTAATTTAGTTATTTATCTAGTAAATTTATATTTTCTTGAATTGTCAAAAAATTTTTTTGTTATTAATATAATTCGCTAATTAAATTTTTAATTTGACATCAGAAAAAAGGAAACGAAGAAAATAATCGAAATGTTTTTTTTCCAAATTGTGGCTGAGCACGAAAGTAATATTACATTAATCAGATTCAAGGACAGTGAATATAAAATAACGTAACTATTTTTATACAAAATAGAATTCATTTATGTCATTAAAAGTTATTTTTAAAAATTTCCTGTTATCGTTGAAAGGACTCGCCATACAAATTTCGCCATTGGTTACAGATGCAAAAAATAACGCACGATTCTACTTTCAGCTAATTTTCAACCTTTTGTAGTTAACTAAAATAAATTTTTATCTGTTTATTTATTAAAAATAATAATAATAATTTATTTCTTATTTAACGTTAAATTATTTTAAAAATGACAATTTTTTTCCAATTTTTTAAATTTGGTTCAAAAAAAAAAATTTATGAATTTTTAAAATTTGAAGCTAAAAAATTTTCCAAATATTTATATGTAATGATTTTAAGTAACGATTTAAGATTTTTTTTTTATTTTACTGTGATGTCGCATATTCACAGACGGATAGACGTACGTGACAAAAATGTCGAGAAGACTAATAATAACTTGAAGTTTTTCTCTATAAGGACGTCTGATTTTAATTCAAATAAATGACCAGTTGCTCGACTTCTTCATTTTTTTTCAAGCCTGAGGTCAGTGATCATATGTTGCAACGCAATGAGCATCTAAAAAAAACAAAACAAAAAAAAAATTTCTTCTAAAACTTTTCAGTCATAAAAATTGTATGACGTTAATGTACTAAAACAAAATTCCCAGAAGTTATTTTTTTCAAAAATAACCAATAAAAAGTACAAAAATAATTATTAATATTAATAAAACAATTATTAATAATTTTTTTTAAGCTTCTATATTTTTTCAAATAAGAAAAAAAATGCTTCCTCTATGAGGAACAATTTTTTTTATTCTAATAAAATGCTTCTGTAAAAGAAAATGGAAGCAAAAAGAGAAATTTATCTAAAAGCAAAAAATGTATTTGAATTTAATTTTTTTTTTTTAGAAAAATAATCAATCATGTACGGATTAATCCTGGAGAATTTGTCCGAGTACATCAGACAAGTTTATGGCGAAGATCGATGGGAAGAGATCCGTCGATTGGCGGCGGTGGAACAACCCAGTTTTAGTGTTCACCAGGTTTATCCTGAAAATCTCATTCCGAGATTGGCCAAAAAGGCAATTCAGGTATTTGAAAAAAAAATTTTTTTATGAAACTATAAAAAATAGTTGAGAAAATTTTTTATTAATTTCTTTCTAAAGAATTAGAAAAAACAGTAAACCCTCGCATACTGAGGAAATGCGGGAATTCGCATACGATTGAATTATAATCCTCTCCCTTTAAAAGTTTAAATTTTTTGAAGAATTTTAATATTTGAACAAAATTTAAATTCTATCCCTCAAGTATACGGCCCTGAACACCGATGCGCGCGCAGATTTCCTCCGTCAGTGTGCGAGGCGAGTGGGGGAAACTCGACAGTATGAGAGGTTTGACTGTAATAAAGAATGAAATAAAATAACCAAATAATTATCTCTTAATTACAGGTCCTCGGTATAACGGAGAAAGAATTTTTCGACCAAATGGGAGTGCATTTTGTCGGTTTTGTAAGTCAATATGGATATGATCGTGTTCTTTCGGTTCTCGGTAGACACGTAAGAGATTTTTTGAATGGCCTCGACAATCTTCATGAGTATCTTAAGTTCTCTTATCCCCGAATGAGGGCGCCTTCTTTTATTTGTGAAAACGAAACTCGACAAGGTAAACGCACTTTTTTTAAAAAGAAAAACGACTTTTAATTTTACATAATTAGCGAATTTTTTTTTCAATTACAGGTTTAACTCTACATTATAGAAGTAAACGACGTGGTTTCGTCTATTACACAATGGGACAAATAAGGGAAGTTGCCCGACATTTTTATCACAAGGAATTGAAAATTGAACTCGTACGTGAAGAGGTTCTATTCGATACGGTTCACGTTACATTTCAATTGACCTTCGACAATCGAGCTTTTACATTAGCCTCTCTTGCCATGACTCGCGAAGAAAAACACCTGCCAATAGGAGCTTCGGTCTTATTTGAGATTTTTCCCTTTTGCATAGTCTTTGGGTGTGTGTTTCTCAGCGTATGCATTATAATTAGTAATTACACTTAATCACATACAATTATGCTAATCAGGAAACTCGCCATACAGAATTAACTTTCTTTCAAACATTTTTTTTTCTTTAAATCATTATTTAATTTTCTTTCTTCCATTTAATCATCTTTCTTTCCTTCTTTTTTCTTTTTTTTGAAAATGAGGAATTCAAAAAGAAAAAATTATTCCTCGATATTAATCAGCTCTTCCGTTTGATGGAAAGAGGCTATTTTTAAAAGTAGATTTCACATACATACACAAAACTTATCATTTTCCCCCGTTTGATTTTAGATCGGACATGGTTGTAAGGAGCATCGGTAATTCCTTAATGGTTATTCTACCCGACCTACTTGGCAAGAAAATTACCCACTGGTTTGACTTGGTGAGACCACTAATCGCCTTCAAGTTTCAATCGGTAAGCATAATTATTTTTTTCAGAAATTTAATATTAATATTTGTATCTTTATTCTATGATATTGTTAAGATTGATAAAAAAGAAATTCAGTTTGCTCGTTTCAATCTTACTTTTTCAAAAATTATATTATCCGCTAAAGAAATTGTTGTAAAATTCAAATTTAGAAAATTTTATTTTTAAATCTTAAATTATTTCTTTTTTAATTTGGTTGGTTCTTTTTTTATTACAGATTTTAAATAGAACAAATAACATTTTTGAGTTGGTATCAGTTGAACCAGTTTTGACTGAACGACCATCGGACAGAAAAAATAATCATATCATGATGAGTGACGAGCATGATTCGCAAGACGATAAAACGTTGCGATTAAAAGGTAAAATAAGTCAAAAAATATATAAATTATTGTAAAAATTTAAGCATTATGAAACAAATTAGAATTTCCAGACATATGCTTAAAAATTTAGATGAAAAGGATTACAGTGAAACCCACATATATCGGATTTCAAGAGATCGGGAAAAAATCCAATGTAAGAGCAAATGCGAATTATGCGAGTCCGATATACATAGGTTACATTGTATTAAATAAAGATTTAGTCCTTAAAATAGCAGTTTTTACCAAGTAATAAAGAAGCTCTCTCGTATAATTGTATCAATATTATAATAAACAAATATTTTAATTAGGGTAAAATTTTTGAAAACTGAAAATATAAAAAATTAACGACATAGAAATCTACATTATGGTATGATGGTAAAGAAATTTTTTGAAAAAAAAAATATAAAAATTACCGACACAGAAACCTACACTACCGACTGATGGTAAAGAAATTTTTTGAAAAATGAAAATATAAAAAATAACCGACACCGAAACTTAAATTACCGACTGATGGTAAAGAAATTGTTTGAAAAATAATAATATAAAATTACTGATACAGAAACCTAAATTACCGACTGATGGTAAAACAGATTTTTTGAAAAATGAAAATATAAAAATTACCGACACAGGAATCTACCTTACCGACTGATGGTAAAACAGATTTTTGAAAAATGAAAATATAAAAAATTACCGACACAGGAATCTACCTTACCGACTGATGGTAAAACAGATTTTTTGAAAAATGAAAATATAAAAAATTACCGACACAGGAATCTACCTTACCGACTGATGGTAAAACAGATTTTTGAAAAATGAAAATATAAAAAATTACCGACACAGGAATCGACCTTACCGACTGATGGTAAAACAGATTTTTTGAAAAATGAAAATATAAAAAAATTACCGACACAGGAATCTACCTTACCGACTGATGGTAAAACAGATTTTTGAAAAATAAAAATATAAAAAATTACCGACATAGAAATCTACCTTACCGACTGATGGTAAAAACAGATTTCCATTTTTCAAAAAGCCTATTTTACCATCAGTCGGTAAGGTAGATTCCTGTGTCGGTAATTTTTTATATTTTCATTTTTCAAAAATCTGTTTTACCATCAGTCGGTAAGGTAGATTCCTGTGTCGGTAATTTTTTATATTTTCATTTTTCAAAAATTCTGTTTTACCATCAGTCGGTAAGGTAGATTCCTGTGTCGGTAATTTTTTATATTTCCATTTTTCAAAAATCTGTTTTACCATCAGTCGGTAAGTTAGATTCCTGTGTCGGTAATTTTTTATATTTTTATTTTTCAAAAATCTGTTTTACCATCAGTCGGTAAGGTAGATTCCTGTGTCGGTAATTTTTTATATTTTCATTTTTCAAAAATTCTGTTTTATCATCAGTCGGTAATTTAAGTTTCTGTGTCGGTAATTTTTTATATTTTTATTTTTCAAAAATCTGTTTCACCATCAGTCGGTAAGGTAGATTCCTGTGTCGGTAATTTTTTATATTTTTATTTTTCAAAAATCTGTTTTACCATCAGTCGGTAAGGTAGATTCCTGTGTCGGTAATTTTTTATATTTTCATTTTTCAAAAAATCTGTTTTACCATCAGTCGGTAATGTAGGTTTCTGTATCAGTAATTTTTATATTTTTATGTTTCAAACAATTTCTTTACCATCAGTCGGTAATGTAGGTTTCTGTATCAGTAATTTTTATATTTTTATGTTTCAAACAATTTCTTTACCATCAGTCGGTAATTTAAGTTTCTGTGTCGATAATTTTTTGTATTAGCTTTTTCCAAAAAAATTTTTTTTTTATTTCTCAAAATTTTTTATCATCTTGTATCTTTCACTGTACTTTTAAATAAATATAATTTTATATTTTTTCCTGATAAAAAGGTCAAATGATTTACATGGACAACTGGAAAATGATGATGTATTTAGGAACACCGGTTATGCCTGATCTTAATGCTCTAATAGCCACTGGACTCTACATAAATGATCTCTCAATGCACGACTTTAGCAGGTAGAATAAAAAAAACAAGTTACAATAATAATAAGTATTATTATTATTATTATTATTATTAATACTAATTAAATAAATATTTAATTTAATTTTTAAATAATTTATTTAACAAATTGTATTTTTTGTTATCAATATAGAGATCTAATGTTAGCCGGAACACAACAGTCAGTAGAATTGAAATTAGCATTAGATCAGGAACAATTAAAAAGTAAAAAACTTGAGGAATCAATGAGAAAACTTGATGAAGAAATGCGACGAACTGATGAACTTCTCTATCAAATGATACCAAAACAAGTGGCTGATCGTTTGAGAAATGGAGAAAGTCCCATTGATACTTGCGAGGTATTTCCCATATAATTAGAGTTTTCCTTATTTTTTTTTGTTTTCGTACTACTATTAAATTCTTTAAATTATTATTTTCCTTCCTTCCAAGATGTTTGACAGTGTCTCCATTCTATTCTCGGATGTGGTTACATTTACGGAAATTTGCAGCCGATTAACACCAATGGAAGTAGTGTCAATGTTGAATGGCATGTACTCACTATTTGACACTCTAACGGAACGAAATCGCGTGTATAAGGTATTCCTAGGTATATTCAGAATGATTCTAAAAAAAAAAATAAATTACAAGTGGAATATGTACTCAAATTTTAAGAAGAAAATTGTCATTGAATAACTAGTGTTCAATAGGTTTAAGTGCAAAAAAATTAAACAGAAAATTCTGATTTCAGGTTGAAACTATCGGCGATGCTTATATGGTAGTATCAGGAGCTCCAGTAAAGGAAAATGATCATGCTGATAGAGTTTGTGATATGGCTCTTGATATGGTTGAGGCAATAACAGATCTAAAGGATCGTTCTACTGGTTAGTAAAAACCAAAATGATATTTTAGAAGCATACATTTTTTACTTTTTTAATATTTTTATTTGAACTATTAGGTCAACATCTTCAGATAAGAGTCGGGATTCATAGTGGAGCCGTTGTCGCTGGTATAGTAGGTCTAAAAATGCCACGCTATTGTCTTTTTGGCGATTCTGTAAATACTGCGTCAAGAATGGAGGCAACTAGTGAAGCAATGCAAATTCATATTTCACAATCGACTAAAGAACTTTTATCACCTTCTTATAAAGTTAGGAAACGTGGTGAAATTCAAGTAAAGGGAAAAGGTACTTAAAAATTATAGAAACTTAAAAATTGTGTAACTATGATGATGCATTAAAAATTCTTTGTTAAGGTACAATGAAAACTTATTGGTTGGAGAAAAGAGAATCTCGATCGGTTACAACGAAAGGAATTTCAATTCAAGAACCACCTCAATGGGTCAATAAGGGATTGGAAGAGAGACCTCCGGTCAGTATTGCATGTTTACAAAGAAATTGCACGGAATTGTCATCATCGTCGAGAAGGGAATCACGGCTTTCATCGCCGGTTCCTCAAGGATCTCCTGGATTAATACCGGATGAAAGGAGAATTTATTCACCTGTTACTTTTCAGGATGTTGCACGACGTTCTGTTGCCAATTCGCCTACGAAGAATAACGACATGAGAGGTAAAGATTAATGCTTTTATTCCTTCTCTGAGGCAGAAATCGGATTGGCAAATAGTCCAGTTTATCATCCTCATATTGCTTTCCGTAGTTTCCAAAAGCATCTGGATGCAGTGGATGATTTACTAAACATTCGTGTATCAACCAGTTTCTCCCAACGTTTCAGATATTTAGGAGATCAGACAAATTGGTCACTGAAGGCTGTGGTCCATCCAAAGACTTCAGAGACCAATTAGTCTGATCTCCTAAAAACCTAAAATGTTGGTAGAAATTGGTTGCTTTGGAAACTACGGAAAGCAATCTGAGGATGATAATCTAAAATCTTTCCTACCTCTTCAATGGCCATGCTTCAAAGAAATTTCCTTCCAGCATTGATTTGTCAAATTAAATCAAAAGTAAATCTAATAATTCTGAAACAACTATTTACAGAGACACGATCCAATTCTGTGGGTGCAGTTTCCATTTCTTTTCGCAATCCTACCGATGTCTTTGGATCACTTCTCAGTGATACCGAGGAGCACTTTCGATTACATAGAAATAGTCTTTCCGTTCATGGACAATCGACAGCGGGAGTTCACGTGAAACCGGAAGTAAAAGTAAGTGCCGAGACAAGTTCATCATCTGATGCTTCACGTGACGATGCAACAACGTCATCGGCATCGAAAACAATGGAAGAAACAAGTAATGATTGTTCCACTGCCGCTGAAAGTGATCTCAGCAATTCACAACTTCTCGTTAGAGAGGGTCAATGTTGTCCAGGATTTGCCATGACAAAGAGTGGAAAAATACGTCATCCAAATAATAATTGTGTCATTTCATAAAAAAAGAAAACAAAACTTTTAAATTTTAGTATTACTTATGACAATTTTCAGATGGTTACTTTGAACAACTGTTTTTTCTATTCTCGTTTCGAAGTTTAAAAAAAAAACTTCTCAACTACTTCCATTTTCTAAAAAAATATTTCTCATAGGAAAAAAAATTTTTTCACGACTGATTTTTCAGAAATTTTTTTCATTGTCATAATAACTAGTCAATAATTTGTATAGTGTCATCTAAAATAAATCGTCTCATTGTTTAAATGTAGTGTTTCGAAAAAAATGCAATAACGAAATTACAATTTCACAAAAAAGTGAATAATAGCGCAATCAAATTTATAAATCAACATATGTATTAAAGAAAAAAAATTATTTGTTATATTTTGAATGAAGAATAAAATCATTTTTTCGTTCGATATGGACAATAAAAAAAAATATATCTAATACATAATATAAAAATTACCGTTGGGCCTAAAAAGTTTTAAATAAAAAGGAAAATTTAGTTTATAACTCACGTTTCACATTATAATTATAGTAACAATATATTGTTTATTCTGTATAAAGTTCGAAATCCTATAAAATAGTATAATTCATGTATTTTTACATATAAAAAAAATAATTATATATATATATATATAGAAAATATTATGTGTGACAAATAATATGTAACGAGAGAAATAATGTTTTAAATAATTATTGAAAAATAAAAAAAACGACTATTTATTAAAAAATTGTATTAAAAGACGACTGAATTATCAAAAAATAAAATACAATTTATTATATTTAAAAAATCAATTTCACGTTTCACTTATTATATTGAGTGTCATATCAAAGATTATGAAAAATAATAATAAATTAAGTAATTATTAAAAAACAAAAAATGATTATGAATTTTTCACGGGGGAAAATGATAAATTGTAATTTAAAAAAAAATTACAAAATGGGGTACAAAGATATAAAATATACCTGACATTTCGAGAAATATCATTAAATTAAAAATATTCAAATTTAAAAAAAGCAATTTTAATTAATTTAAAATTGTTAAAATTCATAATTTTAAATTCATTAACTTCAATTTTAGGGGGGAATAAAATTTTGAAAACTACTGAAAGGCCGGGGGAATTGAAAAATATAGAGAATCTTGTCATTAAGATAAAAAGTAGTTACCTTATATAGAAATTGTCAAATAATAATTACACTGTATTTTCTTGGATTAAATTGAACAGAGGTGAATTAAAATCTTTTTAATTACTTATCATAACCTAATTTCCTTTCTCATGAACAATTTTCCAATTTTCTTTTATAATTTTTGACAAACATTTTATTTATTTACTTAATATTTTTATTTTTAGCATCTAAATAATTGTTTTATTTATTAATTATTATTTATCATATTATTATTTAGAAAATTTTTTTAAAAGTCATAAAAATAAAATAATAGAAAGATTATGCCAAACAAAAAATACTGCTTATTATTACTATAATTAATTTTATGTTTATTTTTATTTTAACTTAAATGATTTTTTTATGATTTCTATTTATAAAGAAGTGAAATACTACATGAAAAATCAGTGAAGGACATTTTTCAGTCTGACTAAAATTTATCTCTTCTACTTAAAATCAACACTTTTCTACTTAAATTATGATATTAGTAAGCAGTTTTATTTTTTAATTTTCGTTCTTTTTTTTGTTCATTTGTTTGTATTTTAAGTATCTTTATAAAGTAATAGAAAATTTTCTGCACAATAAATTATTTTTGCAAAAAAAATAAATAAATAAATAAAGCGTTTCCTTTACGAGAAATAAAATAAAAAAGAATAAAAAATAAAAATTGAAAAAAATGCACAAAATTTACTGGCGATTCTCTCCATCTCTTAAGTAATTTCACATACGAGACAAGGTCGTTTTATTTAATAACTGTATCAAATTTGTTTTGTCATGATATTTTGCGACACAACACCATCCGGTAATTTTCATCCATCGATAATAATTACGGTTTTCAACGCGTTATATAAAAGAGAATTGATACTAGTAGTCTTAATATATTACCTACGTCACGAACATAAGGGGAATATATGTGATTCTCATGAATTAATACAGATCGGTTATAAATTACATAAAAATCAGGTAAAACAATCGTTTATAGATCTTGTTTATCCCTAAATTGTTTCTTAATTGACAACACAAATTATATATTAAAAGTATATTATTTTAATAAAATATTTTTTCAAATGACAGTTAATTTTTTTTTTCTTTTAATTTAATTTATTTAATTAATTAATATTAATATTAATAAGTGATTCAATTAGATTTAAAAGACGTCAGCCATATTAAATCCACCATTTTGAAATTTCAGTCAAAAGTGTTTTTAAAAAAAAATCTTGAAATCAAAGAAAATGTTTTTTTAAATAAAAAAATACATTTCTTTAATAGAAAGAAATTGTTAAATAATTAATAATTTATTTTATTATTTATTTAAAAACAAATAACTAAATAATAAATTAAGAAAATTAATTCAAAAACGCAATTTATTGCTATAGAAGAAATGAAATTCTCCTTTTTGACAAAACGAAAAAGTGAAAATTAGTGTGAGGGGTAAAAAAGGGTATTTGGAGAAAAATTGCATGTGTGTGTGTGTGTGGTATATGATAGCTATCGCACCTAGTTCATGAGCTTAACAGCAGATTATATACTTTTCATGAAACCTCCCACCCATAAGGAACATGGTGGACAATGGCCTTTGGTATCTCAGGAACTAAACATTTTTCAAGATAAAGACATATATACACATTGTTCCGCTATAGCCTTCCACCTACGAGACTTGACACAGCAAGAAAATATATAGAACGAGGGGAAATAAAAGTGTCAACTTTTTCTTTTTTTTTTTTTTTTATTTCAAAAATGGAAAACAATCCGCACGGTTAATGCTGACTTTCAAGGAACATAAAAAACAAAAGTTCACTCGTAACAAATTTTTTTAGATCCCACTTGAAAATTTATCGCCTTTTCTTTCGATTTTCATATGAAATAAAATACAATAATATTACAATAGGTAATAAAAAAAAAAAATAGAAAAAGAAAGTTGACACTTCCAAAGTTAGAATTTTATATTTCTAAATGTTCGGACTGTTTCAATTCCTAAAACTTTCAGTTTCAAAACGTTCCTAAGTTCAGATTGTCAGTTTCAAAACATTCCGACTGTTTCAATTTCAAGGACGTTCCCCTATTCAATAAGTTCAAAATTCAAAACATTCCTATTTCCGAAATGGTTCAATTTCAAAATATTGCTATGTTTCAATCTGATCTAAACATTTATTTGTGTTTTTTTTAAAACAATGATTTTATTTTTAATGTAATTATACATATATAATAACTTTATATAAATATAAAATCTAATAACTTAAACAGCTGGTGGACGAGAAGTTATAAAACAGTTATATATATTTTTTCAAAGCCACTCTCCTGGTTATGTGAATTTCATTTGACAGTATAACTTATATATATATATATATATATATATATATATATATATATATATATATATATATATATATATGTATATGTGTACAAATATAGAATATTACTTATTGTTAGTGCAAGATAAACGTACATTGTATCCTAAAGAAAATTTTCTTCTACTTGAAAGTTACTTAAGATTCTAATTAATTAAGTACAAAAGAAACTTTTCTTACAGAATCGAACAATAAATATTTCAAAGTATACATATATTTTCAACAGTGATTATACAATACATATAAATTTTCAAGCGTTTCATATAATACGTAAGAGACAGAATATTTTGTACTTAATTAACTATTGTTTTAACCATAATTTATTATTATAATAATTTAATTATAATTAATAATTATTAATTAATTTTTATATTTTTCTGAATAACTAATCTACTGATAATAATAATTATTATAATAAAAAATTATATAAATCAATAGATTAATTAATTACAATTAATAAAAATGGCCATAATTATTAATGAATTTTAAATTATATGTATAACAGTAAAATAATATTTATCAATTTTGTTATTATTATTCGTTTAAATATTGAAAACAACAGTTAATTAAAAATTATATTATTAAAATATTTTTTTAAATCAAAATTTACAGCAACAGTGAAATTTTGTAAAGAGTTAAAAAAATTGAATTCATTGTGTCGCGAAACCATTTTTTTTTATAATAGGGGAGAAACAGGCACAATGGGATGTGAGGTTTGTTTACTTATAAATTATTCTGAATATATTCGATACGTGCTTTTATTTACATGCCATCAACTTTGTGTGTCAACTTATTTTTTTTAACAAAAAAAGTTAATTAATTTTTATTAACATATTTCTTTTTCTTTTTTTTAAGAATTTAAGGATTAATTCCACTCAATGAAAATAATTTTGTTCATTTTAATATTCGACTATAAATAAAATTATAGTAATAAATAATTATTTTTTTAATCCTCATGTTTTATATTTTATTATTTTTATTGTACGTTTTATTATTTGCTCGTCTATATTAAATAAATAAATAATAATATAGGTAATAAAACAAGTTGTAAATTCAGATGTTCATTACATGAACATTTTGCTTCCTCTCTACGATCAGCAAAAAAATTTGCTTCCTCGTGGAGAAAGCATTAACATTGAAATAAACATACAAAAATAATATAATAATATAAACATTTGAGTACTTATAGATTTGAGTTAAATTTAAAGAATTAATGGAAATTAAAAAATCAAAAATTCACATTTTAGCTGAAATTTCTAAAAATTAATAAAAAATAATATATAATTTATAATTATTTACAATTATATCGATTCGTTTCAATGAAAGAAACACAATTATTTTATATTTAAACTTGAATTTAAATAAATACACAAATTTTCAGCTAAAATGTGAATTTTTGATTTTTTAACTTTCATTAATTCTTTAAATTTAAATTAAAACTATACTTTATACATACTGATCGATTTATCTTGACGTAAGAATTACGATTTTGATTATATATAACCTTAAATCTTTCTATTTAAAAATTTTTTAGATTAAAAAAAATTTTTTGGAAAAAAGACGATAAAATTTTTTTTTTTGGTATTTTTTAAAATCCTTTGGTCAGTTTTGAGATATTAATATGATAAATAAGCCTATACCAAATTTTATCTAAATCCATTAAAACCTGTTAAAGTTATCTTCTAAACAAAAAAGGGATCCACACACACATACATACACCCGGACAATTGATCAGGTTCTCATATAACATGTTTCTATAGAGAAAAATTTGTTTTCGCCACTTTGAAAATTTTTATAAACGAAAGGACTACAAAGCTTCCTTCACGAGGAAGCAAAATAATAAAAAATAAGATAAAAATAATAATAAAATAATAAAAAATAAATAAAAATTGAGGTTTTCTTCGAGATGAATATAATTTTAAAAAACTAAAAAAAAAAATTTAGGTTTATTTCGACTGGTGAATATTAGTTTTCATACAAAAAATGCGTAGTTAAAATTTCGTAAAGATTAGTTCACAGTAATTTTTGGAGAAAAAATTTAACGCAAACATAAAAATAGTGGATTTGAGAAAAACACGTGCGTTTAAAGTTTTTATTGAAAAATCATAAAAAAAATCACATTCACAAGTCAATGACGTCAGAATCATATATAGAAATTCTTTTTTTTTATTAATCAACTCATTTTCCTTCATGTATAATAATAAATACACATATAACTGCTTTTATGTACAATATGGACAGCTTTTTGCATATAGAAAGCTCGCTCAGATAAAAGCAATTTTTAGATTAAAGTCTAGAAAATACATTATAGTTAGAATACTCGAATCTTTACGAAATTTTCGCACATTTCTTTCAAAAAAAATTTAATTTTTAAAATGTAATAAAAAAAATCGATTTTTTTTTATTGATTTGATGAAACGAACTCTTAATTAAATCCTCGTGAAATATTTCCAAAATATTCCATTAATTAATTAATAATTAATATTCCAATGAAATATTGAAATTAAAATTTTTTTTTTCGATATTCCAAAGAAATTTTTAAAATATAAAAAAATGTGATATTCCAAAGAAATATTCCTGCAATATTTGAATGGAATATTCCCCCGATATATTTTTAATTTTTTTTTCAATATTTCAAGGGTTAAAACACATAAACATTCTGCAAATATTTTCCTCAAATTTTCAGTGGAAATTTTCCAGGATTTTATTTTTTACAATCACGATAGAAATAATTTTTTTTTTTTTTTGAAATATTTAATAAACAATTAATTTTTGTTTAGTGTTGTTAATAATAAAGATTAAGTTGACGGCATGCAGAGGTGTAATTGAATCAAAATAATGTTGAGGTATCATGTTTTGCGCTTGGCCAATCATAACTCAGGTAAGAGCATTCTATGCGTTGGTGAGAGCGTAAAAGATACAGACATGGATGCTGCGCAAGGCTCTATATAAGGGTGTAATCTCTAACCCCGACACTCATTTCACCACCAAGCTACTATAACATTAAGAACTACCTTCAACAACCAGTGACAAGTTAGTCTATACGATATGGTAAGCTGTGACCATAAAGTGTCATCCTATTCAAAAAAAAAGTTCAAAAAAAAAAATTCAAAAAAAATTATGCGCAATTTAGCAAAAAAAAATTTTTATTTACATTTTTTCTAAGGGACCAAAACATTTTTTTTCACCCTCACTTCATTTAAAACAATATTTTTTAAAACTTTTTTAAGTTTATTTTTTTTTTAATTTAATTTAATTAAAATTTTTAAATTTAATTTTTATTAATAATAATTTTTTTACATTTATTTATAATTTATTATCATTTATATTTAAATTAAATTTCTGTTCTATTTTATTAAAAAAATTAAAATTTGTATTCAAAAAAAAGTAGAAATTTTTAAAAATTTATATTTCAAAAAAAAAAACATAATTAATAAATAAATGAAAGAAATTTTTTTATATTTTTAAAAAATAAACATTTACTGAAATTTTTCTTTTAAAAATTATTTTTAATTAAATAAAAAAATTAATATTTTAACATTTACATTTATCTAAACGTGAATGAATTATTTTCAATTTATAAGAATTTATTTTCTTATTTAATAAAAATTATAAACATTTTTTTAATTTATAAAATTTACAAGTTCCTTTTAAAATTAAAATTAATTTCTTTTAAATATAAAAAAGATTTCGAAGAAACAAATTTTTTAACATTAATTTAATTTATAAAATATATAATCATTTGAATTAAATTTAATTAGTGAAATCAATCGTCTATGGAAAAAATTATTTAATATTACTTTTACGAGAAAGAATTCTTTAATTAACAAAATAAAATTTTCCATTTTAGTAGAAAAGATCTTAATCTTGATTAAATCTATTTAAATCTTTTTTTTTTAATTTTAAAAAAAGTTTATATTTAAAAATTTTTTATTTTTTTTTTTAATTTAAAAGAAATTTAAATAAAATTAAATTAAAAAAAAATCGTGTGTTAAAAGGAAGAAAAGGTATAAGAAAAAAATATATTATTCAAGAAAAAATTTTTAACAAGGAAGAGAGGCGCAACAAGTAGAGAGATGGATTTTGATAAGAGGCCGCGCGCAGATTAGTGTGAGGACGTCGTAAAAAGTTTTCTTGTTTTTTTTTCTCTCTATTTTATGTTCAAGTGCTAAAAAGTGTTAAAGAAAGGAAAAAAAAATTTATCGCGATTCTTTTGTGTCAAGTGTGAGTGAGAGAAGTGATGAGATTTTGTGACTATTACGTGAGTCGTTTAAGAAATGTAATTATTTTACGCTTCCACAGGATTTTTCGCTTATCTTTCAAAAGAAAACTCATTAATTCATGGACAATATTGTCTTATTTTATAATTTTTATTTTCCCTCTAATTTTTAAAAAAAATTTTTTATTACTTTTGTTATGCAATTATTTTATTAATAATTTTTTTTTATTAATGAAAAAATAGTTAACTAAAAAATTTGTATTCTTTTTTTTAATTAAAAAAAATTATTATTTATTATAGAAAATAATGACAAAGAAATTGAAAGAAAATGAGGTAATGAGCAATTAATAAAAATTGAATGAAAATATAATTTTTTTTTTTAAAGATTTTAACACAAGTTTCGGAAATTAAAAAAGTTTTCCAATAAAAGAATTTTTAATTAAATATTAGAAAAAATAGTTGAGATAAACATTAATTTTTTGAAATTACTTTTTTTGAGAAGTGGAATTTTACAATTTAAAAAATAAAATAAATATTTCAATTTTTTAAACAACTATTTTTAATTTGAGAAAAATTGAATTTTTTACAAATTAAATCGTCTTTGATATTTGTTAAAAAGAAAAAATTAGAATAGAAATTTTTCTTCCACAATAAAATAAGGAAAAAAAAATTTCATGTATATGTAAATAATTGTGATTTATTTCTATAGCCTCTTTTGTGATTTGTAAACCAATTATTGGATCGCTTTTCTGATTTCGCGGATATATGCGGAGGAGGAGCTGCGTCAGATCGTTATAAGGGTCGGTAGCGCAAGGTTAATTAAGTAACGTTACTCGCATATTAATCTTTCTCATAGGACCATAATATTATCAAACACGCTGCTCTGATAACGATCTAATATTACTTATTGTCAAGTGTGTAATACAAGTTTTCTTAAAATTAATTGACGTTTATCATTTTGCCATAAAAAACACCAAATAAATTTTAAAAAAAACTCGATTAGGTAATAATAACAAAAATTAATGAAAACAAATTCTAAAATCGAAAAATAATTTTTCAAAATTGAAACATTTTCAAATATTAAAATTTATTTAAATTAATATTTATAAAAAAAAAAAGTTCTTATTGACATTCTTTACATTTGAAAATTTCTCACTTTTGAATATTAAAATGAATTTCTACTTTGAATATGGAAATGTTATTTCAATATGTTTTGACGCTTCAATTATAAACTCTATGTCACATGTATAGGTAACGTCGTGTATGTAAAATAATAATTTACCTCAAGTCCATAAAGGGTATAAAAAAAAGGTTTCACACATCTTAAAATAACATAAAAAAGATTTTAAAAATTCATACAGGATGGAGGGTTGATAATGCACTTTGGGGAATTTGCCTTTTTTTAAAGACTCCAAAAGTTATATGGGGCTTATTTTTTTTTATTTTTTAAAATAATTTTAAAATAAATTTATAATAAATTTTTAATGAAATTTTTATATTGATATTAAAAATATGAATTTTAATAGCCAAAGAGTCGGAGAATTTGAACTCAAAAAATAGCGATATTCTTTGAGTTTAGTATGTAAATGAAAAATACTTTCTCTATGAGGAAGCGATAATTTAAAAATGTAGTTTTAGATTTTTTAAAAATATTCTTTAATATTTAATTTCTGAATTTAATTATTATTTTTTTAAATTCCCTTTTACATTTTTCTATCCCAAAAAATAAATGGAATTTTTTTTTTAATTTTAGATTCGCGCATTGTTTTACGTAATTGGGCTGAGCTGTAACTGCATTTTAACATCGGGACACCTATTGCCACCCAGTAGTGATTTAAAAGTTTTGAAAGCATCAAGAAATGATTATGGATATTTGTTGAAAAGAAATTTGGATGACAATTTTGAGGATGCCGATTCAAAAGAGAGGCGCAGCAATATGGGTTCGTCATTTATAAGATTTGGTCGTAGTAATCCAATGGAAAAATACAATAGCTTCGAGCAAAATGAGGATTCAAAAACTGAAAGACAAACACGAACAAGGCCCGATGTTATTATCAGATTTGGCAGATCTGGACAAAAACAGGGGCAAACTTATGATCGACATTCAAGGGGTGATCTAAAATTTATTAGGTGAGAATTAAAATTAAAATTAACAAAAAATTAAAATATTTCGAAAAAGAAGAGATTTTAATTTTTACAAAAGTTAAAAATTTTTAAAATAGTTAAAATTTTTGGAACAGCAAAATTAAAATAAAAAAAAAAATTCAAAATTAAAAAACATTCCAAAAATTAAAATCAGTTTTTTATGTTGATAATTTTGAAAATATGTAATATATTAAATTCAATACTTTTTTGTTTCCTATTAATTAATTTAAATTTTTTTAAGATATTATTAAGAATATTTTTGTATTCGTATATTGTTAAAACATGTGCAATGGAGATTAAAATTTTAATTAAAGTTCAGAGTAGAGTATTGAAAAAAGAAATCAAACCCTCGATATAACATTCGTGATTCAATTCAGCATTTATAGATTTACATTTGTTGATGGAAAATTATTGTAGTCTCTTGCATTTTTGCAAATTCGAAAGTATTAAACTTTACTCTAGATTTATAAAATTATTCCCACTTTTCGTTATTTACATTTTATTTATCTATTTTTTTTTTTTTTAAATTGAAATAATAAATTCTTCTTTTACTAATATAATTTTTTGTCAAATTTTTATTTATTTTCAAACAAAAAAAAAATTCCATTTATTTTGCAGATTTGGACGTAATTATATACCGACGAATCTGGACTTGTCCTTAATTTGTTCGGACGTGCCAGTGGATAGTGAAACCTATGAAAAAGGCCTTCGATTTTTTCCAACGAGACTTGCCCGACTTTGTAATGAGTTGGGCCTTAGCAATGATCGATATGAGTTCATTAGTGACGAACAAGCTGAATTTAAGCAGGAATAATCTCGGATTTGCGGTCTAGACCGAGTTCGTATACAAGTTACATCGTTAATCGCTTTGTTTCACAATGTCAATACACTTCTCCTCCCTTCCCCCCTCCCATAGCCCACCCCCCACCTAAAATCCCGGCTGCTTAACAATTGTCCAACAAAGTGATTTATGATCCAAGGAAAATGCGACTCGAAAATTTGCCAAAAAAGTGAGATTGCATATATAAATAAATAATATTGAATGCCGCTCTTAGAAAAAACTGATTTGTTTGATATAAATAAAAATTCTTAAAAATTTTCTTTTTTTCTTTTTAATACATTTACAGAATTTGCTAATTTTCAACAAATTGTTTATCAAAATAACAAACCTAATTTTTTTGAAATCCATTAAAAGAAAAATATTTTCTTAATTTGAAAAAAAATTAAGTAAAATTAAATTTTTACTTTTTTCTAAAATCAAACAAATCGTTATCTCTGTATCAAGAGTGCTTGAAAATGAAATGTTAAAAAGAATTCGTTTTCAGTGCATTCCGAAAATAAAATAAAAATCTCACTGTTTATCAAAAAAAAGAAGAAAAAAATTAGAAAATGAAAAAAAAATTATATAGTTTAAATAAAGAAAAAAAAGTGGTTATTTTTAAAGAAATAAATTTTCCCCTTAGCTGTATGTATATTGAATTATTATTATTATAATAATTATTGTAGAAATAAAATGCATTGGAAATGAATTTTAGCGAATAATTGATCGCCCTGAACTCAATATTCGTCAATCTGTACACACACAAAAAATATTCTCTATACATACATAAATACATATATACATATTATATGTAAGATTAAGATATTTTATGGCATTGTACATTATTATCGTTCATAAGAGAGATTATATGTAAATTTAATACAATAAACAGAAAAAGAAGTTGATGAAAAATTATTATTCTCAATTTATCATGGAAAAAAAATTATAAATTATTTTTTTTTTACAAAATGGAATGAAATTTTATTTTTCTTTGCTTTACCTCATTGAAATATTGTAATATATTGAGTTTGAATAAAGAACACTTCTTTTACTTCAGTATTGTTATTTTATATAAAAATTTAATATACCAAAGAAAATTATTTTGAAAATTGATATTTACTTCTATAAATCAGTTTTAATTACATTATCATCATAAATTTGTCAACATTTTCCATTTAATTGGAAAAAAAAACCAGTGGCTATAAAAATCAATTTTTATCCCCTAACAGATTTCTATTCATTTAATTTATATATTTGATTTTAACGTTTGGGATATTGAAAAGTGGAAATAAATAGTAATTAATCGTACGCCTAAATATGTTAAAAATAGTATATAAAAAAAATCAGTATAATGCCAGGAATTAAATTCCAATAATTTTTATGAAAATCTAATTCCGTTTAAGGAACAATAAATTTTGTCGAGAAGAGTGGAAAAAAAAATTCAATAAAAATTAAGATCCACGTAGAAAAAAAAATATATATATATATATGATGTTGATGAAATTCCCCTTGTGTATAAGATGAAGCTAAAAAGCATAATTTCTCGAAACGTTCCTTCCGGTAAGGAGCTTGATCCCATTGGATGAATTTATCACACAGTAGTGACACACGTGGTTCGTGTGTTAAATTTTCGCGCGAAGGTGGAAAATGAGAAACGTGGAAGGGAGGGGGGGGGGCAAGAGTGACGATATATAAAAGAAGCGAGAAAAAGAAGAAGAAAGATATCTCTATATAACCGAGAATGTCGTCACGAAGAATGAAAATGAAGAACAATAGCTCCCAGTGACCCGGCATTTCACGGCTTTCGACTCGCGTGCGCTTACTCGCGGTCAAATATATATATATATATAGACAGGGGAGGGGTAAATGAGTAAATCCCTTAAATCCGGAAAATTATGTTTATACATGAAAACACCTAAAGCCACAAACTATCACCCACACACTTAGGTTATATATACCAAACACATGATAATTAAACTTAACAAAAAAAGCTCGAGCATTCGGAAATTTCCGATTTAAATTGCCAAAATCAGTCAACTTCTTATTAATAGAAAATTAATCATTAAAAACGAACTCCTATGTTGGTAAATTTTTCCGCTATGTTTATAAAAATACTTCGGCACAATCAATACAAAAATTGAACAAATGATGATAATAGAATATATATATTTGTACTTAATCCAGTTGAGACCCAGCACCCTAGTTGTGCCCCTCTATGGAACCCCTCCCCCCTCTTTGACCCCTACCACAAGACAATGTATATTGTAAGGATTCGACTATAGGTGACAATGTAGGTGTTCCTTCTTTTTTTTTATCTCAGTTTTACTCGAGAGTTTCACATTTTATGGCGACTAACGAATGTCCCTGAAGTATGGTGGAAAACCTTAAATCACGTAAGTCTATATAACGTGATCCCCCCCTTAACCAATTGCAATCAACATTTTCATGCAATTCTAAAATTTTTTAAATTTGAGGAATTTTCATTTAACCAAATTCCCACTTGGCTTTACCGAATTTTAATTTAATCAAATTTTCATTTCAACAAATTGTCATTAAATGTAATTTCCATTTGACCGAATTTCGATAAATCCGAAACATTTCATCGAATTATTAATTAACCTAACCAAATTTAATCGAATATTCAATTGACCGAATTTTAGTTTAACGGAATTATTATTATTATTATTATTATATTATAATAATTGTCAGTAAACTTAAATTTCACTTTACAAAAAAAATTACTAAAATAGTTAAGGGAAAATGAAAACATTAGAAAATTGACAATATTCTTTATTTGCTTACAATGTAATTTTTAATAGAAGAAATTTTTTTCCATTGAAAACTTTAGAAATTAAAAATTCTTTATTCATTTGTTTTTTTTTGCAAATTTAAGTTCTTGGATCTTTGCAATAGCCAGGTGGCCAACCAGGTAGTGGATCGCAAAATTGTGAGCAACAACTTTCATTGAAGGCACATATCCTCCAGTTTGGAAGGCATTGGGACAAAATATTTAATGGAACAATGATAATTAAAATATACATTGATAGAAACATAAATAGTAAATTCCACATTTTCCACATTTTACTAAAAAAAAAAAAAGAATAAATTGTAATTATAAGAAATTATTGAATCAGAGGAATTATCGTAAATGAAGAAAAAAAATTTTTTTCTAATTACAGGGAGACTAATAATACTTACAAAAAAAAAGAATTAATAATTATACTTTTGATATAATTCGAGTCAAGATGAGACGATTTTATATCTGCGACTGACAAAATAAATTTATTTTTGTGGAAAAAAATTTCTTCTTTACCAAATATTATGCATGATAAAATAATAAGGAAAATACTATTTGCAAGATGCGTGTAGATAAAAAGTATGTTATACATTCGAATAAATATAATTTCAATCAAATTTAGAATTATTTTTTTTTAATTTAAAAATAAAATTATAATTATTTAATTTAAATTCTTTTTCATTTTCTTTTAATTTAAACCGCAATTTATGTAAAATTAGATGAAAGAATTAATTTTTTTCTTATATAACTTTTTTAATAAAACTTTGTAACAATCAATAAAAAAATGTGTGTCAATGGCACTAATCAGCTACAAGTTTGACCTATATATAAAATGGAATAAAATCATCTTAGAATTCAAATTCAATTTTTAAAATGAAAAAAAAATTATATTTAAATAATTTTTTTAAAAACATTTTTATTGTATGCAACTGAAAAACAAATTTATTTGATTCAAATAATCGGTTACTTGACTATTATCAAATAAATATTATTGATTAATACATAATAAATTCTAAACGGTAATAATAATAATAATAATTCTGATTACACATAAGGATTCAATTATTAGGATTTTGCTAATTGCTGTCATGAGTTTTCGATATAATAATATCAATTAACTATTATCGATCCGTATCTATTCAAATTTAGTACTAAAAGTGGTAATATAGAATCTTAATGACGCACATGCTTGGTATAATAATTCACCCACCAACATGAAATTGCATTTACTTCATGGCAACATGTAATGCTATTAAACTATAAATTATCTCTAATAATTGTAATGAAACTAAAAATTACTTAATTTCATATTTTTAAAAATGAAATTTCAGTCGCAATCACTAACAGAAAAAGGAGTTTGTCGTATTTTCTATTGATTCAGGTTGAGGAATAAAAGAAATTTCAAATTCTTTTTTATTTTTTTTTTTTGTTTTAAAGAAAAAAATTATCAGATATTTAAATGATAAAATCTCTAATTGGAGTAACTAGATTAAATAAATAAAAAATTTATTTATTCAAAGAAGAGATAGAAGTATCGAAATTCAATGAGAGAAGAACGGGAAATAAATCATGAACCAATCTGAGTCACAGCAAAATTTGCTCAGCAATGAAAGTGCAACTGGAAAAACAGCGGCTGTACAGTCATTGCAAGCACCTGCTGAATATTCACTTGGACCAGTTGAAAAGCACTTCCTGCTCAGTGCAGAACGAGGTGATTGTGCAACTGTCAAAAGGTAATTTTCACCATCTAACAATCCTTCGAATTGAGGATACGATAAGACTTTAATCATTCCATGAACCCACGCATTGCTTCAACATTGTATAATTTTGCAATTTTTAAATTCTAAGGAATTTTGATATGAAAATAATTTTTTTTTCAATAATCACAGATTACTTGAAGAACACAAAGGTCATCCTGAAATTTTAAATATCAATTGTGTGGATCCATTAAATCGATCGGCTCTCATAGCAGCTATAGAAAATGAAAATGCTGATCTTATTAATCTTTTACTGGATCTTGGAATTCAAGTTAAGGTAAACTATTGTATTTTGATCTATTATGCATCATAGGAAATTCAATAGCAAAAAATTGCTGTGAAAAAAAGTTAACAAACATAAAAAAGGATTATCATTTTTCCAAAAAGGGGCAAAAATTATCAATTTTCCAGGGTTTTTTTTCAATACAAAATAGTGCATGAATCCACCTAACATTAAAGTATAACAACCCATTAAGCTCAAGATGTATTTTAACAGTATGAAGTTTTGAAAGTTGTGTATATACTTTTCACAGGATGCTCTCTTACATGCCATTAAAGAAGAGTACGTGGAAGCTGTCGAGATCCTGTTGGAGTGGGAGGAAAGGATTCATGTTGCCGGACAACCATACGTAAGTTTTCTTCACTTTCTAACTTTTCTAATAATTTTCACTCAAGTTTCCAATTTTCCCCATTTTACAAGCAAACAATAAATAACAAAAAAAAAACATTTTTTATTTCCCACTCAATTCCATTTAGTTTGCTTTTTCTTTTTAAAAGAACCAATATTTATAAAATTTTATTGTTTAAAAAAATTTAATTTTTTTGTTTTTTAAATAGAGTTGGGAAGCAGTTGACAGATCATCATCGAATTTTACTCCTGACATAACGCCCCTAATTTTGGCGGCACATAAAAATAATTATGAAATTATAAAGATCCTTTTGGATCGTGGTGCTACTCTTCCTACTCCTCACGATGTAAGGTAGGGGAAAAAAATTATTATATCGCTTATTTTTGATTTGTCTATAATTTTAATTTAATTCCATTTCTCGGAAATTTTGATCGATTATGGATAATTTAGGAAACAAAAATATAATTTTTTTTATGTCGATTGCGACACTTATGGTTTCAAGTTTCAATTTAAATTACTGTCCGTTCAATTAAAATATAAAAATATTTTAAAAAACTCACGTAGTAAAATAATCTTTAAATTTTAATATCATTATTATAATTCATACGAAAAAAATCCTGTACTATCTCGATTCATATTTCAAGTTTCAACGTCCGTCTAATTAAAATACAAAAAAAAAATTTAATTAGAATCACCTTACAAAAATTTTCTTTATTTCATTTTCAATTTTTTTTTTCTTTATCTCGATCCACAGACTGGGACTCTTATGGTTTTAATTTGTGGCCCATCAAAATATTTTAAACTGCACTTACCTTGCGAATTGCTTTTAATTTAAGGAGGATGGAGGCCCTAACAGAACCTCAAAAACAGAAAAATTGTTTTTAACGCAAACAAAAATTTAATAAAAATTAATTTCAAACAAATTTTAGAAGATTTAATTATACACTTGTCGGAAAAAATTATGTTGAGTTAAAATCTTTTGTTAAATAATTTTTTTATTAACAGAATATTTGAACTCAATATAATTTTTTCCGAAAATTGTCTAATTAGATCCTCTAAAATTGTTTGAAATTAATTTTCATTAAAAAGTTGTTTGTGTTAAAAAACCATTTTTCAGTTTTGAGATTATGTTATAGGGCCTCAATCCCCCTTAAATCCTTTTCTCTGAAATTCAATATAATTAGAATAATTCATAATGTGGGAAAAATATGATTCTTTTGTCATGTCGATTTACTGATTGGGACTCTTAAAATTTAATTTAAATTAACGCCCGTTCAATGAAAAAAAATTAACTGGAATCACCTTATAAAATTGCTGTTTTTCTTTTTTGCTATTTCGATATTGTTAGAATTCAAGGATGAAAAATTTAAATTTACTCCCCAATATAATAAAAACAAAAGAAAATTTAGTAATTTCGCAAACGGGACGTATTTTTAAATTTTGATTCGGCTCATTGAGACTCTATTGTGATTTAACGCATAATAGAATCAAGTTTAAGTCTCAAATTACTAAATGGCCCATTGAAAATGTATTATGCCACAATAGTAGTAAAATAGTAAATATTATTTTTTTTTTAGATGCGGTTGTGACGAATGTGTTTTATCAAGTGATCAAGACTCACTGCGACATTCCCAGTCGAGAATAAATGCCTATCGAGCTCTTTCCGCGTCATCCCTCATTGCCCTCTCCTCCAGGGACCCACTTCTTACAGCATTCGAATTGTCCTGGGAACTGCGAAGACTCAGTCGAATGGAGCAGGAATTTCGCGCTGAATACAATGTAAAATGAAAAATTATTAAAATCCGTTTTTTTAAAGTGAATACAAATCAAATAGTTAAATTTTTTCCTTTATAAAATATAATTTAAATATATTTATTACTATTATTTATTTATTCAGAATATATTCTGAAAGAATTTTTGAAAATTAAAAAAAAAACTTTGTAAAGTATTAGTACGAAAAAAAATTCGTAAATTAATACAACTTTTAGTAAGTTTATTGAATCAATCAATAATAAAATACCCTCGATAATTGTAGGAAATGAGAGAACAGGTACAGACTTTTGCAACTTCTCTGTTGGATCACGCTCGCACTTCCTATGAATTGGAAGTCATGCTCAACTACAATCCCACGGGAGACAACTGGGAACCTGGAGAGAGGCAGACATTAGAAAGACTTAAACTTGGAATTAAATATAAACAGAAGCAAGTAGGTTATTTTCGTAAATTACAATTTTCTCTATCCGTGAAAAGAAGTTTAAAATAACATTTGCTAGAAGAAAAAAAAACAGAATCAATTGTCACTTTAACAGGAATTTTACGAAAGTATTTCTTTAAATAACACTTTTTATGAATCAAACAATATTGACGTTAAAAAATTATTTTTTAAAAATGTATTTTTTTTATCTAAATAAAATTGAGGTTTAGCAAAAAAAAAATTTTTTTTTAGTTTGTTGCTCATCCAAACGTACAGCAGCTGTTGGCTGCCATTTGGTATGACGGTTTGCCTGGATTTCGACGATTGAGTATGATTAATCAATTGATGGAAGTGGGAAAATTGGGAGCAATGTTTCCCGTTTATAGTACAATTTACATGCTTCAGCCCACGTCGAAAATGGGACTTTTTATGAAAAAACCTTTTGTTAAATTTATTTGTCACTCCGCATCCTACGCTGTTTTTCTAAGTAAGAATTCTCGTTTTTTTCAAATAAAAATAAAAAAAATTGTACTACAAAATTTGGTTCCTTTTGAATTGATTAATTGGAAATATTCAAAAATTTAATGAATCAAAATTTAAAAGAATGATTTTTTGTTTAGTGTTACTTGGAATGGCTTCGCAACGAATAGAATATTTGGTGATTGAACTTTTTGGCAATGCGTGGTTAAGGGAAATTTTAGCGGGATGGAAACGAAAAGAACGAGGTTGTTTGCCTGGTTTCGTTGAGTCTGGGGTCATTCTGTATATAATAAGTAAGTCATTGCCACTGTTCCTAATTGACAGCGTCTCTATAGTATTATATAGTGAACCCTAAGAGTACAACGATTCCGTAAATCCACTTATCCGTGTTTCTAGAGTATTAACAAAGCCCTACAATTTTATTATGGACATTATTCTTTTTTTTCAAGTTCTCAGAAAATTGAAATGATAGTAATTTTTCTTTTTTTTTACAGTTTTCATAAAAAAATTTATTTTTTATAATAATAAAAGTATATAAAAAAACAAAATATTATAAACATAAAATTAAAAATTTATATTTTACTAGACACTACTAATTTTTCATTAAAAATTAAATTATTTATGAGGATAAAAAATAAAATTGTTTTGTAATTTTTGGTCTATTGTAATAAATTGTAACGCATTTTTTATTAAAAAAAAAGTCACGGCAATTTTCTCGTTATAGACTGGACATTATAACTACTTATTGGGAATTAATATGGCATTTTATAGGTATAGTGATAGGGGAGATCAGAGCATTATGGTCCGGCGGATTAATGGAATACATATCAGATCTATGGAACATTGTTGACTTCATTCAAAATACTTTCTACGTTCTATGGATGTTTTTAAGAGCAACTGCCTGGTTTGTCGTAATGGTATGCAAAATTTTATATATTTTTTTTTCTATTTTCTTTTGTAAATTTATTAATTTAAAAAATCATTCTTTTTTTTGAAATTCAAAAAACTTTTTTATTTTATTTAACAAAAATGGGCATTTTTAAGATTGAAAAAAAATTGCAAGGTTTCAATTTATTTTTGACTTTTGTCCTCTCTATGTTTTGCGATTTCTTCAAGAGAGGTTTATAAGATGCTCAAGGGATTAATATTTATCTCAACAGAGAGAATACTGGAGTGGCGAGGATCCTTGGTATCCAAGAGATCAGTGGGATGCTTTTGACCCGATGCTTTTATCTGAAGGTGCATTCGCAGCAGGAATGATATTCAGGTAAAAAAGGAGATTTGAAAAATTCAATGTTTTTTAATTACGCATTCTTCGAAAAAAAATGCAAAAAAATTCTTTCGAATTTTTTAATATTTAATTTAATTTATACATTATTTAAACATATAATATCTAAATAATTATTAATTTTTCTAGTTCAAATTTTCTGTCATAAAAAAGTCAAAAAATTTACATTTTTAAAAAATAATCAAAGAAAATTTATTTTTTATAACGTGGAAAAGAATTGGAATTTTTTTAGACTAACCTCAAATTTGCAAAATATTTTCGAAGGCAAATTTTTCATTTTGTGATAAATTGAGAAATTCGTTAATTTGAGGTTACATAACAAATAGTATCTACATTTTTTGCCTTTTACTCCTAATAATTATTTTTCATGAAATTTATAAATCACAAGAATTATTAAAAAGAAAGTCCATTAAATGAAAATGTGACAATTATCCTTTCTCTTTTTCTGTACTTAAATAAGAAGGAAAAAAATGATATCTTACCGAAACATAATTCTGCTCCTTTTAAAGAATTAATTTCTCTCTTTTGCTACATTTATATATTTTACAAAAACTTTAACAATATTAAAATAAAAAACGTTGCTTTTATTAAACATTAAAAATGACGTGACCAGATCTGACAAATACCGAGGGAAAATGGCATCAGTTTTACAAAATACTGAAATACATCAAAATTATTTCCAAGCGTTCTAAAAAACACAAAAATTTTCTCACAAGCAAGATTGGGTTGTAACGCGTAATTTTGAAGTTTACTATTTTAAATTACTTTCAAAATAAATATTACAGTTAAATTATCGTATTATTCTTTTTTGATGATTTATTTTCGATTTCTCTTTCTATTTATTTTCTAACAAAATAAACCTTATAAACAATCTTGTATATTTCAAAGTATTATACGTTCTCAACCCTGATCGCAATTATCGAACGTTCGATATCAATAATCGAATGATTGCGTATCTAATTTGTTTCGGGGAATAACCGCGTAATCTCTTTTTTGAGGAAAAATTAAAGAATATTATTTCAAATAAAAATATCTAATTCTCTAAATATGTTTTTTCCAAGGTTTTAAAAAATTAAAACGTGTTCTAAATGTTAAAAGAAAGATTTATCATTTTGTCAATCAAAAATAGTTAGCAATTAAACATGTTAATGACAAATACTGTAAATTAAAAACGTTGTAAATTAGAAATTTTTAAATTAAAAATATTACAAATTAAAAAAAGTTGGAAATTAAAAATGTTATAAATTTAAAAAAAAAGATAACAGATTAAAAATGTTTTAAATTAAAAAATACTGTAAATCTAAAATATTGTAAATTAAAAATCTTGTAAACTTAACACATAAAAAATTTGATATTAAATAAGCAGAATTTAAAATATTTCCAAGAAATAAAAAAAAGAAAACTTAATCGATCATATTAAAAAGAAGCTTAACATTTTTAAATCCTTGGAAAAGAAGAGATTAGGAAAAGGAGCAAAACGAATATTAAACATTTTCTACTTGAATGTTATATATGTATATAGAAAAGGGCAAAATTACTCGTCAAATGAAATAAATCGAGTAACCTCGAGTTATAATTTTCTATTAGAAATTCTAAAAAAAATAAATACGTTTGACAAATTTCTCCATTGCGCGAAAGATATAGGAAAATGCGCGAGACCTTCTTATAAAGTTCCTAGTTTATAGCGATATCAATAATTTAGTCTCTGTGTCCCATATACACTGTATCATAGAAGAAAAAAACCTCGAGAGAAGGGATATAAAAATCTACGAGTAATATGTTTTCAGCTTTTTAAAACTCGTGCACATATTCAGCGTCAACCCACATCTTGGACCCTTGCAAATTTCCCTCGGGAGAATGATAATAGACATTATCAAATTCTTCTTCATCTATACACTCGTTCTCTTCGCCTTTGGTTGCGGTCAGTATTATTATTTTTACAAAAAATTTAAATCTGCTCGCATATAAAAAAAAACAAAACTGTATATTATACATAACCGAATTCAATTTATATTGCAGTATTTTTAGGGGAAAGAAACGAGGCGATAAAATCAGGGAAGGATAATAAATTAATTTGTCCCATGAAGCGTTAATTTATCTCACTATAATGTGGATCATTTTGCCAATGTGTATAACAAATTAATTTATTATTTCTATACAGAAAATTCGTTTATCCAATTAAATGTTCATGAAATTAAAAAAAAAAATTCATTTAAATAATAATTTATAGTCTTCAATCTTATTTAATAATTAACTTTTCTAAAATTAATATGAATAATATTGTTTCTTCTTTCTCGTTGATTGTAATTAAATATTAATATAATTAATTGGAATAAATCTAATTCAGAAAAATTAAGTTTTGAATAAAAAATTTACTGAAATTATATAAAGTTAATAAAAAAAAGTTTAATTTCAAATTTTTATAGTAAAAAATGGAAAATAAGGAAATTTTTTTTATAGGAATGAATCAGCTAATGTGGTACTATGCGGACTTGGAGAAAATGAAATGTTATCATGCACATCACGATATACCGGATTTCGATAATCAGGAAAAAGCTTGTGCAACTTGGAGGAGATTTGCCAAGTATGTAAACAATCCAATTATAATGGAATTTAAAAAAGAAATTTACGAAATTTCAAAGCAATAAAATTAATTTCAACTTTAAATTAATTTTTAAAAAAATTCAAAATTGAACTCAATTTAATTAATTTATAATTGAATTCAATTTAATTTATTCAAAATTCAATTTCATTTTATTAAATTAAATTTTATTTTATTTAATTAAAATGCCACTCAAATTAATTAAAATATTTGGAAATTATTAAAATTCCGTTAGTTAAAAAAGTTAAATTATAGAATTTAAAATATAAGCTCAATTAAATTAATTTCCAAATTAAAAATAATGAAACACTAATTTTTTAACGTTAAATAGAATAATTAATTTTTCCAAAACTTTTTCTAGTCTTTTCGAGACCTCCCAATCACTATTTTGGGCAAGTTTTGGCATGGTTGACCTAATGTCCTTCGATCTCACCGGAATCAAAAGTTTCACTCGCTTTTGGGCTCTTTTAATGTTTGGCTCATATTCTGTGATTAATATCATCGTACTCCTCAACATGCTTATTGCCATGATGTCAAATTCATATCAAATAATTTCAGTAAATATTAATAAATAAAATAAATGTTTATATTCTACTTTTATATTAATATTCAATAAAAAATTTAATTTCTCCTAATAATTTACAGGAAAGAGCGGATACAGAATGGAAATTTGCAAGAAGTCATTTGTGGATGAGTTATTTTGAAGATGGAGATACGGTTCCACCTCCATTTAATATGGTACCGACATCAAAGACATTTAATAAGATTATAAAATGCGGTAACACTGGACGACCAACGAAATCTTTAATCGTAAGTGGATTTATTTTTGAAGAAAAAACAGATTTTTTTATCTTCATCGCGATGGACTCGTTTTCTCTGCGAAATTGGTTTTTAATTATTGTATAATAAGATATTGAAAAATTAATTTTGCTTGTCATTTTTGAATAATAAATATTGTTTTTAGAAAAAATCACGAGAAAAAGCAAAAGAGAGACACGACATTGTAATGAGATTATTAATTCGCCGTTACGTTACTTCTGAGCAGACAAAACGTGATGATTTTGGAATTACAGAAGACGATGTAATTGAAATTCGTCAAGATATCTCAACTCTACGCTATGAATTGATTGATATTCTTCGACTCAATGGAATGCAGACTCCAAAAGCTGATAAGCAAGAAGGTAATTTAAATTAAATGAAAATTACTTAATTTCAAAATAAATTATCTAAAACAATTTTTGTAAATAGTTTCCGGAAAGAAAGGTAGAATAATGGAACGAAGATTACAAAAGGACTTCCAGATTGGATTTGTCGAGGGATTAGTGAATCAAGTGATTCAAAGTCAAAGTCAACCGAAAGATGTATTTAGTCAAATTGCCAAAGCAATTGGTCGAAGAAGTAGTGGTGGCAGTAAGAAGGATTGGAACGCTGCCGTTAGACAAAGTGTAATTATTCGCGATCCAATTGGTAGTAGATCGGAAGCAATGGTTAAACAAACTAGACGAAGTTTAAGACGACATCTTGCTAATCATCCTAATTCTGATTTGGCTTCACTTGATCCCGATCGACTTTTAGAATATAATCCGAATTTATCCGAAGTTTCGCCTGCAACTCGTGTTGCATACGCCAAATTTATTCTCAGTCGAATACCTAAAAAGGAGGGCGGAAGTTTCGATGCTGGCGACGAAGGTTTGTTAATTTTTTTTGTAAATTTTGTAAATAAAAAACTAAAATCCAAATGTTCACAGGAGAAGGAGGAGAAGGTGGAAAGAGAAAATTAGTTTCGCAAAGAAGTAAAGTGTCAATAGTGGACGCAATGAGGCAAACGACGCCAACTGGTTCAGTGAAGAAAGGTCCCCCTATCGCTAAAACACCCAGTATGGCGGGAATAATGAAATCAGCGTCAAAAGCATCTTTGGAAGTTGTTGACGGTGAACCACGTACACCATCGCCAATACCAGAGGATCCACGAGAATATGATAAACCCTCTACGTCAAAGCAAATGTCCACCAAAAAGGAGGCAAGCACCGAAGAAGAAAAGAAGAAACGCGAAGAGGAAAAAATGAAGAAAGACGAAAAAACGGGAGACGAGAAGAATGAAGACAAAAAGAAAGAAGAAGGCAAAAACGAAGACGATTCAAAGAAGAAAGATGATGGAGAAAAAAAGAAAGAAGATGAATCTAAAAAGAAGGATGATACAGAAAAGAAGAAAGAAACACCAAAACAAGAAGTAAATAGACCAAGAGCAGACGATATGAATACAACGAAACTACGCGGAAAATCCAAAGCCACGGGACAAATTATGGGCGGATGGATTTAATATTTCATTTTTATTTTAAAATCATGTTCACATAAAAATTAAATTCATTACTATATTTATGAATACAAAAATAAAAAATTTAATGTAAGGTTTTAATGACTTTTTCAATATTTTCTTTGATATTTTTCGATTTTCAATTATTTTATTTATATACATCATTTCAACTATATTTACAAAAAAAAAAAAATTTCACCGCACCTTTGTCTTTATGCAACTAAAATAAATTAACAATACTGATAATGTGTGTATCTTACTATGAGCAGAGCCAAAATTTCGTCAAAATTGATCTGAAAATTTAATATATGGAATTAATTGAAAAAGAATTTTAGTTTCGATGTGGAAAATTTGGTGTAATAAAATAATTTCCAATATTTACCTTCGATTTTTGTCTGCCGAATTTCCTAACATTTCTCCCGTTTTACTTGATTTCTTGCTCTTTTTACAATAATCCTGAATAATAGAAATATTTATTTTTATTTAAAAAAAAAACCCCCAAAAAAAGTAATTAAAATTTGTAAAGAAATAAAATATAGAAAGTAAAACTATAATTTTTCAATACCTCTGCTAATTCACCAATTTTAAATTTTTTCATATAAGATCTCGCGTCCGAAGAATGACCAAAATCATTAAAACCTTTTGTTCCGTCTTTACCCGCAAATTCCATAATTAATTCCTCCCCACCAGGATGCTGTAAACACGAATTAGGAAAATGAAAACTTGCTAATTGTTATCAATTTCAAATTTTCAAAAAAGAAATAAAAAGAAAAACGAATTTTCCACACACTTCTCTAATATAATCAGTCAAATCGTAGACATTTTTATGAAGAACAACATAAACTTTTGAACCATTTTCTCCATTATTTCGTGCAACTTCCTCAAAAGATATGAGATTCATTTTTTCCTCAATTCGATTTCGATTACCCGACTGCTAAACTGTTTCACTATAAAACTGAAAATTCCCCTCTATGTTTATATAAAGCGTCCAAGAAAGTCATCAATGTGATAAAAACTTTTGACTTGATAAGATAAAAAGTCTAAACAAAATTAACATATATATATATACAAATTAATTTTTTGTATTGTGCGTATTTTTTCCCCTCATTTTGCTTGCCATATATATGCCAATTGTAGAAAAAAATTATTGTAATTGAAATATTATTGACTATTATAAATATTATAAATATTATAAACTATAATATTAATCAAAATATTGACACAAAAGTGAAGCGTTAATCTTTTTCCAAAATCGATGAATGTCAAGTTTGATAAGGGACACGAGAAAGAAGTCACGTCTTTTGATATGAATTGATTATAGTGTGATGATGATGATTATTATTGTTAATCTTTTCCTTCCTGATTAAACGGAAAAGCATGAGGATATTTTTAAACATTATTTTTGCTGAGAAATATTTTCTAATGAAATTCGAAATTCCCAAGTTTCTTGGAAATTGCGCGATAAGCGAGTTATTAATTTTTCCAAATAAACTGATTTCTTTTTTTTATACATACAAATTGTGGTTGACGTTATGTTGACCTGTTGTTTTTTTGTTTCACAATTATTAAAAAAAAAAAAAAACATATTCTTTGAGATTTCTCTACAAAAAAATATGGGGGGCTTTTTAATGGGAGCAACAGTCTTCGATCAACGATCGATCAATGGACAAAAAATTTCGGAATTCAAAATTTTCAAAAAAAAAATTATTATGTTTTTAAAAAAATATGACTTACCAATCGCAGATTTCTTCTCGTCGATTCAATGTCATCTTTGATTTTCACTGATGATTCCATTCGTCTATGTCTGATCTCCATGTTTTTCAAATTTGAGACAAAAAAACACTCACACGCGAATTAAAAATTTTTCGAACACTCCCGAACAACGTGAACATTACAATAAAATAAAATAACTTTTTTTTTATTATCCACATAACTGAGAGTTAAGAATTTTAAATTTTCTTCAAATCTATTATATAATGCCACCACTTATTTTCTGTGAATAAGTAATTGCCTTATAGTTTCTACCTGCATGTAAATAAACCGCTAAGGGTGCAATAAATCGAAGTGTGAGGGAGATTTGTTTTTGCCTCGATTCCCAGAAAAGGTCAACCCTGTTATTATTTATTTATTTGATAATTAACAAAATCAAAATTAAATTAAATTTTATTGTTAGATTATTACTATTTGGTAAATATTATATTACAGTAGAAAAATCGTGTCAGACATAATTCTCAAATGAATATTTTGTTATTTGAGATTTGGGAAATACAATATACATAGACAGATAATTGAAAATAAGATATTGAAAAAACTTTTTATTAGAATATTTAACAACAGTATTTACAAAAATAAAATAAAGTGCACTTGACCGACACGAAATTTTCCTATAATATAAAGCTCTCTTACGTATTATTGTGCCTAAAAAAACGGACATTTGATTCTAATCCTAACATTTCATTAGCGTTTCGTTCCTGAAAAAAGCGTTTGCCTTGTTCAAAAGTAGCAATCATTATTGCACAAGCGGGCGCAACTTTTATTAAACGAGGCGCAAGTCCCGTATAAAGACCGCGTACACCATTTTGATCGTATATTCTTCTTATTATCGATATTGTGCTACTCGTTCGAACAGGTTTGTCTGTGAAACAAAAAAAAATTATTAACGTTTTAATATTATTTAATTAATTTTTTTCTTTTGCTATCATTCTTTTATCATTAATATTAAAAGTTTCTTGTTTTAAATGTACAAACCAGAATAAATTTCCTTCTCGCCCATTTCTATTTGTCTATGAGTTTTCACTACGTCAAATGGAATAGTAGATAAAGCAGCAACCTGTAAATGGAGGATTAAAATTAATTTTTTGCTTTTTTAATTTAATCAAAATATACAAAAGTTGTACTTACAGAACCAGCGACTGCACCGGCAATCAAATTAAAGGTAAATGTATGTTGAAAATTCACAAACGTCTTTTTCAATGTTTCATAATTAAACCAGTAAATTGCACTAAAAGGTACGTCACGAAGTAGCGTTGAACTGAGACCCATCCATAAACCAGAGACTCCACTGTATTTTACAACTGTCTTCAAAGCTTGTCTTAATTCTGAAATTTTTTAAAGAAAAACATCTAATTCAAAAGTTTCACTAAAATTAATTACACTAAATTAAAAATAAAGAAAAAACAAATAGTTAATTAATTAATTATTTTCTTAAATAGAAATACAATTTAAAAAACCCCTACCTGCGTAACTCAATTTTTGAGATTGCATTTTCGTTCTAATAAGCTCAACAGGACTCACTAAGGATGCTGCAAAAACTCGTGCCGTACCACCGGCCACAATTGGAATCCAAAACGGTTGCTCTTGATGAAGTTTTTCTTTGTTAATTTTACTATTATGATAATCCTGCAATGTCAAATTTTAAAAATTATCAATTAATATTATTAATATTAATTAAGAATTTACAATTTAATAAACAAAAGTAATCTATTTCACATTCTTTAAAAGAAATTTAATCTTTAGAAAAATGCGACAATCTGATAATAAATTGCAATAGAGTTAAAATTACATAATTACCTTTAGTGATATTCTTAATTGCTCATAAGATACAAAATACATTATTGTAGCTGGAATTGCCAAAACTAAAGTCGGACTCAAACCACTCCAGAGGGATAAAATCCCTTCTTTTTTGCCAATTTTAAATAAAGCATCCTAAACGAGAAAAATATAAAAAAAAATTAAATTAAAATCATCATTTTCAAAAAAAAGTCAATTTTTTATCATTTTTAAAATTAACAGTTTCTTGTTCAAACTTCACATTTTAAAATAACAATAAATATATTACAACAGTACGGAAAAAAAATATTTTTTTAAATATGACTTTTAGGACAATTTTTTGTTTTTTCTTTGTTTTTAAGAATGTCATTTACTTACAAAAGTGCCATTAAATTTTCCATTTGCTCTCAACCATTCAGGCCCTTTTCCATTGCCACAGGAACATAAATGATCCATTAATCCATTACAATAGAGAAAACATTTATTTGACAGCATTGCCTTCTGTTGAGCTTGCAATCGAATTTTCACTACATCTAAGGGAGTTACTAAAAATTTGAAGAAAAAAAAATTATAACAATTTCAAATTCAATATAAGTTATATATATTTTTTTATCAATTAATCAAGAGAAAAAATAATTAAGATCAAATATATTTATAAAAAAGAAAACAAATATTACCAATCATTGATGTTATTAAAGCTCCAGTACATGAAGCAATCATTTGTTGATAAGGTTTTATTCGAAATCTCGGATCATCGAGATCAATTTCCACAGTGTCCTTTTCCATTTTTAATGTATTTTTAATAATTTTTAAGACAAAAATTAACTGCAGCAGTTAACTTTCAACATAACCTCAAAGGAAAATGCCGATTAGTTTTAATCGCAATGACTTTAAAATACAATAGAAAGTTTCCATATCATCACTACTTCACTTTTTCAAGGGAATGTCAAATTCTAAGATGATATATTTCCGTTTTCACTAATTATGCAATGGTGCTAATAACAATAATAAATTACATGTCGAGTCAAGGACATTAACGTGTATGCGGCAGAAATGTATAGGTTCTTGTTTTGAAAGTAAACATTGTTTATCGTTGTTTACTCAATAAAATATCTGGATATTTAGTTAATGTATATTATTTAAAAATTTTCACAATGATGATGAAATATTTTTAGATATTTTCACTAATATGTATATGTACTATATTTATTGATTTGTCTCTTATTTATGATTAAAAGCCACAAATGTGAATATTTATTTTTTTCAGCACTTAACACTCATTTAAATTAATAATTTAATTCAAGAACATATTGTGATAAATTAATAGTGTAAAAGACAGACGATATTTATTTCTGCTATTTCATTCAAAGTATCAAAACTTACATATCAAATACACCACGTGGTTATTAAGGCGAGTTTAGAATATGAATTTTAGGTTAAGGCGTGCGTTAATATCTAACGTCATAGTTCATATTGAATTTTTTAATTAAAGAAAATATACAAATTATAAACAATAGTAATAATTATTATTAATACTAATTATATATACTTCAATAAGTTAACTGACTTAAATTCTTTATTTTTCCCTTTTCTTTTGGTACAATTATAATAAACAATTTGCAACCAAATATATATAGAAAAATCTGGTTTCGCAGCATTAGTTGTATACAAATATGTATTTAATCGAATTTTACTCACACGTTAAATTTATCTAACTCTGATTTACAATGAAAACAAAATCTCAATTAAATAGAGTAACAATTTGATATTTGGACAATATATTAAATACAACATTAAAATAAAGAAAAAAAAACTAGATATACAAATAAATAAAATATACAAATTGAATTGTTCGACAATATTTTTCCTTCCCTATACTTGTTCCATTTTCGTCAGACGCAATTAAAATTTATATTCAAAAAATCGAATCAATAGTTGTTTCGAGTAATTTGTTTTCCATATTCAGAAAATCACTTTTATTTTGAAATTTAAATTGAAATTCTGATTTGAAAAAACGTTATTGAAAAATCTATTAAAATTCTAATATATTCATTTATATATATATATGTATAATTAAATGTCTAGTTTTTTTTGAGAAAGGTATATGTAATAAACCTTTCTTTGCGACACTTACGACTAACTGTTCAATTAATTAAACTTATTTGAAAGCAATTATTTTCAATAAATATATATATATATATATAGAACTTTAAAACACAATGTTAGCGATGTAGTGTTTAAGAGTATCTAATATTAAAATAAAACAAAAAAATTTTTTTTCTCTCTAATGTATCTAAAGTGAGTTTGATTTTAATAGGTGTCTGATCTGAAATAACAAAGTAAAATGCTCGCAAATAAAACATATACATAATGTATATATATATATATAAATACCTATCTACAATACATCAAAAACTGTATTTATTTAATATTGAAAAAAATGCCATCATGCTTGCATTTCTTGTAATCGTTTGCATGACGGCATATCCATATTTCTCGCACGATTATACAAATCTTGATCACCGAAATTTCTCGCTTTCCATATCATTGATTCCCCTGGAAATAGATTCAAATATTGTCGTTTCAATTTTCGAAAAATTTCTTTAAAATTAATTAAATTTTTTGAAAATATTACTCACGATAATTCTTTTCCCTGAAACACGTCTGCCTCAATTGACTTAAATATTCTTCTTCAACTGAAATTTCTAATCTTCGCAAACTACCCTGATACTCGCTGTGGAAATTTTCTTTTACATAGTACGTCACTTTTAGATTTTGTGTTGTTCTAGGAACCGTATATTTACTGGAAGAAAAATCTTTGTAATAAAATAAAAAATTACAATATATTTTTACAAAATTGGATATTTTGTGTGGAAATAATTTTTTTTTTCTTTTTTAATGGAACGTTTACTCACGGGCTAGAATGCAAACTGTATATTGGATCAGATATGAAAAAACTGCTCATCATTGTTAAAACTATCAATAAAAGTACAGGTAACATCTGTAGGAATGTTGTGTATCCATTGGGCTGGAAAAATAAAATTTATTTATAAAGAAAACAATAATGATTAATTATTTTTCGAAAAAAAATTAATTTCACCTGTGAATGGGAGTGTTGATTTTGTGATTCTGACTGTCTCGTCCATCTGCCACCTGATCTTCGCATATAAAATTCTTGTTGTGGAAAAACATCTCTAAAGAACATGTTAAACAGTTCTTCAGCAGTAATGTCAGCTGTAAAATAAAAATTTTTAAATTAAAAATAAAATAATAGATTAATAATAATGATAATAAAAATAAAACAGTTGAAATAAATACTTTCAAATCCTCGCGAATAATTATAATGAGTTTGATGAGAATGAGAACTCTGCATTCGTTCTTCGTCCGAGCCATATAAATCATATTGTTTTCGTTTTTCCACGTCAGTCAGTACCGCAACAGCATTTCCAATGACTAATGAAAAATAAAAAACAATTTTCTTCTTATTCAAGACAAGATTATTGTAAAAACAATCATTTTTCTTTTTTTTGCTCCTTTACAAACCTTTAAAAGCCTCAGCAGCTCCTGGAGCTTTATTTTTATCTGGATGTAATTGAAGAGCTAATTTTTTATAGGCCCTCTTAATATCACCATCGGTAGCTTCTTTACTCACACTCAATATCTCATAATAATCTTTACATTTTTTAATTCTGTAAAAATTATTATACAAATTTCATTTTTTTCTTAAATTGTACTTTAAAAGAAATTTAATTATTTTTTTGTAATTTTAATTCAATCATTTTCAATTGTTATGTAATTCAATTATTAGATAATAGTTATTTTGTAATAGAATTATTTTGTAATTTGATTATTTTCAAATTTAATTAATTTCAAATTTAATTATTTAAAAAATTTCTTTTTCAGATAAAAAACAGAAATTTTATCAAAAGTTGCAAAACGAAATGCATAATTAATTATTTAATAAATATTTTTTCCCAAAAAAAAAAAATTAATTTGGTAAATAATTATAATACACAACTTTTGCTTTTTAAGAATTCTGATTCGAAATTTTTAAACTGAAAGTAAAAAACAAATTTTTTTAAAAAATGAAAGTTTTTTAAAAAATCAATACTCATTCGTGTAAACAAAAGTTGTATTTTTATTTAATTTCCCTTACCTTTTAACATGTTCTAATTGATCTTTGGTAAAATCACCATTTGTTTGAGTTTGTGTTCCTTCTTTTGTAACATTTTGTCGTTTTCTAACCTCAGGCTCAGAATCTGATTTTTGATTATTCTGTTTCGAAAGTATCGACACTCGCGTTAATAAATCTGTAAAATCAAAAATTTTTACTTCTCACACAATTGTAATAAAAAAACAATTTTTTTTCCATCTAACAAAATAATCGTCAAATTATTATTTTTTTTTCATCCACAGAGACAATATTTTAATCTATAATTATACACATACACACATCTATATATACACATATATAAAAAATAATATATATATTCGAACAAACCTTCAACACGTTTTGTTGGATACAATTTTTGGGCTTTTTTCAAGAATTTTTCCGCTTCATCGAATTTTTTTTCACGAAGATGTTTTTCCGCATATTCCATACAACGTTCGGCCTCATCTTTATTGCTGTCCATGACAAAGATATATTTCACAGACAAGGGAAAATGGGAGGAAAAATGTCCTCTCTATAAGTCCCGTGATGTATACTTCTTATATCAAAAATACGCACTTTGACAAAAGTTGAAATTCATTCACAATGTAGTTGGAAATTTTAATTGTAAATTCACACGTCATTAGGCAGTGACACTAGAATTGTTAATTAATTTCGTTTCTAAATTATTATATATACATACACAAATGAAGTTTTTCAATAAAAAGTGATCAAAAGTCGAAAAAACTGACGTATTTTCTCTTCTGCTATAATTTTCTACTTGGTTGACGTGGTTCTTCAAGGACATGCGCACTTGACGAAAATCGGAAAAATAATTATTGACCAATTAAAATGACAATTGTCGCCTTATATATTTTTTTTTCTTGAAATAATAGTTATTTTTTGTTCATGACAAGACTTACTTTTGTATTATTCGATAATTATTTTCCGATAATTATTATATTATAATTTAGAGAAAGAAAAAATAAGAAAGAAATTTTTGAATACTTCCCGCTCTTCCGGTCATATGTTTTCGATTTTTGTTTGGCATCGGATCAACAAAAACAAAAAAAAAAGAACAAAAATTAGGGAAATATAAACAAAAGGGTCTTTTTGTTGTTGGGAAAATAAACTCAATTTTTTAGTTCTGTTTAGTATTTTTAAAAATTAGAAATCAAAGAAGTGAACAATGGTGATTAGTGTATTCTAACCTCTTATTAGTATAATTCCCCGGTGCTACAAAATGGTTTTTATTTTAAAATTTATATTTAATAGAATATATTTAATATGAATTTCGATGATTAATGAAGAAGAAATGATAAAAAAAATATTTTTTTCCGGGATATTGAATTTATATACAAAATTTTTAATTCAGAAAACTTTGTGCGTTTATAGGTTATGTTCTTTTTGCAAAAAAAATAGTTTTTGTTTTGTAAAAAGGATAATTTTTTTTATTGTTGAAATATGTAATCTATTTATAAAGAAAAAAAATTCTTTTAATAGCCAGAACTCTGTTTTTCAAAAAAGGCCTCGTAAAAATTATTTGAAAAATAAATAAGAATTGTAAAATATATAAACAATTTAATTTCTTTATATTTTAGTATTCTTTGGTGCATAAAACGGAAAATGCTCACGAGGAAAGTATTTGGACCTGTGCTTGGGGTTGTCCTAAGAAAAAAAAGGATCTTCAAACCGATAATGAAGACTCCAGGTATGGAAAATATTTTCAAAATATTTTTTTCTATAATATTCTTTTTAATATAATATAAAAATGGAGCAATTTTCAAAACCTGATAAATGCTTAATTTACTCTTCAATAATAGAATATTTTTTAATGCGAATTTTTCTGAATATAAAATTATCTGAAGAATTAAATTTAAAAAAAAAACTATTCAGTAGTTTTAATTGTGTAATTAAAAATTGTTTTTTTTAATAGAGACTCGATGCGTTCTACGGACGAAGAGAATAATGAGTACGTGATAACCGGCTCTTTGGATGATGCTGTGAAAGTTTGGGAATATAAAAACGGTGGTTTAAAATTGAAACATAAATTAACGGGACATTCACTTGGAGTTGTGTCTGTAGCTGTAAGTTCTGATGGTTCAAGTGAGTAGAATTGTAAATTTGTAAAATTATTTTTCAAAAATAGATAACAAAAACAAATTTTTTCCTTCTTTGTTTTTTTTAAATTAAATTAAACAAAATTATTAATAAAATGAATTAAAATTTGAAAAAAAAATTATTTTTTGCAGAATGCGCCTCCAGTTCATTGGATTCGAGTCTTCGATTATGGGATTTGGAATCAGGTGAAAAATTAACAACAATAGAAGTTGGTCCAGTGGATATTTGGACATTGGTTTATTCGCCGGATGATAAATTCATCGTTTCCGGTAGTCATGCGGGAAAAATCAATATGTATGGAGCCGAGAGTGGAAAACAGGAACAAACTTTAGACACAAGAGGTGGAAAATTTACACTCAGTGTTGCTTATGTGAGTTTATTTAAAAGAAAATTTTTTCTTTTCTTTATTTTGCGTCATGAGAAATAAACTTCTTTTTTCTTTTTCCTTTCTTAGAGCCCGGATGGAAAATACATTGCGAGCGGCGCAATTGATGGGATTATCAATATTTTTGACGTAGCGCATGGAAAAGTTTTGCGAACTTTAGAAGGTGATTGAAGAACAAAAATATAAGATTTGTTTATTTTTTCAAATTAAATATTTTGCAAATTCTAAAAAATTTTTTTTAATTTATAGGTCACGCTATGCCCATTAGATCTCTTTGTTTTTCTCCTGATTCGCAGCTACTTTTAACTGCGTCTGATGACAGTCACATGAAACTTTATGACGTGTAAGAATATAAAATACTTCCGATTCATTTCTACTTACTATTATTATTATATTTATATATTATTAGTATTATTATTGCTATTATTTTTTTATTATTAATATTATTATTAGTACAATTATTTTTCTTTTATTAAACAGAAAAGATGCTAATGTTGCCGGAACAATGTCAGGTCACGCATCATGGGTTCTCGGCGTATCTTTTGCTCCCGATGGTCAAAAATTTACATCAAGTAGTTCGGATCTCACTGTGAAAATTTGGGAATTATCTCAAAGACAATGTTTACACACTTTTCACGAACATGCTGATCAGGTAATTTATTTTCAGTTTTTTTTAATAAATTATAATCAATTCTTAATTAATCTTTATTGGAAAAAAAAATTATTATTTTCAGGTCTGGTCTGTGAAGTATCATCCACACAAAAATAATTTACTTGCATCCGTATCCGAAGATAAATCAATTAATCTCTATGAGCATCCATTGTAATATGTACCATAAGTTTTATTTTATTTTTTTGTACAAACAAAAAATGGAAACAAAAAAAAATAATAAATTACCTTTTTTTCTACAAAAAAAAAAAAAAATTGTTTTATTTTTTGAGGGTAATAAAAATAATAATAATAAATGTTGGGGATAATGATTTTTATAAAGAGCTGTAAATTTATTACTTCTTTTTTGTTTTTTTTATTATATAATCAATAATATACAAAGAAATAAAGTATTTGACAAACTTAAGGAGTTATTATCATCAGATAAAATTGTTTTATTTATACGCTAAAAAAGTTATCTATAAGTACGCTATATGAAGAAAAACTGGTTACAGAAGAATAAAAAGGAAAAACAATACTCGCACAGTACGGACCAAATTCGCTTATATATAAAACTCAACATTAAGGGGATGCAATAGGAAAAAGGAAAGGAAAATAGATCCTCGTGAATCCGAGTTGGAAGGATTAAAATTAATTAATCCGAACTGGAAAAAGGATCAAGAAATACTATAATATGGGAAATATAAGTCTTTTTTTTTTGTTTTTCGCGCAAGACTTTTTTCATTTTTCCAAAAACCACATCGAGCAATCTCCTTCTAAAATATATGATATAGGAAATTGAAAAGCTTTCTAGAAGCGGACCTTATACACAGAAGGAAACATGACACGAGAGGGCAAATTAATATTTTTAAAAATAATAGCTATTAATAAATTAACAATAATAATTAAAATAAATATAATAATAATAATAATAATTCTAATGATAGTATAATAAAAATAGTTATAATTATTTACATTTTAACAACATCGCAGACACTAAATAATATCTTTTTTTAAATTACAAAAAAAAAATGAAATGATAAATAATAAATAGTAATTTTCGGCGTATTGGAAATAATTAATTGATTATTTAGAAAAAGTGATCAGTAAAAATTAATTTTCGGGTAATGGTAACAATTCTATTTTTTTCTTTTTTTTAAAAAAAGGTGAAATTGAAAATGATCAACAGTAATTTTCGATCGAAATAATAAAAAAATATCTATTCAAAGTTTTTTAATCGTAAAAATCGATTAAAAAGAAAAGGAAATTTTTATTCTTGCGCAATTTGGTCGATACAGGGGGGGATTGTTTATTAATAATAAAAATTTACACGATAAATATTATTTCTTTTTTTTTTCTTCTAAAAGTCTATTAATGACTTTTATATGGTTCATCATGCTCTCAAAATATATATTAGACTATTTCCTGCAATACGCGTTTTTTTATTATATAAACTGGACTAGAAACTTAGGTCGCGTTCGCAAGTCCTTAAGCTGGGGTATACTTTTTTCTGTTTTTCTCTTCTTTTTTTTCGATTGAAATACAGGTGTTTTTTTTTTTTTTTTTTTTTTTTTTTGTTTTTTAATAAGTAAATCCTCATATCTTTCGTCTAATGCTTTGCTATCAGTCTTTACAAGGAATTCTTCATTCTTTCCTTTTACACATATTCATCATCAAACGTTCATTTTGTTTTAAAATTCATGGGACATCTACTTTTCTATTTTTTTTTAAGTTAAAAAAAAGAAAAAAAAAGATTACTCTAAAACAATAAGCATTGCGGACTATTCGATAAATCGGGAATTTCTCACAATTTTTTATTTTCGAGATCGCATTTCAATTAATTAATTTATAATTGTATTAATTAATTTATAGCTGTTTATTTATTTCAATTAACTAAACCCTATCAATTAATTTGTATAGTATAAATTGACAAATTTATAGTAGCAATTAATCAATTTGTATTTCTTTAATTAATCGAATCAAACAATTTTTTTTCTCCATTGAAAATTGTAAATTGTGAATTTTTTTGTTGTTTGAAATTCCCGATTTATTGGCTCGATTTGCTCGGTACACACATTTTACGCCCATTTCACTAACCTTTCCTACATATTTTATTCATGGATCTTTATATACAGAATTTGAATAAATAGGCTAGTACAATCATTATATAGATATATAATGTGTACAAAGAAAATGAAAATTGTTATTTTTTCTTTTCTTTAAGATCAGTGAATAATTTATATTATATGGAATTAATCGACTTATTTCAAATATATATACATATACACCATGAAAAATCTATCAGATTTTAGACCAAGAGCACCAGCTCTTAATGTGTCTATAAAATATTTTAAAGTAATCGCTCTCTCATCACATAATCGAATGCAAAGAAGTATTTTTTCAAATATAAAAAAAAACAAAACAAAAATAATCTAATTGCTAATAATCGGAAAAATCAAAATAATTTTTATATACTTAAAAATCTAAACGACGAATTCATAAAAAATAACGAAACATACAAATATTTATCATTGAAATTTTTTTTTCTCTTTATCTGAAATTATTTTAATATTATCTCACTGAGCTATTGAAAAATAACCAATTTTCTTGTTTTCTAAAACAAAATTTTCAATAGCTCTTTTCTTTTGAAAAACAAATGGAAAATTAATAATTTTCTGTTTTTTTAAAGTTGCAATTAAAAATCAATTATTTGAATTAAATTTAAAGTGTAAATTTCTTTTCCCAAGCAAAAAGAAAAAATGATTAATGATGACTAGTTAAAATTTAAAGACAGTAGAAAATATTTTTTCTTTTCTTCTTGTCTATAAGTGGAATTTTTTTTTCATATAATATTATGATAAGTTGTTTGTTTTTCTTTTTTTTCATTAAAAAATGGACTGTGTTTTTTCTTAATTAACATTTAACATTGAAATACACATGATTTGGCAGAAAAAAATAATCCATTCGATTTGTGGTTTCATGAAATTAATTTAAATCGCAACTTATGTATTGGCATTTTTTTTAATATTAAAAATGCCTTAACAATGATCATTAAAATTTTTCTCTCAGAAAATCAAGATTTCACGACAAATTTGCATAATTTTTGCCATTAAAAATAAAAGTTTCTTTTTAAACTTTCAAAGTTGTTTTCAACTTTTCACATTTTTGAAATTAAATATTTTTTAATTTTCAATTTTTTCTTAAACTAAATAATTTTAAAATTTTCATTTTATTTTCAAAACTTGAAATAAACTGTATTTTACCGGGACATAATATTTTTATAATTTAATTGAAATTTAATTTTCCAATTATTTTGAAATTGAAAAAATTAAATTGGAATTTACACAAAAAAATTCCAACTTTTCCATAAAACAAAGTTTACATTGAAAAAATTAATTAATTAATAATGATTCATTTTTATTAATTATTTGTTATCAATTTGTGGATATTAAATAATTATAAAATGATTATTAATTAATAAATTTTTCTGAATGAATCAAAAAATTAATTTTCCAAATATTAAAATTAATAAATAAAAAATAAATTATAATCACCGTCTTACTCCTTGTAATTAATTTTCTTTCTGTCAATCTTCACGATTTAATGGATCCAAAAAATAGGAAAATTTCCATTAAATCAATTTCATGACTCCACAGTGAAGGCAAGAAAAAAAACCGTAATAAGATCGATTACCAAATTTAAAAAAAATTCCACAGTATTCGATCGAAAGAAAAATAATCACCATTGTTTCTATCACAAACTCAAAAAATAGTTTTTTCTTCTTACACTGTAGTCACACGAGCGGAAGCAGTGACAATGTCCGATTTAAAATCCTGCCCTTCAATCATCAGACTCTTACGATCTTTGGCGTTTATTTGCTGCTGCTGTGAAATTCCCGGATGTGGATTATAATTAAAAGGTGGGACAATTGCCGAAGCTGTTGTGCGAAAACCACCACCAGCAGCAATTTCTTTTGAACCGGAAGACGATGATGATTCATCAACGCGAATAAATGATCCCAATCGTGAAATTCTCTTTGTAATGTCAATTTCACCATCAGTCGTTTGATCCGAACTTTTTGCATTTCGAAAAATTACATTTTCCTCATGACTTAATTTACGTTCGGGATGTTTCACTGGAATTCCACTGAGATCACATGAATTTCGATATTTCACGCCATTAAATTGCATTTCTGTTTTGGAAGCAATTTTCAACGCTATCGACGAGTCACTTATTGTTTTTGGCAATCCCTCGAAAGTTGAACTGCGAAATAATCGAAAATTTAAATTTTCCTCTTCTACTTCAACTTGTTCTTCTTCTTCTTGTTGTGTTCCATTGTTTCCTGTTATCCATTTTCTAGTGTCGGGTTTCTCGAATTTTTGCTTTAATTTACTATCCTCGACACGTTTCCAGAGACTTGCAATTTTACTAGTCGTCTCCTTGGTTCGTTTTTGTGGTTGAATATTTGAATTGCTGTTAGATCTTTGGCCGAGTGTTGTAATTTTCTTTGGAATTGAACTTTCGAGACTATTCGTCGCTGTGATCTTTTTTGGAATTGATGTCTCAATTTTTGTCTTCGACGTCTCAATGGCGAAATTCTTTTTCGACGCCGGGATCATTGTTGTGATTTTTGGTTTTGCAATTTTTGTCATTGTCCTGGCTGGCGAACTGGAAAGTGATGGCACTGTGGGTGCATTTTCCACTTCCGGTTCGTCTTTTGTAAATGTTCCTTGACGTTCGAGTTTTATTGGCGGTGAACTGTGACGTTTCATTGCTTTACTGATGGTAGTCAAAGATGATCCTTTCTGTGGGATTGAGCTGCGTTTTAATTTTTTATCCATTGCTGAAGAATTTCCTGAAAATTAGAAAAAAAAAACTAAAATATTAAAAAAAAGAGGAATATTAATACTTTTGAATAATTGAAATTAGAAAGAAAGATCCAAATAATTATTTTTTGTTTTCTAAAACATTACCTGCAGGATTCGTTGAAGAATTCCCATGTTTCGGACTCCATTTAGAAATTTCACGTGACGTATTTGTATTTTGACGAAGAGTGGTAGCGCGTGTCGCCCTTACAATTGGCGACGTATTACTACGTCCAATTGGAATAGCGCTGCTCTTTTGCTTCGATGGCGACGATTGTGGTGTCACTACTTTTCTCGTTGGATTCGAAAATAACGGTTTTCGCCTACCACGAATTCCTTTTGGAATATCCTCAGCTTCTAGGCTTACAGCACGGCTTATTGTTCCCGGTTTCACAATTCTCGGTCCCTTTGCATCTTCCTGTCTCTCCTCTTCGTCGTCGTCACTTGCCGATTCCTCAGGTCCTAAACTTTTTGCTCGTTCCTGCAATCTTCCTTTTCTCGATTCCACAATTTCCATGTCCTTAATGTCTTGATTTCCATTGGCGATTTCGGGATTTATTTCCCTAATTTCTTGATTCGTTCGTTTAGTGGTGAAATCAGATTGAGTACGTCTGCTAATTTCGGGTGCTTCGTAGGTGAAAACTCGTGTTCGAGTTTCAATGCGCTTGGAATCGGGATTATTGAATCGTAATTGTAGAAAATGTTCGGAGCCAGATTCATTGGATACGAGACTGAGGGTTTCACAATCGAGAAGTTCGTCACCTTTTGACGTTTCGTTCAAAGTGTTCAATACAATATTTGCATTTTGTTCGAGCATCGTGTGTACATTCTCCTCTTTTGTTAAATAACTCTCGTTAATTGTTCTAGTACGAAATCTCTCGTCTTTTCGAGTTTTTGCTACTTTTCTCAACATTGGGATTCCTGATTTTACCGGCGATTCCGTTTTATCAGAATCTTTTCCTCCCGCTGAAGATTTTTCGATTTCCACTTCCTTTGGTTCCGGTTTTAGTTCAATTGGACCTTCGAGAACTTGTGTTTGGAAACGATTACGATCCTCTTGGCGACGTTGTTTTGGAGTAAGCCGCGGAAGATTTTGCTCTAATTTTCGCCGATGATCCTCTTCCTTCTTGACGATTTCAGCGGCAATTGTATAAGTTTTGTATCGTTCTTTCGCTAATTGTCGCTTTTGTTTTGGTGTCAAATGACCGCGGAGTCGTTTCTTGGGTGTTGATTCAGCAGAACTTGGTATTGGCGTAGCTGCCTCGTCCGTGTCATTTGCTTCCTCAATTCGATCAATAAAATAGGCTTCATCGGAACGAAGATCGACATCAATGCATAAAGTATCACTGCAAAGTGTCTCATCCATTTCAGTTACTTCGTTAAAAAGTGAAGGAGGATTAATATTCTCGAGGCATTCACTTAGACTATTATTACCACTCAATGGTAATGATTCCGCGTAACGAAGACACGTCATTGAAAGAACATTCGCCACTGGTTTCACGATATCAAAAACTGAATCATTGTCTTTTGTATCAGCAATTTCGGATATTATACTCGCAACGCTTATCATACTATTTTCCATATCGCCAATATCGAGTACCTCATCCATTATCGATGGGGGTTTTACATTCTCCAATTGGGAGAGATTCTCTAAACTCGCATTATGACTTTGATTATAATTAAGAGCACGTTTCGCGACCACGCCAATTGGTAAGGATTTTTTACGTTGTGTACAAGTTAACGATTGTTTTGGTCTTGAGAGGGAGAAACTTTGATCACGAATTGTATATGTTTCACTGTGATCGCGAGCTGTTATGTAACTTGAACTGAGCGATTGATCAGAAACAACTTGTGCTATTTTTATCGCTTCCTCTTCAATTAGTAGTGAATCTGTCATTTCAGGAGGTTGACAATTTTGTAAATCAAATGAAGTTTTAGCCGTTGAATTCTCATCGAGAGCGTCACTTTTGAATGAAGCGATTAAAGGTGCACTGACACTGATACTGGGAAATGAAACATCATTCGGAGAATCTTCATTCCATGAATCACTTTGTAAACTTTGTTTCATTGCACTTGAATCACGTTCGCGCATTGCTTCTGTTTGTTGAACCAAAGTTGCCGTTAGACGATCTAATGATGCAATCATTGCATCGGGATCACGTTGACGTCGATAAACTTCCTCGACTTTTTGATTTTCTTCCTCGTTATCGTTGGCGGTGTTTTTAATTGTTTCTTCGGTGAGAATATTAATTTTTGATTTTGAAACTGCATCGACAGTGTCGCCTTCGGTGGATTTAACAATTTCCTGCTCACAAGTGGCAATATTCGATAATGATGATGAGGAGTCATTTGTAACTTTTGGAATTTGTGTTTGAATACAAAATTCAAGAAGTGCTTGCTCTGAACGTTCAACTGAATCAAATGATTCACAACTACCGGATATGACAATTTCTTCGGATGAAATTTCTACAGAGCCTGTTGATGCTTTTGAAGTAACTTCGAATTCGGGGATTTTTATACAAGATTTCTCTGCTTGTTGTGTTATTGAAATTTCCTTTATTAACTCTTTCGATGGCTAAAAAGAAATTTGAATTTCTGTCAATATTTATTTTTTATTAATTTTTTTTTTGAATAAATAGAAAGGTTTTTAAAAAAATACCTCGTTTTGGAAATCACAAGTAATTTCCTGCATGCTATAACGGGAATTTTTCAAAGTCTCGCCAGTTGAAGTCACTGATGTATTATCGACTCGATTTAATTCATTGCTCGTTTGATATCGAGTTAAATTGCATTCTGCTTGTAATTCCTCTTCCTCGAGACTATTACGTCTAAATGATTGTCTATGCCTAAAAAAATTATTGAAAAAACAGTTATTTTTGTATTTTTTTTTTAACAAGAGTTAAAATTTTTTTTTTAAATATTTTTTTAAATTACCTGTTATTTTGCATTCCAATATTAATACATGCAGCAAGAAGTCCTTGATCATCATCATCGTCATCATCCTCGCTGATTATATTCACAGGACATGGAGATGAAGTTTTTCTCGATTTTCTTTCAAATTCTTTATGCTTCGAATCATCAGTAATTTTATGTTCGTCATCAATTGTCAACGATCTATAACTTGCAGCCCCAGAATCTGGAAAAAATATAAATATATTTATTTTTAAATATTATTATGAATAAATAATAAATAAATAGAAGTTAAGACAAAACGATAATCGGTAAAATAGTAAATCTATTTTTAAATTAAAAAATTTTCCGTTAAATGAAAATTCTGTTTTAATTAAAGAAATAAAGAAAAATAAATCACCTTCACCAGATGTAATTTGCTCATCAAAATGATGAGCCGATATTTTCGATCCAGTAATCACTCTAAACAAATTTCTCGGACGAATATCCTCCTGTAAATCAGATGCCGATGTTGCTCTCGATGAATTCAATGACAATTGTGATGGTGTTCCTTCCGTGCAATAAGTCTTCACCGTATCGCCATTCAAGACATTTTGTTCCGAACATGTAAAATACGCCGAACTTTGTTTCTCATCATCCGATGTGTGTTCAGCATAACGTAAACTATAATTTGTCGTTTCATCCGCATAAAATGGATGTTCTAAATTTTCAATTTTCTCCAATTTCATTATTGATGATATTTCATTTTTCCCTTCAATTCTATTTTTATTTTCTCCATCGGTGGCTCGGATTCCAAGTTCCAATTTCTGCTGATTATGATGATCAGAGGAGAATGAATAATCACAGGAACTTGTTTGTGAGAGACGATCCTCAATGGATGAATGAAGTGCTTGGGAACAAGTGGCTTCTTGATCGTGTGTCGACCATGAAATTGTCGATCCAGTTCGTTTTATCAAAGAATCTCCGTCTGGTTTCATTCGATTTGAATTTTTATATCTCAAGGCATATTTTTTCTCACTTTGCGAACATTTCACCGTATCGCCAATTGGTCCAATTTCAAATCCCATTGCTGAATGAAGTGACGCCGATTGTTGTTGTTGTTGATGTTGATGATCAATCGTTCCATTCATTTTCACTTTTTCGAATATTGTATCCGAATGTGTGCTCGTAACTGATCTCATCGATTCACGACTTTCGCTTCTTGGAAATTTAATTCCCGATGTTCCTGGTTGTTGCAATTTTCCTGGATTCTCCAATTTGAAGGCGAATTTTTCAATAGGAGACGTGCTCGGCTCAATATTCTCGCAAGTCTCGGCGAGATTTTGATCAATTTCCTGCTCGAGGGCTTTTTGCCTCCTAGCAACGAGTGTCGGCAATGTCGATAATCCAAGACCACGTGCTGTCGAATCGAGATGTACGAGATTATTTCCACCAGGACGTGCGCTCAAAAGATTCTTCAGAGCTGCGCTCGAACCCATTGAAATCATTTTATGTTTCGAATGAACGAGACTCCTTAACATTGGCACAGCTCCAAGATCCCAGAGGAGACGTTGATCGTGAGTGCAACGTGCCGAAAGATTCCAAAGTGCACCACAAGCATTGCTGACAATTGTCAAACTCGGCGATCGTAATTGACGCAGAAGCACTTGTAAACAACCTCTTTCACGAACTATTGTCCGATAATCATCCCTAACGGCAATGTGACTCGAAACATTTCTTAAAATCCCACCAGCATTTTCGACAATTGCAAAATTCTTCGAAGGCGCCTTGTAACTCAACATATCGACCAAAAAAGCCAACGCACCTTCAACGGCACAAATATCCACTTTATTTGTACTACAGTGAGCCGAAAGATTCCAAAGTGCCGACAAAATTGACTTGAGTGTTGATTCCTTCTTACCCTCCATTGCCGCTCTCATTAATCCAATAACAGCTCCAACTTCTCTCAATGTTTGTTTACTGGAACTATCAGCCCTCCATGAGAGATTACGCAAAACACTCGCGGTCACTTGTCGCAAATCATCGCTTGTACTCTGCAATTGCGAAACCAATGCCCTCATAAAATCCTTAAAAGAACAGAGCAACGCTTTATTATTCCCATCGCCAAATGTCAAATTCGTCAACGCCATTCCCGCGTATCTTCGCAAAGTAATACAATTCTGATCCTCACATTCACTGCCATGTGCCGTGTGATCCATTTCAATTAATTCCGCCACTGCATGCAAACCACCGAGTTGACACATTGCATGACGATGATCCTCGTCAAAGGATAATTTCATCAATGCTGCAATTGTCGCACCTGGATGACGTTCCAAATCATCGCGAGTGCTCTCCAACGAAAGACGTAAACTTTGACAATAGTCACGCAATTGTTCCAAGAGACGTAGAACGCGTACTTCGCGACGTCCAGTACGTTCGTCGCTTCGCGCTTGAATTATATTGTGCAGTGCTCGCGATGCTCGTTCACGTGTCTCGTGATTTTGACCCGGTGCATGAATTAATTGAACGAGTAGAGGCAGACAACCCGATTGTCGCATAACGCGACACGATTCTATTGAATTACTCATTGTTAGAAGAGTGGAACTCATATCGTCACGTCCCTCACTACGACCCAACATTCCCAGGAGACTGTAGACAACATCGACTTTTGCACCAAGACGACGATGACTCTGTATACCCTGCGTTGATGTTGATGATGAACCAACGCCTGAAGCTGATGAGAAACTCATTATGCTCGCCATGTCCTGCAAAAAAAGATACAAAACATAAATAAAAATAAAATTTTTGAAAAATATTTTTAGATTACAATTTTTAAAAAATGTATATCTGAAAATATACAAGGAGCAAAAAATTATGTTTATGATACTTAAAAGAGAAAATAAATAAAAACTTCTTCATTATTTGAAAAATAAAAACTGATTTTACATATAATTAAAATAAGAAACTTTTAAACAATGTAAAACTATCGCATAAACACAATTCGTAATTACTTGCTTCTTAGAGCGCATCAAATATTTTATCGGATCTTTTTTCAAAAAATTATAATTGTCGAATTTCTGTCATTAAGCGAAATTTTGCCGAATTTCCAGACAAATTAATATTGAGCAGAAAAAATCTTGTTTTAAGTGTTTGTAAAATAATTAAGCACCGATTTTTGTTATGTGGTAAAAGTTTTGAAAAAAGATAATAAAATAAAAATAAGGGGAAAAAAAGAAATTAAAATATAGAAAATGAATTCAAATAGGAGAAAGAGGATATGGAAAATTGAAAAAAAAGAAACTTACATTGTGAATTGTTGTTGAAGTACTTTGTTGATTTGGAAAATTGTATTGTTGATTATTCCAAACATCTCGTTTTACGGGCCAGGTACCATGATAGAGAGACGATAATCTTTGAGTTTGTAGAGACGAACTCGGTCTACTTTCATCCTCACTACTCGCATCATTTTCATATCCTTTACTGCCACTTCTTCCGAAAAGCTGAAAAAAATTCCAATTATTAATATCGGAAAATAAATAAATTTTTTTAATACAGCGAAAACATAAAAAAGTGAAATATTTAGAAAAAAGCATAAATTTTTCAGATAATGGAAAATTAATATCAAAATACAAAATAAGTTTATGGTGTTCCCCCCTCTAAAAAAAAGGGTTGAGTCTTGAAGCAATAGACATATATATATTTATATAGATAGACACAAGGAGGAGTAAAAGTAAAAGGGCGCGGAGGATGGAAGGAGAATGTTGCGGCGTAAAATCAATACCCGCAGTGGTAGTTGTGTTCAATAAGTGACTCAGTAGTAGTAAAATCCTCCCGACTCTCATATACAGATGAAAACAACTCAACCTTCAATATAAGCATGTGGGGAACTGCATGATGCACCAAAATAAAAAAATTATATTCAAAAGTTCAAAAAAAAAAAAAAAAATTCCTTTCTAGCCCTCCCAAAAAGTTCAAAGTATAAAAATAACGTTTCCAAAAACCAGATGTTTCTCTCATCTCTGCGTGACAAAAAAAAGTTGAAAATAAATTAAATAAAGCACAATAGAAAAATTTCAATCACTCTTTCTTCATCTTAAAAAAATTATTAAGATAAAAATTAATAAATAAAATAAAAAATAATGAAAATAAAATTAAAATTTCTTTCAAAAAAAAGTACCTCGGGACTCGGGCTGCCGGACTCGTGATCAATTTCGTCCTTATGTTCCGGCTCCATGACATTCTGTTGTTTCGGAAGAGACCTGCTGTCAATGATTGTCGATGAAAGTTGTTGATTTCCTCGAGATTTTGTAGCATTGATTATTCGTGTACGCGACTCATCGTCAACAATGATATTTCGTTGATTCCATTTTGAATTGTCCGATGATGATGACGATGTTGATAATAATTGTTGGTTTTTTGATCCATTATCATCATCATCAGCACTTTTTCCACGACAAAATCCAAAATCATGTTCCACTTTATTCGACTCGTGTATATTAGAAACTGTTGTTGTACTGGTCGTCGTCGTCGACGTCGTACCTTCCACGCCGACGCGTTCTTCACCGCTGGCAGATAACGTCGCGACGACGCTGCTAGGGGTGTGCGAGCATAAATTCAAACGTTGTTTCAACGGCTGCTGACCCTGGATTGAATCGAATCTCTCCACCACTGCATTATTCCCCTCCACCTGTGAAAAAAATAGACCTTGAATTTTTTAATCACCGAAAATTGCATATTTAAGTTCATTATCAAAAGTTCTTTAATCAATATTTTTTTTCTATATGTTATTTATGGTGGCAATTGTAATACGTTACTTTATTGTAATGTTGTTACTTTTTTCGTAACAATGAATTAAAAGTAGAAAACGAATATGAATAAATTAAAATTTTATTTATCATAATTCAAAATTGATTAATTTCATATCTTTTTCTTATTAATAATAATTTTTCTAGACTATGATTCATTTGGGATTTGTATTTTTAAAATTGCAACACACCACGCCTTTATCGGTTGGAATGAGTGTGACGTCATTATGAAGATGTGCAATATAATTTTATTGTCAAGTGTACGATTATAAAGCATGATCAGAATCGATTATTTATTATTATTACTATTTTTAATAATAATAATTAAACATTATTTGAGAAATAAATAAATTTCTAATGTTAGAAAATTTTAATATTATAATAAATATCAATATTATTTATTATATATGAATATTGTGAGGCATTTTGAAGATAAAGGGACGCAAGAAGCAAAAAATTATAGATTATGTTTGTATCCCTTTTTTCAGAGTGCGTCAACAATATTATTAATAAATTAAATTTTATTTGTGAAATAAATAAATGCCAATAAATCATAATAATTATAGAAGTTTTGTAACAAAACTATAATTCTGCATAATCACATTTGTAAAAACCATGCAAAATGAATTTAACAAGCCATATGTATAGAGTTCAGAGACTTTCTCTCAATTTTCTCCGACGATTTCTATTACGCTCTTTTATTTGAAGAAAGCTTACCTATATATATATATTTATGGATATTATTGAAATAACCACAGAAAAAAGCAAAATCGGTCAGAAATTTTATTTTATTTAGTAGAAAACAATAAATCTTACGGTATCAATTTCATATACATGTTTATATAATTACCAATTTTATTCTTTAATTTTATTATACATCTAAAATGTCCTTTATTATTATTATTATTATTATTTTTATAATTAAAATTTTATTATTTCTTAATTTAATTTTTTTGTTCGACTATTTAAATAATAATAATAATAATAATCAATACATAATTGTCAAATCAAAATCAAAATATCGATCAATATATCGCAAAAGCAAGTACTTATCGATTTTTATCGATATATCGAAGAATATGTTAATTTAATTGATTGTTATCGATATATCGATTTAACGAGATATATCGACTATCAATATTTCGAGATATTCTAACTATTTTTATATCGAATTGTAAAGATTATCGATTTATGTGATATATCGACTGTATCGATTAATTATTATAAATATAGTTAAATTATTTATTATTATTAATTAATAATTAATAAATCTCAAACAAATAAAAATAAATATTGTTTTAATTTAGAACAAATCGTGGTTTCTTGGTTAAACATTTTCACCTGAATTTCTTGATAGGAAAACAGTACATATCTTTCTTTACATAGGAAAAAAACTTGTAACGGAAGCGTAAAGCGTAAAATCCAAATCACGCATGTTAGTCATCGTTTTAAGGCTTCTTTAAACAGTTTTATATTTTAAATGATTATAAGTGGTTTAGGAAAAGAAGTTTTTTCTTTTTTGTTGTTAAAGTCCTTTTTTATAACAATAGAATTTTTTTGGGGGGTTTTACGAAGGAAGTGGAAGCATTTATAAATAATTTATTATTTTCCAAACTTGTGTTTAACTGGCCAAAATTTAGATGACCTAATTTTTCTTTATAAAAGATTATTTTCTCGATTTAGGGCAACTTTTAATAATAAATTTAAACGAGATGAAGAGTTCAACGACTCTTCTTTATATAGGTAATGTTGCCAAGATTCGCGGTTTTCCTGTCAATGAGCCAGCCTTCAACAATAATAATTAATATTATTATTTAACTATTTTTTAAAAATATTTTTTATAATACTATTATAATTATACAATTAAGAGAAAAATTCAATAAAAATAATAATTTTATGTATATATAATAAGAAACAGTAATAAAAAATGAAGCATATAAATAATAATTGATCAATAAAAAATTAAATAATATACATTTTATTATTTAATATATCCGTAACAAAAAAGACATTTGGATAATTAATTATACGTAAATTAGTGAACGTCTTTAGAATAGAAAAAGGGAAAATAAATAACATCCAATTAGAGGCAAAGATAATAAGGAAATTTGTATTAAAACTTGGTGATAATGAAAATAAAAGTATTATACTAATATAGGAAAGAACGATAAATCAATTTAACGAGCTTACGATTTTATTAACTTTCTCTCATCCCCGCGCGCAAAACACGAGCCTCTTTTCTTTTCTCTCAAACGCACGAGGTTTAAAATGTAAATTATGATCATGTATAATTATGAATAATTTCCACTTTATATTAGAACACGAAATCCATTATTATTATTAAATAATTTAAATATACACAGATCCAAGATATATAAAAGATTACATTGTATATAATAATATGAACGCACTGTTTTTCTTTCCGCTCTGCACTTGAACTATAAAAATTTCTCTTGTAACAATTCTTTATAATTTTTTTTCTGCACGTTTCAATATCTTCATTAAAACATGTATAAACAATTAAATAATTTTTTTTCAATTAATTTTTTCGGTACAGTCGTCATTATTATTAATAACCTCTTAGAAAATTATTATTTTATTTTTATTTTACTTTTTTATTTTATTTAAAAAATTTTGTTTTATATCAATTTATATAAAATAATATTTTTTATATTTATTTATAATATACTTTCGAATCGATAGAAAAAGCATTCTCACGCAATAAGATGAGCACGTGTATAAACATTCAAGAATTGATACACTCTGTCTGTTACAGATAAGTGTATATGGCTCCTCCTATAACAATATACAATAGTTACAGCAAATGCTTTATCGATTTCTCTCTCGAGCTAGTTTTGCGATTTTTAATATTCGCATTCTTTCCACAATATATTATATTTATAAATATATACAGGGTGGCCAATAAAATATATTCGACAAATTTAAAACTAAAAGTAATCTAAAATTTTCAAAATTTTTTATATTTTTCTATTCCTTAATGTCTAAGGTAAATGCCTCAAATATTTTTTTTTTCAAATTCAAAAATGAAATTTTTTCACTTATTTCTGAATTACCGACAGGAGAAATAGTTTATCTATCCGTACCACTGTCGGTAAATTAGTTTTCTATTTAGATATATATTATTCAAGTAAATAGAAATTCGTCTTGATAAAAATTTGGTTAAATATAGATGTTCAGTTAAATAAAAATTGTGTTAAATGGTAATTTAGTTAAATAAAAATTTGGTTTGTCAAAATAAAAATTAGGTTAAACAGTTCTTAATAAAAATTGAGTGAAATAATAGTTTGGCTAAATAAAAATTGTGTTAAATAGAAATCCGGCTAAATAAAAATTATCTTAACCAAAAATTCGGGTTCCATAAAAATTGTGTTAAAAAGAAATTTAGCTAAATAAAAGTAAACTAAATAGAAGTTCGCCATAATAAAAAGTGGACTACATAAAAATTCGGCTAAATAAAATATAAGTTAACTAGTAATTCAAATTCAATAAATATTGGTTTTAATATAAATTGCGCTAAATGGAAATTCAGCTCAATAAAGTATGTTAAATAAAAATCCCATCTAATAAATATTGATTGAATGAAAAATTGTACCAAATTCTAAAAATTTTATCTATGCGAAAAATGTAATTTAATAATTAGTTTTCATATTTTTTATTTCTGAAAAAAAAATTGAGAAAAAATAAAAAACTAGGGCAGTAATTATTTTCCTCCTCATTATCGATGATTCGTCACATTGCGCGCAGCTATATAGAATAAAAATGGATGTGAAAAATATAGAACAAAAAAAAAATAATTTCTTTTTTGTCATCACCTTCTGATAATCGATGTTCCTTGTTGAATTTGAACCTAATCGTGTAATTGTACATGGAATTTTGCTTCTTGTTAAAATTCTCGTTTCTCTCTCGTCACTAGTTTGTTGTCTACTTTCGCTTTCAATAATGCGGCGCTCCTTCTGGGCCACGTCCTCATCCTCCTCATGAAAATCATCCCGTTCATCTCGACCCTCAACTTGCATCATTTGTCGTAGACGATTTTTCACAATTTTTCTAATTTTCGTATTGTCCCTATTGTGACCTTGTAAAGTGGACAAATTATGTTCCAAACGTGGCAAAGGAATAAATGTGGTTGTTGCACCTTGACGAGAATCATGTACCATACGTCGTCCATCTGTCTTCTCACCAGGCATTTTTTTTTCTTTCTCGTCGCTTTTTTTTTCTTCTTCTTTTTCTTTTGAAGATTTCACGAAAAATTTATACCGATTTTTTTATTGTGTTCCCTCTTTATCCCGAGACAAAATGTTCTTCAAAAAAAAAAATTTATCCCGATCGCGAACAAATTGCCCGGATCCCGGGAATCAAATTACAATAACATCTCAGCATCCAATGATGATGATGATGATGGTGAAGGGGGGGGGGGGATTTGTTTCGATATCGTTTCAAGAGGATTGCTCGTTATTGAGCCTTGCGATAGATTCAAGTTACGAGAGAGTATTGTCGTCTGGAACATATATCCGGGTTACGCGCAGACTCCAAACCAAAGATTTTCAAAATGTCTCTCTTACTCTCATTATCTCTTTCTCTCTTGTCCCAATGTGAGTGCGACATTTCACGCCGATCATCTTTTTTTTTATTTTGTTTTTTTACTGCGCAAAATTGCCAGCAAATTTTCCAAAAGGGTCCTTGACATTCGTCATACTGTTAACTGATATTTTGCAAGAAAAAAAGAAATGAAAACACAAGAATAAAAATTTTCATTTAATAGGAGTAATGTAGAATTTTTATAATACAATTGTAATACAATTTTTGTTCGAAATTTTCATTAACTGAGATTTATTAATTAAAATCTTATATTAGGGAAAATTTTTATTAGGTCGAATCTTAAACAAAATATCCGACTATTATGCCGAACTTTTTGTAAAACTGAAATTTTAATTTCACTGATTTTAAATGTGATGGAATTTATATTTAACTGAATTATATTTAACTAAAACAGTTTCTACTAATTTTCAATTTATATTTTCACTTGATGGAATTTTTCAATTGCAGGATTTTTTAAATAAACAAAATAATATATATTTAACCAAATATCCATTTTAAACAATTTATTATTAAGCCACAATTTTATTTAACAGAATTTTTATTTAGCCAAAGTTTTAGAAGATTGTTTATTAAAGTTAAATTTTTATTTAATCGAATTCATATATATTTTAATGAAATTGCACAAGTAATATCAAATCATCCATTGAGTTTACAATCTATGTATCTATCGGTAAGGAAGATTGGAGAAAATTAAAATTTTTTACTTAATAATAAATTTTTGCATACAGTAAATTAATTTTTTTTTTATTAAATTTTCATTTCTTATTCTATCTGATAAAAAATAATATTAAGCGTGAAATGTTAATAAAAATTAGTAGAAATTTTTGAATATTACGTTCTCAATTTTCTACTTTGCCGACAGGTTTATAAAATAATAGAAAAATTCAGGGAAAAATGTAACTTTTCAAAATTCTGCCAAATGGAACTTAGATTAATTACAAAAGCAGAATAATAATTAAGTTAAATTGAAAAAATCCGCTCAATAAAACTTCATTAAATAAAAATTCAGTTCATAAAAAAAAATTTTTTAGCAAAAAACATTCGGCTAAATAGAAAATTCTATTATAAATTAACATTTCTTTTGAAATATTAAAGTACTGTTAATTTTTTTCCCTTGTATTTAAATAAATAAATAAACAAATAAACGAATTTCTTCAAAGAAGATTTTTTTCAAAGTCATCATTGTCTCAATTTACTTTATATGTCTTTCTAATTATAAGGAAGCTGAACCCATTTTGGAAATGGATCCTTCAAAAATTGATAGACTATATAATTTTTGTTTTGAAGGTCTTGCCTCTCACCTCTTTTGTGATTGCACGTGTGAGTGTGTGTGTGTGTATATTAAAAAAAGGTAGAAGTCGCGTGTGGGAGCTTAAGAGAACCTTGGTGGCCAATCGGAAGTAACGTTCATGAATGATGAACCAAAACGCTTGTGTTTAGAACGTGCCGGAATTATACATATATATATTATTTATATATACATACATACTGAGAGATAACGCATTCAACGCATTTATCGTGACGTTCGCGATTCAACTAAACTGCGGCATGGGTTAGGGGATAGAACAGCTGGACTCGTTCAAGCTGCAAGTATTATAACATCAGTGCCGGAGTTCAGACACACAAGACCTTGCAACAATCTTATCAAAATCTTCCGTTTTTGCACTTCCACATCTATTATTTATTTTTACATTTATTATTATTATCGTAATTATTAAAATAGTAAATGGTACTATTAGTATTGTAAATTGTACCATCAGTATTGTAAATAGTAAAATTCACAGTGTAAATGGTACGTACCATTTGTATTGAAAATTTTACTATATAAGTATTGTAAGTAGTACAATAAAATTTTTAATAGTACCATTTGTACTATAAACAGTACAATTTGCTTTGTAAATATTACTATTAGTATTGTAAATGGTACCATTTCGATTATAAATGGTACCACTTGTATTGTAAATAATACAATTGACATTGCAAATGGTACCATTTGTATTGTAAATATTACTGTAAGTATTGTAAATTGTATCAGTAGTATTGTAAATATTATTGAAAGTATTGTAAATGGTACCATCCGTATTATAAATGCTATCATTGTATAAATTATAAATAACACATTCGAGGACGTTGACTTTTTAACTTTTTACGATCTACAGATTATATATTATTATTTGAATTTATATAGCCATATCTCTCGATTAAAAAAATTAAATTAAAAAACAATATAGGACGGTTGATTACAAATTTAATCACCGCGCAGATTCAATATGAATATTGAGAAGAATTTAAAAATGGATATATCGAAATATATAATGCTATATCTTCTTTATATTTTTCGTGTACATGCAATATAAGGAAATACCATAATCTCATAGTATTGTGTGGGATGTAATTGTCAGTTGAAGGCTTAACAAGATAAAAGGAAAGTTTAATTTTAAATATCAACTAATATGTATACAGCTAAATGAGAATAATTTGATTACTAAATTAAAGTCCAGATAAATATCGATCGACTCTCAATTAGTTGTAAATTTAAAAATTTTCCTCCAGGTAGATGTTTTATTTTTTCTATACTAAATGACATCATCTTTTAATTGGACGAAATATTAAGAGAAAATAATGCTTTCTTTGAAAAGCATTTTATAATGTTTGTTAATCATCAATTTCCGTTGACTTCTTTTGAACTGTCATTATAATTGCATAATTAGCTGATTAGTCGATGGATTGATACGTTCCTGAGAACGATCTGTGAGTCACGAAGAATCCCTTTCTCTTTCTGTCATCCCCATATCTGTATCGTTACGTCTTTTTCTAAACTCATCTCTTTCTATTCAAGCCAGACGTTCTCTTTCACCCTCCCCCCTACTTCTTTCTCTTTTTCTCTACCATCCTCCCTTTTTTTAAATCTTCAGTCACTTTTCCCTTCGTCTTTCACTTTTCGAAAAGAAAAAAAAGAATATCACAGTTTTGATTGTAACATATAGCTTCATTCATTGTTAGTTTCAATCAATGTAATATGGTTAAATTTTTGGTACACGAATCGGTAAAAAAAACTGATTTACCGACAATGGTAAATAAACAAAATTTTAAATATCGGTAAAACAGAAATCTAACTAAAAATTTAATTAACTTTGAAAAAAAATTTAAGAGGCATTTAGCTAAAACACTAAATGAAATAGAACAATAGAAATATTTTTAAAAATATTGCCTATAGTTTGTGAGATTTAGTCATAGTTACAAGAATTCTTCTTGCTGTACATTTCGAACCTCATTGTATTGTTATTGTGCATCTCTCAATTTCCTTCTACAACTCGATCATTCATTAAACTTACGCCAATGTTAGTTTCAATAAAGACAATAAAAGTCATTGCTTTTTATTCACTTTTTTTGGGCCATTCCCCCAATTTTATAATAAAAGAAACGGAATTCTCTGAAGCGGACAAAAAACAGAGAGTGCAATTATTTGAGTGAATATAACGATGCAATTGATGTATCAAAGAATTGAACAAATTTCTATATTAGCTTCGGAAATATAAAAAAAATTAAATACCTAAATAACAAGTTTACAAAAAAGGTTTTAATGAAAGTTTTTTTATAACTTCGTAGTTTTAGACGTTAGGAAGAAAAAAATATGAATGACAAAACTCAAGAAATGATCTTAATTGTCTATCAGCTCCACCTACTTAGAAAATAGTAAATCTTTTACCGACCGCTGGTAATTCAGAAATCTACCTAATTTTTTTTGTCGAATTCGAAAAAAAGTAACTGTGGCATTGATATTATACCTTAAATAGAAGAATAACACAAAAATCTTAAATATACAACTTATACAGTCTTTGAAAATTAGTTAAAAAAATCACTATGTAAATTTTTCGTATTTTCGAATATAACACAATTCTTTAAAGTAAGACATTGTGGTATTAAAAAAATACTATAAAATAAACAGTATGAAAAACCATGACTATATATTCAATTGTCGACAGTAAATTTTCAACGGGGAAAATGTGTTCTGATCAATATATAAAAGCCGAAGGCCACCCTTCTTGTGATGACGATATCAATCCCCTATATACATGCGAGAGTTTACCTCGAATATTACCGTCCCTTTTTCTTTCTCCTCATATCCCTCTCTGAATGCGCTCACGAGAGTGAATATTATACATGAAGGTATATGAGAAAGGAGAAAGAGAGAGAACAAGTGTTACGCACATGCGATATATGAAAGCCGCATGCACACGCGGTGCACTTTGCAATGTCAGCGAACTTACGAACCATAAATCCCCTGACCTTGATCGTCAAATGTATTTATATAGTCTCAGTATATTGAGAAGATTAAAAGAAAGGAACTTCACTTAAAAATCCTTTCAATGCCGAACGCTGATCGAAAGGGGAAGGGATTGTCTAAGATTTATTTGCGGGCAATTCTTCATAAAGAAACAATTTTCATGTTATATCATTTCATTTAAGGTGATTCAACATCTTTACATAACCTCAAACTAAAAATTGGTTTTAACAAATAAAACTATTTTAATAAATTTTGAAAAATCCAGTTGTACAGTTCCAAAAATTCTTTCAAAATTTGATGAAATAAATTTCAATTATAGTTTTATTTGTTCCCGTGCAGAAATTCGTCAACCTGGCCCTGACCTGGTTGAAACAGGGAACCCGACCGAGGCCAAACCAGGCCCTAGTCGGGCCCCGGTTTTAATCGATGTTAATCGGGCTGAAATAGGGCTTTTTCCGTGGTCTCGATCGGGTTGCCTGTTTCATGCGAATTTGGAGCTTCCTGACGTGGGCCACGCCAGGGCCCTTTCAAAATTTCTGCTCAGGTTATTAAAAATAATTTTTAGTTTGAGGTTATGTCAATGGGTTGAACCTCCTTAATCATCAATTTAAATTGCAAGTTTCACTTTATTATTATTTTTAGGTCATTGAACAGTATATAATACGGGTGTGGTTTTCTTTTTTTGCAATTTTATATGTTTATTTAGATTTTGAAGGAAAAAGAAAACACAGTATAATTCACATAGTATATATGTTGTAATCGCATTTAACGGTAAATGATTCTAATGCAAAATTATGCACAAGTGGGCGATCGTTGTCCGCAAAGTGGGTGACGATTCAGCATACTCATTAAAAAAAAGAGAGAAAAAACTCATTTCTTAATCGTATATATTGTATACTTTTGCCAACAAACTGAAAACAATTATTATTTCCGAATTTGCAAATATGTAAACGAAAGTGAAATGTTAGTTTCTCTAAATTTTACTTTCTCGAGTCCTTTTCTCAATTTATTATTATTTTATCTAACTGAGAGAAATGCTAGAAAATTGGTTTACAGTCCGTAACGATAATTATATTTTCGTTTAAATTCAACAGCAATAATTAAATGAACTATGTAATTTACTTCCGCTTTTTCACAAGTTCAAAATCAACTTTCTTTTCAATCGATTAATTTCATATTTATGTTAATTTATACAATTTCAGTATTATTTCGGAAAAAAAAGTTCTTTTTTTAAACTATATTTTACCTATTATTATTTTGAAATAAAAATTCAAAGTAATAAATTTTTTTTCAATTAAAAAATTCTTAAATTTGAAAAAAAAATTTAATTGAATGGTAATAAAAAACAATGTTTCTTTTTCTATGTATAGTATAAAAAAATCCTCACGCATTAAAAGCTTAATTTAAATAAGTATAACTTGTAATTTTTTTAGCTTTTAGGGGCAATGCACCGAGTTGATCGATGTATGTATACACTTCAAGTTGTTATAAAATATTAAGCATTCGAGATAAAACGTGCTTTTAGATTAAAAAAAAAGAAAATTATACACTTTTTCTTACATTAAAAAAAGTAATTCCACTTAAATAATAAATAAAGAAAAAAAATAAATAACATTATATTATATAAAATATTAAAATTATTTTAAATTCATTTATATTTAAAAATAAACAAAATATATAAATAAATTTCTTTTTATACAAAAATTTTAGTGTATTTTTTGTTAACTTACCTCACGATAGGAGTTTTGATTTTGATTACACCAGGCATTCAATTTCGTCGACAATTCCTCAGTTAGAACATCGTTTGTCGTTGCCAAATCCGGATTGAGACGAGGTTGAAAACTAAAAAGGAAAAGTAATTAAAACCGTTAAAAAAAACAAGGAAAAGAAAAAAATTGTAAATTTGATTTTAAAAATTAATTAAAATAAAAGCCTCTTAAATAATATAGAAGAAATTTCAAAATTTACCTTCTATCGCAAAAAGTAACTGTTTCTGGTCCAATTCGATGATTTTGATCGCAATGTCGAAGAACACTTTCGGAAACTAATTTTCCTGAAACAGAAAAACAATCGTTCGTACAATTTTATAATCAAAATTATTAATCTTCAATTAGTGGTAACTTCAATTAAACAATTTAATTAATAAATCAAGAAATACAATAAAACTACAATAAAAATAAATAAAAAAAAATAAAATTCACAAAAAAGTCGTAAAAAATAGAAATGCTGCTATATTTAA